TGCTGCTGCATGCGCGCTGCCTGCGGGAGCACAGCCGCCGCAGCCGCTGCAGCCTCCGCAGGGGGCAGCTGCAAGGCGCGCTGCAAAGCGATATCTGTGGCACTAGGTCCTGCCTGAGCGTGAAGACACCTCCACAGCAGCGCGAGAGGCTTAGCACCCACTTCTGCCAGGCCGGCTGCAGCAAGAGCACTCGTTTCCGACGCAAGTGCATCCTGTGAGGCGCGTTCTGCGGCAGCAGCTACTAGCGCTGGGCATGCTGCAACTCGTCTGCGAGTCTTGAGGGCTGCGGCAGTAGCTGACGCTGCTGCCTGAAGTGCCGCGTGCAAAGCGGGAGCGGGAAGGCGCAGTGCACCACACAAGTAGAAGGCAGAAGCCAAGTCCTGCAGCATGCACAATACATATATATATACATATATATACATATATATATACATATATATATATACATATATATATATATATATACATATACATATATATACATATATATATATGTATATATATATATATACATATATATAAATACACATATATATATATATGTATACATACAGACACGCATGTATATAATATGTATATATATATTTCCGAGAAAGCGGCTGCCTTCCCACGTGCAGCAGCTGCATCATAGCATGCCGACACAACAACACGACTGGCCCTGCTAAGCCTGCCTGTCAGCGAGAGACAACCAGCGACACGCACAGCAGCTCGGATAAGCAGCATTCTCTTGGGGGTGTCGAAATTGCTGCTCAGGACTGTCTAATGCGTCCTTACTTCAAGATGCGCTTTAGAAAAGGCTGGAGCGCTTGGACCCTGGTGCCGCTCTTGTTCTTGTTGCTGCAGTTGCTGCTGCTGCGCAGCAGCAGCAACTGCAGCAGCTTTCTGCACCTGGTAGAGCCGCAGCAGCAGCAGCTTGCTGCAAGCCTCCAAGGTACGCCAGCCATTGCGTGCTGCAGCTAGTGATCCCCATACAAAACCAATGTCTACAGTTTCTCCTGCTGCTGCTGCTGCTTCAGCTGCTGCTTCTGCTTCTGCTGCTGCTGCTGCTTCTGCTGCTTCAGCTGCTGCTGCTTCAGCTGCTTCTCGTCCTTCCGCTTCTGCGGCAGTTGTGGAGGCTACCAGTGCTCCTGCCTCAGCGTTTGTGGGTTTCAGCACTGCTGCTGCAGCGGCTGCATGCAAGCAGCGCCTCTGCGTTGTGGCGGTAGCCCTCCATCCCCTGCTGCTGCTGCTGCTGCTGCTGCTGCTGCTGCTGCTGCACTCCACGAGCCGCTCGAGCTGTCGAGCTGCGCAGCAGCCGCGACGCGTGAGAGCCCCCTTAACGAGCCGGAGGCATTCCGCCTCCAAGAGGGGGCGCCCCCGGAGAAGTCCATTCTGGAGCAGCGTGCGCAGGCTCAGGAGCATAGGAGCCAAGGCGAAGGAGACTCTTGCAGCTTGTCGCTACGAGGTGTCCATATGTTGGCTCGACAAAAAACAAGATTGAAGCATGTTTTTCGAGCATTTACAGTCTTTCTTCTGACGAAAACGCCCGAGACTGCGTGCCGCTCAGCCTCAGCGAGGGGGGCCCCCTCCCGTGAGGATCTCGAGAAGGGGGCCCCCTCCCGCACTGGGTTCGATTGGCTGTGGCGCCTCCCTCGCCAGAGCTGCTAGTTGGTAGATTCTACGCAGCGACTGCTTTTGTTAAGAGGCGTTTGTGTGTGTGCTAAATTAAAGAGGAGGGTGGAGAGCAAGAACACACACTGGGAGACATCAGCCGCCCCACCGAGAAAACATCGGCGAGATCGTTGCCTCGAGCGGACTGGACGGTGGTCGAGGTGCGCTAGTCTCCTCTCCGCACAAGCTACCAAGACTCGACCCAGTCAATGTTTAACGTCACTCCCAACAGCTCTGTGGGCAGCGTAGAGAAGGCCACTACTAAACATGCCACCACCCACCAAAAACAGATTTTTCGCTTTTTCGCTGCGCCCAAGTAAAGGGCTTTAGAGAGCAGGCAGCACACCGTAGAGCCACGACGAAAAAGGGGCCCCCAGCGCGTCCAGCCAGACGGGGGGAGGGGAGAAGGCAGGAGACGGGAATTCTGAATTCCCAACGATCCACCAATTTTCTCCACTCCAGCCCTAAAGGCTAATGTAGAATGGGGAGGGGTGTTTCCTGGCAGAGAAGCTCCCCTAGCCTTCTTAGCTTCTGGACCCCCCGAATCTCTTCAGACTGCTGCCCCACACAGGCTGCGAGCAGAATACGCACGCCCGAAGGGCCTAACTGCGTGAGACTACCAGGGTGCAACTTTTGGCGACGCTTCTGAGCACCACGGTGCGCTAGTCCTCAAGAGCATGCCCGAGAAGGAGGAACGAAACGCATCCCCCAGCCTTTTTCTCCCCCCAACGTACCAACGTGGAAATCGTACGCGTAGAGCTCCTGGATCTGCAGCAAATACTTGGACTGCATGCGGCGCCGTGCAGCGTACGACTGCTCAACGAGCAGCAGCTGCGGCAGCATCACCGCAAGCGCGCAGGCTCAGCACAGGCGGAGGCGTTTCGCATGCCACACACGACGAGCAAAGAAGCCGCAACTCGTGCCCCCACCCCAGACATACACAAAAAGCCCAACGCTCAAAGCCTCACCCGCTGCTGCAGCTGCAGCACCAGCTGCCTCAGCCTTGTCGCCTCCTCTTCCGCAGTCTCCTGGGGACCCCTTGGAGCTGCAGACTGCAGCAGCACGTGGGGAGGAGGGAGTGGCGTTTCGCTGCTGGCGATGTGCTCAGCTCCCGGCAAGGATGCTGGCAGTGGTGACCCCTTGTCATCGCTTTCTCCTAAAAATAAAAAGAAACTAATGCCTGAACCTGAGGCACTAAGTCGCTCCCCGTCAAACGCTCACCCAACATGGCCCCTACTCCCCTTCCTCTCCCTTCGTCTTCTTTCCCCATCCCCCTCCTCTCCCTTCTTCTTCTTTCCCCATCCCCTTCCTCTCCCTTCTTCGTCTTCTTTCCCCATCCCCTTCCTCTCCCTTCTTCGTCTTCTTTCCCCATCCCCTTCCTCTCCCTTCTTCGTCTTCTTTCCCCATGCCCTTCCCCGTCTGAGCGCGCTAGTTAGGCTCCGGCTCCCTTTTCGTTGCTGCCCTGTGGCGCCTTGCTTCTTTGCTAGGCTTTTTCTTGAGTGCAGTAGAAACAACAGCAAAATCTGCCAAACCTTCCCCGGAGAAGCAACTGCCCACCGTACCAATCGGCATGAGAACCTGATTGACTACAATATTGCTGCAGTCAATCTTGTGTTTCGCCAGCTCTTGCACCAGCCGTTCCGTTTCGAAGAGGGAGAGAAACTCGGGGATGCAGACACAGACAAAGGTGGTGCGGCACTGCAAGGGACGCACACCTCACACACGCGCTGCCCTCACAATTCTCGACACGACGCTTTCTACGATCTAATTCTGCCCCTTTCCCCAGTGCTGTCTGTCCGCCTGCCGACAGAGAGCTTCCCCTTCGCGCAGGCAGAGAGAGAGACAGTAAGGCACACGGGGAAGGAAGGCAGCGGTCCTGCAGAAGTGGTCCGTCCCCCACAGACAGAGAGAGAGAGCGGCAGCCAAAGTGCAGCAGCACAGACACAAGCACCACCTCCAAACTGTGCAAAAAATGACAGCAAACGCAGAAGCCCTTTAGAGGCTGCTGGTGGACCTTACCGGATCTTGGAAGGCTTCTCGCACAGAAGTCGTTACTGCCCTGAGAGCATCCAACTTGGAGGAAAGCTAAGACGCAGAGCAGTGCAGAGTGAGAAAGTATATATATATATATATATACGGGAGGCCAATGTGACTCACGCCCACATTTCTGATGACTACCACGGCTCGTTGCCGAGACACGCATACACCACACCATGCGGCAGCAGCCAGCTAGGAAAAAGAGACAGGCAGATAGAGAGACAGGCAGATAGAGAGAGGCAGAGGGAGAGAAAGAGAGACAGACAGACAGTTTCACGCTGTTCGAAGGAGGGCAGTCGGGTAAACAGCAGCAAGAAGGCAAGAGACGCTTCCTGCGTCTTCTGGCTTCCTGCACACTTGCCCCTCTCTCCCTCTCTCCCCAGCAGCTTTTCCTTGCATGCACACCTCATCGGCAGGTATGCTGCTCCCGCTAACGGCTCCAAAGAGGCCTAGCGCAGCACTAATATTCTGTTTGATGCCAGCAAGCTTTCCTAGTCCTTTCTCCAACAAGTCAGGAAAGCCAAGCAACCGTAACGTGTGCCCAGTGGGAGCCGTATCAAATACAATCGCCGAATACGACATTGTCTGAACGGATCTGAACAAGAAAGGAATGGGCAAAGCCACAGCCAGCCAGCAATCGGTAACGAGAAATATCTGCGTCTGCACACGCATGCGGATGCCCCAGTGCAGACAAGCAGCCGTCATACATTGTACATACATACATATATATATAACCTGCACATTAATTCTATAGATATAAACTTCACATTTATTCTGCATATTTAACCTGCACATTTTTTTCATACATATAACCTGCACATTTACATATATAACCTGCACATTTATATATATAACCTGCACATTTATTCTACATACATAACCTGCACATTTATTTATTCTATATACATAGCCTGCAGAGGGGCTGGCGTATAGCAGCTTGCAGAGAAGAAGACTGCTATACGCCTGGCACTCGTTGCCGTTATGAGCGCAGGCAAGAGGAGAGTCAGGGTGTCTAGGGAGTCGTTCTCCCGTCACCTTCTCCCTCTCCCCCTTCCATCTACCTCCCGCTGGCTAACACGGTGTGTGAGCCTTTTTGGAGTATACACAAGGCGCTAGAAAAAAAGATGCCGCTACCCATGGCTACATGTGGGTCGAGCACGGGGAGCCCGGCGCGAGGTAGACAGGGAAAATGGTGAAGGCGGGGGAAAAAGGGGAAAAAAGCCTCATTTTGGGGTGGCTATGATGGAGGAGATCGATGGCTAGCTGTTCGCATCTATGCCTTTCCCAGCCAGCTGTGCAGGCGGAGAGGTTGCTCACTGCATGAGCTCAGCGAAGGAGAGAGCTTCGTCGATGCCAGGCACCGCTTGCAGAAGATCGGGGAGAAGCTGCGCAAGCGCCTGTGCGTCTTTGGAGTCTGCCAGGCGAAAATCGGTGGCTTCATGTTGACGCGCATCGATTTCCTGAAGGCAGCATTCCAATCAGTCGACTAGCAGATTTTGGGGGGGCAGGCTTTTCGGGGTGAAAGAAAAGCGACCCTGTGGAGGCAGTCGGAAGAAACGGCGTGCAGAGGAGGCGGCTGCCTGCTGCTGCTAAAGGCCAAGAGGCACGCAGTATCCTCGTTCCCCTCTCTTCTCCACACATCTCCTTCCTGGAGAAGTCGGATGGTCCCTCAGGCGCTGCTTCGCGCTCTTGCGCCTTCCTGGGGAGGGGGAAAGGAGCTTTCGGCTCACACCCTGCCCTCACCATGGCGTAAAGGTTGGAAAAGCCATTCACGAGGGACGGCGTGCTGCTGAACTTCTGCGTCAAGGCATCGCTCAAATTGTGTGCAGGGTCGGTGGAGAGCAGCAACACCTGCGCGCGTGCAGAACATGCCTCGAGACGCCGCAAACTCCAGAATTATGAAGCCACACCGAGGGAGGCCAAGCTTGGATGCAAGCCGAGGGGCTGGCTCTTCTGCAGCCCGACAAAAGGCATAGAATAGACGCAACGACATGGGCGCACAGACAGACACATACTTGTACATACACTTGCACACACACAGAAAGACACTAGCCGCTGCGCGCGGGGAAGTGCAGCAGACACACACACAAACGCAGCTTCTCCTGCTGTCGGCTTACCGATTCTCGCTGCTCGGCGAGTTTGGCTGCGATAGCGCAGCTAGTGGTCGTCTTCCCAACACCGCCCTTGCCCCCTGAGGCGCATGCAAGGCAGCTCCACCATCGCACAGAAGAGGGGTTGCTGGTAGGCCGTATATGCATCAGGAGGAGGCCCCCTGCACGAGGCAACAAGCGCTGCAGCTCGTCATGGTCACCATACACCCGAAATCTTCACCACGCCGGCGCGGCAGCACTAATCGCCACGCGAAGGATGAAGCAGCGGCGCAGTCTGATCGATTGCGTACCCACGAAAATCCATTTCAAAGAAGGCGTTTGAATCAACTCAAGCAGACTCCCCTCGAGGGGGCACTCGGCGTCTTCCATGACGCCCGCCGACAGGGGCAGTGCAAGTTCAGCGAGACACACGCGCTGCTTCGCGCGCTGTCCTTTGCAGAGCTGCAGCAGCAGCGGCTTTGTTGGAATAACAAAAGCTTTAAAACGGGGGAATCGCCGCTGGAGGAAGTTCGATGCTCCTGCAAGGGCTGGTGCTGCGGCTGCTGCGGCTGTCAGAGAGGCGCATGCGCAGCAGCAGCCTTTGCCACAGGCCGTGGCGGCAGCAGACGCGTGCCTGACTGTGTGTGCGCTGGCGCGCGAACCACCGCCTTTAGAAGAGCGCTTTAAAAAGGAATTTCAGAGACGAAAGCTGAATTTGCGCATTCTCTCCCTGATACAAGAGCGATTCTAAGGGCCTGCGATCGGGGGTGGTGCTTAAGAGGGAGGGCGCAGCGTCAGTGTTCTCCGAAGGTGGTGGTTGTGGTGGTGGTGGTGGTGGTTGTGGTTGTGGTTGTGGTGGGTGAGGGAGGGAGGGCCCCCTTCCCGCCTCCTCCTTCCTCGCTCGCTCCTCTGCGTGCGACGCTACCCCCACTGCCGACAAGCAGCACTGGGGTGTGTATTGGCGCTGTTTCAACCTCCCTTGTTTTGTCTTCTCTCACTTAACGACACCCTCCGCGCATGTATTTTGACCCTTCCTGGCTTCAGCGAAACGCGATCTTGGGCAGAGAAGTTGGGGATTTGGCGGCTGCTGCACTGACATCGACGCAGCAAAGCGTCGAGAGGGAGAAACTTCTACGTCTAATTTGCCTCAAGAGGAGGGGCACGCTCGGAGAAACGCAGCGCGAATAACCTCCACGCAAGCCGGCAGCAGATTAACCCCTGCAAAGAGAGGCCATACTAAACGCTGCTTCTGCGGGAAGAACGGCTGCAGAGTCACCGCTGAGCAGGGGAGACACCCCGCGTACTCCTGCAGGAGCAGCAGCGAAGGCAAATATGGCAGCTGCCACAGGCTTGCGCTCTCTGAGTAGGCTGGTGACTCAGCAGCAACAGCAGCAGCAGCAACAGCAGCTACAACATCGGCGGAGGCGGCTCCTCGAGGAAAGAGACAGCGATGGATTTTTGAGGCCATCTGCCTTGAAGAAGAAACGCGTTCATTCGAGGAGCTCACTCAGCAGCAGCAACAAGAAAAGCAGCAAACCGCTAACCAGAGGAGCAGCTCGCCTCGCCACACAGGCTGACCGATGCGACACAGAGGAGGCATTCGCAGCCAGCAGCGAGAGCAGCAGCAGCGAGAGCAGCAGCAGCTCCTACTACAACAGCAGCAGCGATGAAGAGACAGCGGGCGTCGAAAAGTCATCGGAAGCCTCCGCTGTCGTGTCGGTGCTGCGAGACAAAAAACGGGCAGCAAGAGGGCGCTGCAAAAGAACGCAATCCACGCAGCAAAAGCAGCAGCAGCAACAAAGCGGCAAGGAGGCCGAACGTCATGAGCTGCTGCTACCCCTACCAACTGACGATGCGCTGTCTCTAGAAGCCGTTACAAAGAATCCTCAAGCAGCAGCAAGCGCCTTTGCGAAGCAGTTGCTAGTGGCAAGACTACCAAATCAAGAAAATGAAGACTTCATAAAAGCACTCACAACACAAGCTGGACGCCTCTTGTCGCTCCTCTCCATGGTACTTAGCGCTCGTCATGTGGTGCTCTTATGGCTCTGATTATTCTTGTTCCTCGCATTCCTGTTACTGCTCATTTTGCGTGTTTTGCTCTCATTTACCTTATTCCTCTTACTGCTCCTATTGTTCGGATTGCTCTAATCATTCTTATTCCTCTTACTGCTCATTTTGCGTGTTTTGCTCTGATTGATCTTATTGCTCTCATTGCTCTTACTGCTCGTACTGCTCTCACTGCTCTTATTCCTCTCACTGCTCATTTTGCGTGTTTTGCTCTCATTGATCTTATTGCTCTCATCGCTCTTATTCCTCTTACTGCTCACTTTTCCTCTTATTCCTCTCACTGCTCATTTTGCGTGTTTTGCTCTAATTCCTCTTATTTCTCATTGTGATCCAGTTACTGTTAGTGCTTTATTACTCTCATTCCTCTTATTCCTCTTACTGCTCACTGTTCTTCTTATTCCTCTTACTGCTCTTACTGCTCGGATTGCTCTAATTATTCTTATTCCTCTTACTGCTCATTTCGCGTGTTTTGCTCCAATTCCTCCTACTGCTCTCATCGCTCTTATTCCTCTTACTGCTCTTATTCCTCTTATTCCTCTTATTGCTCCCATTTCTCTGATTGTTCTCGATTATGGTGCATGTGCACATGCATCTTCCTCTCTCGTTGCTGCTTTTGCGCAGCTATCCCCTGGAGCGTAAGTAGGTGCAGTTGAGCTTTTCGTTTTTACTGCTGTGCATTTTCCAGTGTCGCCTTTGTGCTGCATGCCTCTTTAGGCGGTCGGCTTGAAGCCGCTAGCGACGGAGGCTCCAGAGGGAGGGGGGAAGACTCCCCCCTTGAGGCTGCTTTGCCAGCGTCTTCTTCTGCGCAGTCGAGATAAACACATTTGCATGCGACGACGACAGCAGCAGCAGAAGCCTCAGCCCGCTCAGGAAGACGTAGCCGCCTTGACGGAGCTGATCGTGCTCTCCGCTGCTGCCTCGCAGAGATCTCTGCAGCAGCAGCCTCTGCAGCAGCAGCCAGTTCGCACCAGCAGCTGCAACGCGCTGCGTGTCTTCTTTCATTGCCTTGTGGAAGAAGAGGTCGTGCAGCTGGCTGCCGCTGCAGAGGGGGAAGGAGGCTTCTCCCTGATGGTATCGTTGGTGTTGGTGCTGTCGCAATCTCCTGCACGGCGTCTTCGGCTTGCAGCTACGATTGCCGGTAAGACTTTTTGCAGCTTCTCGCTCATCGGCTTCGTGCTGCTGCTGCTGCCGCTGCTCCAGCTCTGTCTTCGCCAGCAGGTGCTCTCTCACGCCTTCTGCCAATGATTTTTCTCTCTTTCTCGCTCTCTGCGCTGCTGCTTGTCTCGGGGGTTGTGTGCAGCTGTCGGCATTCTGAGTGGCACGATAGCAGCGGCTGCCAACACCGCCCGTGAGGCACAGCGCTTTCGCGTGCAGCAACAGCAGCTGCTGCTGCAGCAGCAGCTGCAGCAACAGCGCAGACAGCAGCTGCAGCAGCAGGAAGCAGGGGGCAATGCTGCTGGTGAGACGCTGCAGCAGCGGCTGCAGCAGCTGGCTGCCGAGGAGGTCGCTTTGCAGCAGCTTCTGCAGCGACTCTCCCATGTGTTGTTGCAGCGTGGCGACGATGTGTGTTTCCACATCAGAACAGAGGCGCTCAAGGCACTGGTGCGTTTTTGGCTGCTCGAAATCGGCTGCTGCTCTTGGCGGATAAGCTCCTGCCCTAGCAGCGTCTGTTTGCGGTGTCGCTCACTTTTATGCATGATGGCGATGCAGCAGCAGCCATCTGCTGCGAGTTTCTCCGTGTTTGTTGTCGCGCTCAGACCATAGGGCTTCCCTTTGCTGCTACCTCCCTCGCGCTGCAGCCTCCACTTTTCGAACTTGTGCTTCCCCTGCTGCATTCGCGACAGCAGCGCAATCCCCAGCAGCAGCAAGAGGAGGTGCTGGCTGCCTTAAGCCTTTTTCACTTGCTGACGCATGCGCTTAGCGACTTCGAGCAGCAGCAGCAGCAGCAGCAGCAGCAGCAGCTGCAGCACCAGCTGCCGGAGCAGCCTCCGCTAGCGCAAGCACTGACGCAGACTGCGGCAGCTGACTGCCGCAGATTCGTGGAGCTGGCTCTTCCTTCTGTGGTGCTTCAAACGGCAGCGAAGGATCCTGTCGTTGCCTCAGCCTCCCTCCGCTGTTTGCTGCCCCTTGCTGCCGCAACAGCCGCTGCTGCAACTGCGCCAGCAGAGGCGATACGAGAGCACTCGCTGCCGCTGCTCAATGATCTGCAACTCCGGCAGCTGCTGGATGTCTTCTGGATCTCCACTGAAAGCCTCACCCTAGAGGCTTCGGCAGCAGTCGTCGGAACGCTGTTTCTACCCCCCGCCATTGCTGCACGCTGCTCCTCCTTGTACGTGCATGTGCTGCTTCGTTTGCTGCGCTTTTACCGCAGGCAGGAAGCGGCAGCTCTAAGTCGAAATGCATGAGTGCCCTTGTGTCTGATGCGGTGCCTGTCACGCAGCAACAACAGCAACAGCAGCAACAACAACTGCAACAACACCAACAGCAGCAACAATAACAACACTGAAGAGATTTATGCGTTGCTAGACTTTTGTACTGCCTACTTACCCAAGGCAGCCTTGTGCAGCAGTAGCAGCAGCAACAACAGCAGCAGCAACAACAGCAGCAGCAACAGCCGCGATGACGACGGTGATAGCAGCAGGATCGGGAGTCGTCGCGATCTCTCGTGCTCTTTGGCAGAGAATGTGGTACTGGGGTTCTGGCATTTGCTGCCGTCTGTACAGCGGGTGGATCTGCTGCTGCAGCTGCTGCAGGAGCAGATGCAGCAGGAGGAAGAGGCAACAAGTGGGCAGCAGAGAACGCTGCTGCTTTCGTTCTGCTGTGCTGCTATGAAGAAGCTCAACTGGTGCAGCGCTCTGTGGGGGTGTCTGGGCAGCAGTTGCAGCAGCAGTTGCAGCAGCAGTGCCGGAGGAGGCTCTTTCCAGCCGCATGCCAACGGCAGCGCTTCCAGCAGCAGCACCAGTAGCTGTGCTGCAAGGCTGCAGCTCTGCTGTAGCCCTCCTGGGCAGTGTCTGTACAGCCGAGTGGCTGCGATCTCCTCCTGGAGACACCTGCTGCAGCCATTGCAGCCGTTGCAATTGCAGCAGCAGCCATTGCAACTGCGCAGCATGGCAGTCGCTTTCTCGCAGCAGATCTTAGAGGCGCTGCCTCTGCTGTATGAACACCTCAAAGTGCGTTCCTCTTGTGGGAATGGTTGGCTCTGTGCTGCTGATGGAAATTCGCTGCTGCTTTGAGGAAGCTGTCTTCGTGCGTGACTAGCACGCCTGCCTCCTGCCTGCTGCCTCTGTGTTGCCGCTGCGTCTCAGGTAGACTGTCGAAGAGGGGAAGAAGGCAGCGTCGAAGAGGACTATCGGCAGCAGCAGCAAATGCTGCTCTTCACCTTGTTCTTTTGGACGTGTGTGCCTCCTCCGTGTTTCGGCATGCATCTTGCGCAGGCAGCGTTGCCTGCTACCTCGACGCTGCTGCGTGCGCTGCAGCACCGAGGCTTCAAGCAGATTTCGCAGCAGGAGAGCTCGTTGAAGGAGTGCAGCTGCGCCTTCCTTGCATGCATTAATAGCAGCAGCAGCGGCGCAACAGTCACTGCCGAGCTGCTGCGCCTCCTGCACACTGCGGCTAAGGCAGACGCCATGTGTCTTCCAGCGCAGCAGATAGCGCTAGGCTGTCTAGGCAACATCCTCCTGCTCCTGCCTTCTGCTGCCGCAGGAGAAGCAGCGTCTATGGGATTTGAGCTTGCAGCAGATCTTACAGTGGCGGAGGCAGCTCTCAAGGCTCAAGTGCTCGTCAACGGAAACGACGCTTCGGCAGCAGCAGCATCGGCAGAGGCAGGAGAGGCTGCATCCTCAACGACGCTGCAAGTCAATCCTCTGCTCACCTCGACAGCAGCACCAAAGGCTGCTGCTGCTGATGCAGCGCTTACAGCTGCAGCAGCTCGCCTTCTCGCCTTCACACGATTCAGCAGCAGCAGCAGCAGCAGCAGCACAGCAGCTGCGCTAGCTACTGCTGCAGAAGCAGCCATGTCTGTGCTGCACATGCGTGTCATGGTAGCGGCCGCTGCCGCTGCGCAGCAAAATGAGCAACAACAACAAGAGCAACAACAACAGCAAGAACAAGAGAAACAACAGCAACGACAACAACAGAAACAACAACAGAAACAACAAGAGTCTCCAGTCGCTTCTATACCTTGTGAGCAGAGCTTCGAGAGCGAGCAAATCCTTCGGCAGCTGCTGCTCCTCAGTGTTGTGCTCCAGTTCACCCCTTCCCCTTCATTCTTTGTTTTGTTTCTCTCGCTGTTGTTGCAGCCTGCAGCTCCGTCCTTGCTGCCGTCGAAAGCCTCCTTGCGCTCTACGAGCAGCAAACAGGCGCTTTGCTGCTGCTCCAGCAGCAGTGCTTGAACACCCTGCAGCAACTGCAGCAGCTGCAGCAGGAAGAAGAGCAGGATGAGAATGTGCGTGCGCTAGAAAACGCACAAGAGGCATCGCAGCATCAGGGCGAGGACCGCTCAAAGCACTCAAAAAAGGCGTCAACAACAACGCCAGATGCAGAAGACACTCTGCTGCAACAGAAGCAACGTCGTCAGGAGCTTCTGGATCACCTTAAGCATCAGTTTACTACCCTTGCAGATGCTCTGGTGCGCTTGCAACTTCCCTGGTTCTCGTTGCTGCTCTGATGCTCCACTTCGTGCTGTGCTGTAGGCTGCCAACTGCGTGCTTCTGCTTTAGACGCTTGACACTGCTGCGCAAAGGGCTGCTGTTTGATGCAGGGGGAGGCGCAGCTGCTTAGGCGTCGGCTCACGATGCTTTGTGTAGCTATTTTAGAGACAGATGCCGATTCGCTCGTGCTGCTGTCTGCTCTCAGATGCTCCTGCCTGTTGGGTAAGTTCCCTAGCATTCTCTGTGTGTGTGTGTCTCTCTCTATCGTTCACTCTGTCTGTCTGTCTGTCTCTCTCTCTCTATCTCATTCTCTCTCTCTCGGTGTCTCTGACTTGGTTTTTAGAACCTTTCTGAGACGTATTCGTTCTACCCTTTGTTGGAGAGATGCCTTGCGCCAGCAGTCTCAGACCTCTTGCTACGACGAAACCGTTTTGCATGCCGTTGCTGCTGTCTGTGCCTTCCCGACATGGCCTCTTGCTGCGCCCTTTCGTTCGCACGTCGGATGAGGATGGTGGTGGGGATGGGGAGAGTTGCTCGATGAAGTGTGGTGCTGTCTTGCCTCTGCTGCGACTCAAAACTGCCTGAGCAACCTCCCCCCTCTGCTGCCTCTCTGTGCTTCACTGCATGCAGCGCGAGCAGAAGCCTCCCTCCTGCCCTTTTCCTCGGCAGCTGCAAGTCACCTTGCAGCTGCTGCGCTGCCAGGTGACTTGCAGCGGCTGCTGCCACATGCAGTCGTGTACGAACATTCGGCAGCAGAGCAGCGTGCCTTGGTGGAGGCTTTTATGAATGTCACACCGTGCCAGCAACAGCGTGGGAATCACACAGAGCAGCAGCAGGAAAACGCAGCAGCCGCAGCTGCTGCTGCCGTTGCAACAGGGGGGGCGTATGATGTGCTGGGGGGAAAGAAGGATAGCGTGGCTGCCTTGCTGCTGGCTTCGATAGGGGACAGGCGCTTGTCTGCCTTTATAGCGCAGTGTCTCTCCCCCCAAGAGCAGGCGCAGCAGCGGCTGACACTGTTGCAGAAGCAGCTAGCCGCAGAAATCCGAGAATACTGCTGCGTGTTGATAAGGCAGAGCTGCAGCGAATCTCTTTGGAGCAGCGGCATCGGAGCGTCGCTGTTGCTCCTGTTGATACACCCGCAGCAGCCTTTGCAGCAGCAAGCCCTCAGTTTCTTGCTGGAGTTGAAGCGCCAGTCGTTTTCGCTGCTGCTGCGGCTGCTGCTGCAGGCGCTGCGGCAGTTGCATGCGTTGCGGTGGCTCGAGCCTTTGGAGGACGCAGCAGCAGCAGCAGCAGCAGGAGGAGAAGGAGGCTTGGCTGCTGCTGCTGCTTCTGCTGAGTTGAAGCAGCAGGTGCAGCGAGACATGCTGCTCTTCATGACGACAGCCACGCAGCGGTTGGGCGTCTTGCTAACGCAGCGGCAGCAGCAGCAGCTGATCGCCGCACTCCGCGAAGCAGCAGCAGCAGCACGAAGGACGAAGCGGCGCATTGTGATGCTGCTCGGGAGTATGGGCAGCAGCAGCAGCAGCAGCAGCAGCAGCGGGTGGCTTGTTGCGGCAGCGCCGTTGCTGCAGCGCCGCTTGGTGTCTGAACAGAATCTGCTGCTGCTGCAGCAGCATCTCAAGGAGGACTTAAAGGCACATGGGGGGCAGTGGCAAGGCAGTGAAGAGCAGCAGCTGCTGCTGGCTGCTGCTGGTGCCAAGAAAAGCGGCAGTTTTAGCGCAGGGGTGGGTGCTGAAGAGGCCGTCGCTGCACGCAGTAGGGCTGGCAGCAGCAGCAGCAGCAGCAGCAGCAGCACTGGAGCAGTTTCTGCAGTAGCGGCGGCAGCTGCGTCTGCGGGAGCGGCTGCCGCAGCGACTGCGCTGCAGTTGCTGCCATCGTCGGCGGCAACGGGGGCTGCTGCTGCAGCAAGACGCAGCAGCAGCAACGCTGCAGCGACTGGCGCAAAGGCAAGGCAAGACTCGGCGGGCAGCAACGAAGAGCTGCGCGCAGGGGGCAAGAAGCACCAGCTCGAGCTTCAGGAGCAAGTGGCGATGCAGCAACAACTGGCAGAGGAGCTGCAGCCAGAGCGAGAAGGAGAATCGCTCGGCAAAGATCACGCAGGAGGAGAAGGCGAAGGCGAAGAATCGCCACAGCAGCAGCTCCAAGAGCCACAGGAGGCGCTTCTGGCACTAGAGCCAGCACACCAGCAGCTGCTTTTCTCAGAGGCAAGGCGGCAGCAGCAAAAACAGAAAGGACAAGGCAAGGCGCAGAACCAGCAGCGAAAGAAATCAAAGCCTCAGCAGCAGCGAAAGACTCACCATCAGCCCCTGCAGTGCCAGCAGGCAACTTCCAGCAATTGCCAAGGAGAATTGTCGCCTTCACCCCCTCCCTCACAGCCGTCGCTGTTGCCTCCTCCCCAGCAGCCCAGGGAGCGAAAAGAGCGCAGCGGCAGAACCTCGAGGAGCGTTATTCGAGCAACAAAGCCAAATCAGCTTTCCGCTGTGCGTCAGGCAGCAGCGAATCGCACGGAGCAGCGGCGGGAGCAGCGGCGTGAGAGCGAGCAGCAGTCCGATTTGCAAAGCCTGCCCTCTGTCGAGTATCCGAAGCCGTCTCGTGCTGTTGTGCAGCACGAGCAGCCACCGCTCCAGCACGAGCATGCATCGTCCTCACCAGTGCCAGAAGCCTCGTGGGAGACTGCCTCGAATGCCACATCCTTTGCTGCCGACCTTTTTGACTTTTAGTCGGCTTTTACAGCGCATTTTCATCAGCGCGTATGTATGCATGTTCGCCAGGCGCAATGCGCAATGCAGTGCCTGATACGAGCGCCTTCTGCATTTGCAGCAGTTTGTGGCAGCTCTTGATACTGTTTTCTCCTCCTCCCTTCCTCCGTTGTGTTTTTAAACCGAAGCCGCTGGATTTTGGAGGGCACCCCTATGCGAGTACCCCTTCCTATTCAGGTGTACAGACAGCAGCTGACTTGTGCTACATGATAGCGAGGAGTCCCTCCTTATCTGTTGCGCGCGCAAACGGGCATCTTTTTTGGTGTGCATGCACCGCTCCGTTCCGAGGAGAGAGAACTTTTTGTTTCTAGGATTTGGACTGGGCAAACCTGGCTGACGGTTGCCGAAGGGGAAGCAAGGGAAAGGGTAGAGCTAATTTCAAAGGGTAAGAGTCACTAGAAGAAAGCCATGAGATACACAGTGCTCTTGCGGATGGAAACTAACTATGCAGAGGTGGCTTTGCAAATTAGAAACATGTCCTGGGAATTTGTTGGTATCGGAGGCGCTCTCAACGGCCATGCCTGCAGGAGCGCCTCACTGCTCGTGTGCTCTCCCTGGCTTCGCGCCTCAAGATTTGATGGCGTAGCGAGTCGCTTTGCCTTCCGCAGAGGAGCTACGGGGGTGGGAGCTTGCGGTTAGAGAGTTAGGCTAGGAGGTGGTGAGGCGGCTTTCTTGACTCCCCGTCCTCAAGCTAGGCCTCCGCTCGGAGGCTGGCAAGTAGCTGAGGCTGTTTTCGAGATCTTATGTACCAATGAGAGCAGACTTAAAATCAGACTGGTGCGCTCCTTGACATCTGGGGTGACCTCGCTGCCGCTGGTGTTCTTTGTGTGTACTGCGACGGCCTCCCTCCTGCATGCGGCGGTAGCTATTGCATCCGCTTCACTTTGCTGCACGCCATGAAGTCAGCTTCCTCGCTCCTCTAAAAATGCACGAAGTCGCGCATACTGATGGCTGAAATTCATATTCGTGGGGTGAAAGAGCAAGCCATGAAAACAGCCCGCATTTTCCGCGTTACGCGTGGCAACAACGCTCCAGGCCACTACCAAAGCAGCACAAACACTGGGGTGGCAGGTTCTGGACGGCAATCAGCTGCGCACTGAAGACGTATGTACACCAGGCGCCATGTCGAAACGGCTATTAACAGAGGCATGCTGTGTAGGAGCACGGAGGGCTGTCGAAACAAAGCACACCTCGTCTCTCCTACTGAACCGTGCTAAGCTCGGAAGTCCATGAATTTCGGTGTGCACTAAGGAGCGCAGGCCCCTTGTGCCTTGCTTTTTGATGCGCAGGTACAATGTGCCAGCCTAAAGCCACAAGGCTCTCTGCAAACTGCTTTGTAGAGCACTTCGGCAAACACATGTTTCGCTACTGCCAGTCTGCGGAATCAGTGCCCCAGCAGTACCGTTGTAATAACGAAGAACGGACATTGCATTGTCTGCAAGTAAAACAGAAACATGCCATCAGCACTATGTAATCAATGCTAGGACCTTGCCCTTTAGATCTTAGCACAGAGACACTTGACGCCCGACTCAACGGAAACCGCATGCAACGTTATCATGAGTTGTTTCGAAAGAGCAACTGCTTCGCCCTTTCCTCAGGCCCCGCAATGATCGGGAATAGATGACAGCTAGGATGCACTTCGATGCGCTTTAAAACACGCCGAGAACTCGCAGCTAATTGCACACAGCAGCACGCAAACAACCTCTGGTGTTGCGCTGAGCTCCTGCTACTCTGCGAAGACACAGGATCTACGAGCAGTCACACCAAATAGTCTATTTTTAACCCACTATTGAATAAATATCCCAAGTGTAATTGAAGGTGCCTATGTGTACCTCAGCCCGCCCAAAAGGCTCTTCTCTACAAGAGGCGGCCAAACATGAACACGTGTCTTTTCACTGCAGCGAACGTAAGTCACCCTGGATGCAGCCTATGAGAAGTGTGGGTAAAGTGCTCCCCGCGTCTCGTTCTCATTTAACCTGGCCAGGCCGCCTGCCTGCCATGCGTGCCAGTGTTTTTCACTAACTCGCCGTTATCTAAACTTCAGGTGGAAACCTTATTTAGTGCTGCAAATGCGTGATCAGGCATGTCTTGAAGATCACTGAGTGCCTAGGCTATATATACATATATATATTTGAGGAACTCTATGGAAACTTGCTTGTCGGATACCTGAGCAGTAGCAACACCGTGGGAATGTCAGAAATACCAGACGCGAGCAGCAGCTCCCCAGTGCAGCCCTAGATATGGGAGCTTAAGACACGCATCCACCGGGAAATACCAAGTTGGGTATTGCAGAGCGTAGGGATTGCAGACACGAATGAATGTCACAAACAGCAGAGCTGCTGCTACTGCTGGCGCTGCTGTTATGGTTGCTAGTTCAGCTGCTGCAAAGCCTTTTCGTGTTTTGCATGAACGGCCAGTACGGTTTTTGGGTGAGCTAGACCCTATGTGGCGAATGTCTTAAATGTATGTTGCCAGTGGCAATACTTCGTCTGCCTCTGTGTGCTATCGCTGCTACTACTGGTACGGCTGCTACACTGCAGCTGTTGCTGCTGCTGTTGCTGCGCCGCCGTAGGCGCCAAGTTACAAGAACTGCAGGCAACAGGCGCTGATAATTTTTTAAAATTTTAATTGTCATTTCAGAATTTCATGCGCGTTGGTCCATCTGTCGCTGCTTTTTCTCTCGTCGCTGCTTGTGTTGCGGTGCCTGTTGCTGCACCGACTCAACGAGCGGTCTCGCTGCCCCCCTAAGTTCTAGATACCTTTCGGAGCCCTCCTACTGCCTCTTTTCTATCGTTTTTGTCTGAAAGCTTCACCAAAGCGGAGGAGCCAGAAACAGCGACTGGAGCAGCAACAGGACGAGCAGTAGCGGTTTCTCAACGGCTGTGCTTTTTGCGGCATCCGAATTTCAGGCACGTTCTTGCTGCTGCGGCTGCAGGGTCTGGCCAGGGTGCATTTTCGGATAGCACTCGTCTGAGAATAGGCAGGAGCATCAACAGCAGGACCGTGAGCGCAGTTGCAAAACATGCAATACTTGCAATTACACAGTGCGAAGAACGCCACGAAGTGCAGTCGTACGAACACCATCAGCTGTCTTTGTAGTTCCTGAGAGGAATCCCGTCTGAGCACATTCCTTTCCGCTGCGCCTGCAGCAATGGATTTGCGGTGTAAGCGGCTGGCCGCGTTGATTGCAGCAGCAGCAGGCAGCTGCTTCTGCAGCGTGTTGCTCCTGGATGCGGGTTCAATCCCCGTCGGCAACTCCTTGGCAACTTCCACAGCGGCAGCTACAGCAGCTAGCTTTTACGGCCGTGCAGTAGCAGCAGTTGCTGCCTTGCAGCACCAAGTTGGTGCCGTCCTCGCAGATCCTCCACGGCAACTCGCTGATGCCTTTTCCTTCTTGCCAGACGCCCTTCAACTCCGCCGTCTGCCAAGCCCTAGTGAACACTTTCCAGAGTATGCGGCGAGAATCTTTAGCCTCACTCACCTACACGTGTGCTAGTCGCTCTGCAGCGTGGCGCTAAACGCCCAGCCGGCAGCTGCAGCGCTTCGTCCCCTCACGCATGCGTATGCTGGTGCCTTCAGGTGTCTGCACACTCCCGATATCAGCTCGTTGCTCCAAGATGCGCAGCTGCTGCACCCTCTGCTGCAACAGCTGAAGCGGAGGACCTTCTTCCGCATTTTCAAGCTGAACATCAAGCAGAAGACTTGCCAGAGAGACTTCCTGCTGCGCTCCGACAGGCAGCTGCGGCAGCAGCAGCAGCAGCAGGCGCAGCAACAGCAGCAGGAGCGACAAACACAGCTCACTCCGAAGAGTGTCTTCCCACACACTCCAAACTCCTTTTCGCTGGCTGTCGGCGCAGGTGCAGACACCCCAGCAGCAGCAGCGGATTTGGTGACTGACGAAGATGAAGGAAAGTGTGAAGCGCCAGAAAAGTGCGGACTCTGCACATGCAGCGACGAGCAAGTGCCTCTCAGCTGGAAGCAAAAGCCGATAGAAGACTTTGTGGACAGGAGACACGCAGGTCGGTTGATCCTCGCAATGCGCCTACAAGCGTTGCCGTAGCTGCTGATGAGACTGCACTGCGTCTGATGCCAGTGCTCCTGCTGCTCTCTCCGCTGCCGCTGCCGCTGCCTTTTTTTCGCGAAAATCGCGAGGAGGCTGTCGCTTCGCAGGTAGCGCTGATGGCCTCTTGGCGCCAACGCTACGCTGTCGCTGTGGTCGATGCAGCTTCCTTCTACCGGTGGAAGGAGTCTTCGCTGACTCCCGACGCCCCCTTCAGCGGCAGCGACAGCAGCGGCGTCAGCAATAGCGGCAGCAGCAAGAGCGCAGAAGCAGAAGCAGAAGCAGCGGCGCAGCCTCCCGTGTATGTAGACTTGATGCGAAATCCTCCAGGGTATACTGAATACCAGGGGGGCCCTATATGGGATGCTTTGCAGCACCAGCTATTTCGACTGCAGCAGCAAGAGCTGCAGCAGAACTACCAAGGAGATGCGAGAACGTGCGGCACTGCAGCCAAGCTGTCTTTGATCCTCTCTGGCATGCAATCCAACATCTCAGCCCTCGCTGGGGAATACTACTACTCGAATTTCTCGCAGCTTCACCAGCAGTCCGAGCAACAAGATGCCGTAGAAACGCCTCTTCCCCCCACCCCTGCGCCTTCCGTCTCCTTCTTCCTTTCGCGCTTTGCTCGGCATCCTGAGAGGCTTCAGAGTCTCTTCTTCACTTTCGCCTTCATCCTGAAGGGTGTCTGCCGACTCACAGATGTTTTGCAGGAATGTAGCTGCGAGACAGGTATGTATTTCGCCTTTTTCCCGTGCTTTTGGCAGTCGGCTGGAGTTGCGCTGAAGGCTGCAAGGCCTCTCGCTAGAGGGGGATTTTGCTGAACATCCTCATGCGTCTTGTGCTATCGCGTCTGTATGCCCGTGCGTAGTGGAGTCTTCGGCGTGAGCGGCAACACTAGCTGGCTGCTGCTGAAGAGTGAGGCTCTGGTCCTTTTGCAGGAAACACGTCAGACGATTTGCCCGCCCGTGCAGAATTGCTGCAAGTCCTCAATGCAACTGCCTCTCAGCTCTCTGCATGCAACAGCAAATACCAGCAGCACCTCTTCAAGGCAGACAGGTCCTTATGGTTGCAGTCCCTTGGGTGCTCCCCGTGTCGCTGTTTATGTTGCTGCTGTTTTTTGGAAGCTGCTGATTCCAGAGCCGCTTTTTTCAGCGCTTTAGCTCTTCGTTTGAGGCCATGCTGCTTCGGCTGCTTGCGAGGATGCTGCTGCTGCCTTGCCGCTTTGAGCCGCCACACTCCTTCTTCTTGAGGAACTCCTCGACGTTTGCAGCATGCTGCTTTGCTAGCATGCTGCTTTGCTAGCATCCCCCTTTTTAGGCCCTTTGGCAGGTGGTGGTTGTGTGTTGCGCAGCCCCTTAGGCTTCCTGGAGTCTGCCGAGAGCATCGAGTCGCTGCTGCGTTGCGTCTCCTGCGAGAAGTGCCAGCTGCATGGCACCATCAAACTCACTGCACTCAGGCTTGCTGCAAAAGTATGTGCTTCATGATGCTGCCTCTGCCTGTAGTGTGCTGCTGTTGCATCTAATACAGTGAAATGTTTTATTGCGCCTTTGGGCGGCTTAGGGGCCCCTCGTGAGTAATTGTACCCTTCTGAGGCTGCTGCTGTCAAATATGCCCAGGCTGCAACAGAAAACACACCTCTAACACATTTGGAGAGGAACGAAGTGACGGCCACTCTGAACGCCTTGTACTACTTCGCTGATTCGATCTTAGCAGTGGAGCGCATGCGTTTCAGGGTTTGCGCGCACAACTTGCTGTTGCTTGCCTCTGCAGCGCTGTTCTTCGTGCTGCTGTTGCTGCTGCTGCTCGCGCTTATTAGATCCGTAACAGGCTACGGCAAAACACGCTCAAAGCTCATGCAGCCGAAGCTGAAAAAGAAAGACTGATTCTGCTGCTCTTAACTCCACTGCAACAGCTGCTGCAGCAGAGAGAATTGTGGCATCCTTCATGGCGGAATTTGGCACAGCGTAGTAGCAGTACCGAGAGCATACTCCCCAGCTCATGCATTTCAGATGCCCCTGCAGCACCTCCCTTATTTACAACTGTATTCAATGCTTTCCAGTTTTAACTCGTGTATTGATGCATTTATCAATACCATTGTGCGCCTCCGCTTGCTCTTCTACATGCATATACACACATATAAACATCCAGATCCTGTGTATTTGCATAAACGCACGATCGTGGGAGCAGGTTCACGTGAGCATGAATGAGGATATCTGCACATGCCCACGTGTGAGGGGGTTTACTTGCAATTATGTGCAAGCGCGAGTAGGCGTACAGGGGTCTTTTGGGGTGTCCATGCGCGTGCATGTCTGCATGGGCACTCGACCTAGGTATGTGGCGCATTGTACATGTATTGCATTCAGTAGCCTCAACATAAACTTTTCGGGAGAGTTGCATCGCAGCCTTCCTACATACACACCAATTAGAAGATGGCTTTGTATACTGCCATGCCGTGTTGGCCAAAGAGCGGTACATTTGTGCCCCTATTACTTGTCAGGGGCTCCTGTGTGCTTTTCGTATAATATGCGCGTTTCTGATGCACGTGTACAAGCATCCATGGGAATGCACATTCCTCCTCCAGACCAAGCTTCTATCCGTACAGTCGATTTCCTGAGCCCACCTATGTAAATCTGCAGTGAGGAGACGACACGGACTTACAGCATAAATTACTGGCTGCGCACGCCTGCAGCTCGCCGAGCCTGAGGTGCCCACCACCTCACTGTTTTCTTTGTCACGGGGACGCCCATAGAGTCAGGGAACATTGCGTCCTCCCACAGAGGTGTATTTACATGCATGTGCATTGACACTAAATCCCCACTGGCAAACACATTTGCAACTGCACAGTTCTATGGCGGGATACGCTTGCATACTGCGCCCACCGAGGAAGAATCTGGAAAGTGTTTCTGACTTCCCCTGCAGCGGCAGAGAAGTCTGAAAATCGATGCTTAGCAGTGGAAGCAACGTTTGAACATTCCGAGACACTCGTCTATAGTGCATATTTTCTATTTACTGTTCCCTAGAAATATACGTATATCTACTACAGGCACAGGCTTTTACCCGTTCACCGCAAGAGATAAAAGAGAAGTATGCAACAATTGCATTGTGCATGAGTTCGTTTCGCGGGGCACTCTCCCCACTTCTTGTGCATTCGTCACTTTTATGTTTCTCTGTGCAATTCTCTGCATCTGTTTTCCTAGAAGAACTTGCCTCCCCCTTCTTGCTACGCGTTCACATGTGCCCTTCGCCTGGGCGTCCACACCCTTCCCTCCCCTCCGCGTCCGCGTTACAACACCAAACAACGCAAGCCAACGCATGAAGGAACAAGCAATGAAAGCTGACTCGAAGAGCCAGAAGGCGGCAAGAACACGGCGGCTGTTGGGAGACAGACAGTGCTCCCCAAAGGGCAACCACTAGGTAGCGAAACAGCGCGCGCAGAAAGAAAGCGAGATATCGACGTTGCGAAAATAAAATGCTCTCAAGGAAAGGTGGTTGGCCAGCGGCAGAGCCACCGGGGCGCAGCGATAATGGAAGTCAACGATGCCGTGCGCTGTATACGTTTCGCAGTGCTGCTGCTGCATAGCACAGAGCACACTCACGAACGCTTGAAAGAGGTACGGGCTCTTGGGGGCTCCACGAGGCGAGCAGCGGGGCACTCGAGAGGCCCTTAGTGGCCATCAGATGGAGAGGTTTTCATTACACATAGCAGTGCGAGGAAAGGAAACGCTGCATCGATCCGCTGTAGCGGTCAGGAATCTGCGCCATGCAGCTAATCTTCTGGGAGGCGTTATTCCTGGTGCTGCGTCAGGGTGCCGTTGCACCGTGATTATCGCCTCAAGGATGAAAAACGCAGGCCGAAGCACTTTTGGCTCCGTCTGCCGATACTTTTGCTCTTGATGCTGCTTCTGGTGGCATTTTTCTTGCGTGAGCGGCTACGTGCGCCGCTCTTGGTGCTAATGCATGCCTGATGACTCGTCGCGAGCGTCCATGCTTTCACCATCGCATTCTGCTGCTATGGGGGTGGCTTTGCTGCTGGTAGAGCCCCCTTACCGAAGCCAGGAGGGTCTAAGAGGCTAGCAAGCGCGCTGGGGGTGTCAGTCTACCTGCTATCCGTTCCACGCAGCAACTTGCTGCCGTCTTCTCTTGCACTTTGTGGAAGGTGCTGCTGCCGATCCTCCAGCCGCCCCTCCGCGAGCCCCCGTTGTTGCTGATGCAACGGGGGAGACGAGCAGTGCCGCCTGGTGCTCCTGTCGCTCGTGCTGTCGCTGCTGGACCCTGCGGCTTGCTGCAGCTGCTGCTCCGCCTCCTGTGGCGCTTGCAGAAGGCTGCAGCAACTGTCGCTGCCACCTACTGACGGCGCAACAGGTCCATTCCTTTCCAGATCTGGGGGAGCCGACCTCGGAAAGCCTTGGAAACTCTGAGGGGCTCCCAAAGGGGCGGCCGAGGTGAGATCAGATAAAGTGGGATCCGGCAAAGAGGCTGCAAAGCAACAAAAGCACGCAACGCGTCATTCGTTTCTGTCGTCGTACGCAGTCTGCTGTGCGGAGTAAGAGGCACTCGGAGACGGGGAGGGAAGGCGGAGCGGAGGAGCACGCCTCCGAGGTCGGCCACTTGCGCTGCTCGCTGTGGCTCTTTCTCTCGGTGAAAAACTTCAGCGCTTTCACGCTGCCCTCCGAGGCTCAACTCACGGGTTCTGGAGCTCAGCGGAGGGAATAGTTGCTGAACTGCGTGCACTGTGAGGATAGCCGTGGAGCTTGGGAAGAATTCGTTCAAGCCCATGCCAGCAGCCGGCCTGCAGCAAGGCGACAAACGAGATAGGAGCCTCCCCAGTGAGCAGGCAGAGCAGCCCGAAGGCCGCTTGAACGGGAATTTCAGTTGTGCGTGGGGCGGCAGCCACTACACCACCAAAGGGGGGTCTAAAAGGCTAGCAAGCGACTGCAACAAGGGAGCAACAGCCCCGCAGTCAGGCCCTACAGCGCGTTCCCCACCTAGAAGCAGCAAGGTGCGGCTCGCTGGGCACCCACGACCTCTGAGGCTCCGGAGGCTCCTCCAGGGGGCGAAGCACCTGCAAAGCAGCAAGCACAAGCCTCAGCTAGAACTTGGCCTACCCTTGCGCATGCAGATACTCAGTAGCGAAGGATGCAGGCGCAAAAAACTTGCTCCGCAGCCTCTGTGCGGACTCAGAAGAACCATAAAGCCGCAGTGTGTTTTGCCCATCGTCTCTAACAGAGCTCCGCGTTTGACCACCGTGCGCTGAACCTTTTCGTGGACGAAAGGACGGACCTGCTCCGGCGGAGCAGTCTTCGGCTGGGGTGTCTGCAGCGTTTTGTGCTTGATGGTGAGAACGAGAATGCCTCCAACACAAAGCAGGAGGCCAAGGAGGAAGCACACCCACGTGGACGGATACTCCCGCAACACCATAATTGCCCCCACGATGCCTTCCGCAACGAGGCAGCTGTTGGTTGTGGGAATGACATAAATTGCTTCGAACCTGTTAACAAAAGCAACAGGCCCCAAGCCCTCAACGCTCTCCCCTCCCTTGCTCGATATACACTGTCTGTACAGCTGCGCGAAACAAGCTCTCTGCAGCCACAGAGGCACGTGGCGAAGTCAACGACCCACAGTTAACAGTCCAACACGTACTTCCTGAGGGCGGTGTTTAAGAATAGCAACTGCAAAAGGGCCAAAAGTATGGTTGCAAAGAACACCGCGTAAGCCTGCCAACTGGAAGAATCGCACACCGCAAGGCTTTTCGGAGATGGCTTCCCAGAAAGCATGAGAATTACAGAGGCTATAGGACACCCATGGTAGAAAGGATATCCGTGTGCTGGACGTGTGCATAATGTACGGGTGAGCTAAAGTGTGTTTTATGGGCGCGTGAGAGATGTTTTAAAAGTTGGCAATACACAGGTATACAAGTGTATATATATGTGTACATATACATACACACACACACACACATATATATATATATATTACATGCAGCAGCAACGAAGAAGCCACAGCGGATTACTTCGTGAGCACTGAGAAGTCGCCCCTAAAAAGCTGCGTAACAGCAATGGTAAGCAGCTTGGCAGACACGTTTGTATTGCCCCCAAAAACTCCGGAAGCCAAGGCCAGAGAGAGGCGCTGAAAATCCACAAATCACGCACCGCACGCCTTGAGCCTGGCAGAGTGGACCCATGAAAGAACGCTGAACACACTGGCAAAGGCATGCGCGTCAGAGGAAGGAAGCAATAAGAGAACATACACCCCGAAAAGCTCACCACAACCCCCCCAACAGTCCTCCCCGTTTCCCGCGGCGCGGTTACCTGTATGGGCACCTCCCACGCGCCGAGAGAGCATGGATACAACTTTTGACTCAGCAAGACAAGCGTGAGAGTGGAAGCCGCTGCCACGGATATGTATGTGAGAGCTAGAGGTGTGCTTGCCGCAGCTCTGAACTGCGAAATCGACGTGATATCGGTCTCCTTCCCGCTGAATAGCACCAGGAGCAAAACACCTGAAATTACGCAGCTAGACCCCAAGACTTCCCAACGTCCCACACTCTCCTTCAGCCAGAAATGCGAGAGCAAAACAGCCCAGAAGATGTGAACGCCGGCGAACGGAGTGACCATCGACTGAACGCAAACCACCAATTACGCATGGGCTGAGAGGCGAGAGGGCTGCACAGGCGCGGAGGAGGGCGCAAAACACGCACGCGAACCGTCAGTGGAACGCGTTAAATTGGTGTGCGAAGTGGGGGAAAGAGAGGCGCGAAGGAACGCTTTCTTCCGCGAGTTCAGGTTGAGGGGGTGCAGGGAAGCGGGGGAGGAAGCTTTCGGAAGGCTCATGCGCGCCTTGTTCAGAAGACGTTTGTTTCGAGTGCAAGTACGGTTGTGCAGAAGACTGCGGAGGAAAGCTCACCGAAGGAGCAAAGGTGAGCGCGCCAAGCGTGCAAGCCGAATCGACCGCTGTGGTGAGGATCATCCCGATGACAAACATCGGTTTCTTCAGCATCTCCCTCACCGAAGGCTCTGGCCCCGCGGCGCTGTAGGACATACGAACCATTGTATCTACACCGCACAAGCCACGCGCACTGCACACCCTCGAGTGCCTTTCCCGGCACAGCTGCTCTGCCCGTGAAGCGCGCAAAGGCGACAGCCGTGCGCAGCGACAAGACGGCGTCGGTAGGAAGGAAGGCAGATCTGCAGGCGCACGCGCCAGGAGGGGGCTGCGCAAGTGTCTAGGGCGAAAACTTGCAAAGTACCTCCGGCAGCCCCCGAAAGGGATCCACAGAAAATGATAGAAATGCCCAAAGGCCACAGGTCCTGACGGACCACATGTGACTCTGCCATCCCGAAAGGGCGTGAAGACGAGAATCCAGCGTCAGGAGAGCGACTCTGACGCTCTGGAGTTTGGATTCCAGAGCTTGAGACCAGCAGGGTCCCAAGGAGGGGGGAAAACCCCCCCTAAGTTGTGCTCCGATGGCAGGATGCCTGGGTGAGTGTTCAGCGCTGCCTACTGATGTTTCGGTGTAAGGGACAGGATTCGAGGGCTTGGAATTCTGGTGCGCTGGCACCAGCCGAAGGAAAGGCGCGGCCTGCCTCTTCAAATTTCTGCATCTGAAAAAGAAACGTTGACAGACACTGCAAATCGTAAGCCGCAGTCCCTGAACACTAGACCCAAGTCTCGTCGACGTCGACGCGCGACGGCTGCAGGGCACTGCTGGAAGGTCCAGGTAGCCTCACACTTTGGTGCTCATGAACTCTTAAGCCAAAAACCAAAGGCATTGGATACATATGGATACATAGAGGCAGCACTCTATAAAACGAATTTCATGCTGCACGAACAGCTGATGCATGGGGCTAGGGGTCCTCAGGAGGCTTCTGTGAAACACTCAACATTTTAGTTTCCCCGTTTAAGACTAATGCTATTAAATGCCATAAGGAGAAACTTTTATACCGAGGACTGAGACGCCCGGAGTCGATGGTTTTTCTCCTATGCCCCGGTGTGTCACACTCCGGCTGCGTTCTAGAGTTTGCATGTCGGTTTCCATGTGCTTGGCTCGTCGCTGGGGCCTCCCTTCGCGACACAATTTCGTATATTTTTAACTCGTCTACGTCCAGTCCTGCGGACAAAGAGCTTTCTTTTCAGTGGCAAACCAGAAAGCGCAGAAACATGAACCCTTCCCGTAGCGGCTTCGCGGGCTCGAAGTTGTTGAACATCGCTTGCAGCAGACGGATCATAAGTGATTCACATTGCACCCACCCTTGTGGGTTGTATTTTTGGCTAAACTCCTTTTCACTGGGTCCTGCTAAGCAAGCCCACCAGTGCCCACCCCTCCAATTAGCGGCGTCCTTGATGGTAGCCGGCTAAGTTACGTCCTAAAACTTTCTGCTACACTAGTTATGTGCCCCTGAGAATTGAAAAAAAATTGCCTCTTTGATTCGTATGGTCATATATATTATTTTTGCGGTGTACAGTCAGCGCGATACATTAGACTCAATGCGGAATGCCGGCGTGTGCGCCAGATGCTGTATGCAACTAGCTGTGAAATGCTCGGAGTGCTTCGAGGGTGCATTAACGCATACTGTAGCTGCCCCTTTCCCCTACTGCGAAAAAAATCCTTATGTGTCGGGCAGGGGAAGGTGCTAGTGCATTTGCAAACGCTCATAACTTTCTATCTTTGCAGGAAGCCAGGAGGGAGGAGTTATACCGGGGATACTTTAGATAGAGCGTTACAGTTGGCAGCACCGCTTGCTTCAATGCAGCTCTCACCGGGCCATCCACATTCCCAGGATGCAGTGCCATCTGAGGTGCCCCTAAAAACTTCTATGGTTTCGATCGGACCATTCGGTATCTCAATAATCTATTTTGCGTTCGCAACAGTCTAGAAAGCATACCCTCTGGCGACGGAGAGGCAATCAGCATGGCTGACCACTCGAAAGTTTTGCTATCCAATTGGAATTCACCACGCTTTGTACTACTTAGATGAAGGTAGCCAGTACTTCTTAGCCAAATTATGGAGAAGCAAGGTAAGGTTGGCTCTGTTTGTGCAAAGAGGGTCGTCTACATGCAGAGCTTACTACAGTGAAAGCCATTACGCACGCTCTTAATCACCTTTTTCTCCCGAGATCAACTCAAAACCAAAGTTTGGGATTAAAATTCAGATGGCTAAGAGAAGCCTACCCGTAACTCGATGTATCGACGAATATAAAATTTTGTTTCGCAGAACACGAAGTAGACCAACAGATCGGTTTATTGGTGGTTTACTTAGGGCTTGCCCGAAGTGTCATATATCGGGTGGCTGCAAGATAGTAGAGGAGTCAGCGACTAAACACCCCACCGATTGGGCTTCACAAATGCTGCATTATCTGAGGTTCAAGCAAGAAATGAGGGCAATTCCTGCGCCATTGGCTGAAAAGGAGGGATAATGGAGTTTAGATATTCTTTGGATGTCCGGTCTGTATCAATTGGCTCTTGGTTACAGTCTACGGTGATCGGGAAAGGAAAATCACAGTTACCCAAGCTCCTTTGCCGGCTCCAAACAGCCCCATAACAATGTACTTTTCTTGTAGCGTGCGAAATTGGCCTTATAATCGGGAAGTCTAAGCGCATGCAAAAAGCCAAAAAGCTTGAGCCAGGGAACTGGATTGAGCGGGGGCAGGCTATTTGATAAGCAAATAAGGGCACGCCAGCTGAGAAGAAGTTGCCCATGCAGGTTGCGGCGTCCTGAAGGGGAGTATTGAGGGCAAAGCTGCAGTTGGGGAGCCGCCATCATTCATGCGCTGATAGAAGCCCACATCAATGCACAAGAATTGCCAGCGTTCCTCTACACTGGATGTTGAGTGGATCTGATATCCAAGGATATCTGCCTTTTCACTCTCCAGTGCGGTTCCTGCGAGCTACGTCTACTGACGGGCACAAAACTGCAGGGACTGGCAAGGTTATGGCGGCCAGGTGCCACTTCAATTGGGATTCGGCTTTATTGGCATGCTCTGTGACTTCTATTTTGGGCATTAACACCATGCAGCATTCCCGGGTACTCCATAGGTGACCCAATGCAAAGCGCGGAAACCGCGAAGAGAAGCGCTGTGGAAGTTGGTATGCCAAGGATAACTAGGAAGAAGCACCCGTTTGGTCTCGCCAACAATGCTCATTTCATCCCTGGAGAGGGGGCTAGAATCGGTGCTTCAGCATCTCCGTGGGGCCAACCAGCAGCACCGTAAGAGAAGACCATTCTGAGCATGTATCCTGCCTTATTGGCTCCACGCCCGGCTCTATCTTGAAGAATCCTAAAATAATCTGAGGCGGAAGATACCGAAAGTGGCAGATGTCAACGAGGACTTCGGGAAAGTGCTGAATAATGACGAGCTACCAGCAGGCAGGCTATGTGCGGTAATTTAGCACGCCGTATTGAGCGTATCTCTGGGCAATCCTCAAGCCATGTTCCACGCTATTGAGAGTCTTTAAATCATGAAGAGAAGATTGAATGGCAGTTTGCTGAATCGTTGAATAGCAAAGTGCAGGCATCGTCTAGGGTTTTAAGCGAAAACCGGTGCTGCCACCAAAAAAGGATGCAAGGCGACACATGCTCGTTGACTTCAAGCCCTTGAAGAAGACTTTCTATAAGAGCTTCCACAGATCAACAGCCAACTGGGCACTTTATTTGACAGAGGCGCTCCCTACAGAAACCTGTTTATCCTGGAGACAACAAACAAAGCTACTTGCATTTGCAAACCCGGCTATACTTGTACACCGTTTGGAGTTATAAATGCCCCTTTTAGTTTGAAATTGTAGCTTAATCGAGATTTTGAAAGGCCGAACCAGGTGGGGTTGATGTTTGTCTACACGGACGATGTCTTCGTATTCAGCCGAACCGTAAGACATCACTCAGGGCAGCTACAACGTAAGCTTCAGCTGTTGCGAGGCAAGCACTGGTATGCAAAGGAACGCCAATGCTCATTCTCAAAATACCAATTGCGCTTCTGGGAATTCGTGTTCCGGCTGCAGGACTGGAGTCAGATCGCTCGAACGTTAAGCGCTCAAGGCGTGGCTACTATCTTTACGAACTTGCAAACACACTGCGAAATTATATGGGCACGCATACTGTTGCCACAATATTCAAGCGCGTTCTGCTGAGATTGCTGTTCTTTTAGTCTACTTGAGAAAACTCAGTTTCCGAGTTGGGCGTAAGAGGCTGATGGCGCAGCACAGACACGTATCAGGCACCTTACACCTCCGCGCGCTGCCGACTTCTTTTTTTGAACAGGCTATGGGCTCTCCAGAAAATTCGATTACTGCTAGTCTTTCTCCTCGAGTTACCAGTGTAGGAAAGCGAACTTAACGCGGTATGGCGAGGTTTGAAATATGGCAGCACTTTTCACATGAACGTTACTTTACTGTCAAGAAGGACCATCACATCTGTAACGTCTCTTAGTGAAAAGTTTCAGGACTGTGATAGTCCTCGAGTTGTTCACCGGCTTGGTAGTACGACTCTACAGTGACATGAAGGGCATCTCGAACGTGTTAGCTGACGTGCTCTTGTGAAGCTCCAGCTGTTCAACTATTGTGTAGCGCAGCCAAATCACTCTTGTGTGCAATGATTCACGATTTTATTAAAGTTATGTGGGTCCGATAGATTTTACACCCATGTATCCGCTCTCACTGCCAAAATCCAAGTAAAGCACTACCACATTAAAATACCCTGCTATGTATCAAAAAGCAGGAAGTCGGTCAGTGCCGCTTTGCGCAACTCAGATGACTATATTATTGTAGGCCATAATGAGCTTCATCCTACAGTGCAGAAGCCCCCCCAAGGGATTTTTGGTGGCCTGGGATGCGTCGCGCGGCTGAGGACTATGCACAATCATAACCAGCTTGTCAGCCGGTAAAGCAGCGAAATTCCCTTAAGCTTAATCTCTCTCAAATCATTCCGGCTCCCAGAGGTAGATAAACTGTTTCGATCATGGACTTAATCGTCGGGCTACAGGAGGTAAAGGGTCAAGACAGCATGTATACCATTGCCAACACCCGAGTATGGACGAGTAAGCCAGTATGAAAACCTTTAATGGAACGCTGCATTCGCGTTCATACATTATTCACAATGAAGGCATGCGCTTTTTAGTGTAATAGAAATCATTCATGTGCGACAGTGTAGTGAGTACCCGTAAATAAAGCTCCGAACTGCTCTGCGGACGTACTGAGTTGTACGCTTGCTCCCTCGCTTTCCTTCATGCCCTAAACCTTCTGGTCACAGGTTGTCAAGATGTCAAACTAAACCTACCGTCTTCCAGGTGAACCTGTAAAGGTCCGGTGGGAGCAGTTTACGAACGGACACGGAGAGAAGAATGACACGATGGGTAGATTACGGTGAGAGGGGGAGAAAGAGCGATACAGGCAAACGAAATAGTGGCACGGACCCTAAATATGGACGTGAGTACGTTGACCAAAGGCATTAGCAACACTTGCTGCTTTTCAGGGAGCAGTTACATCCAACGTCAAGGTAGTTTCTGCTTTTGCCAATGACAGTACGCTGTTTGTTAGCGGTTTGGGTAATTACTGCCTCCGCTTTTATCCCCCTAAATTTGGGATGTCTACAACTTAGGGGAGGGGTGCGAATTTGGTGAATTTGATGGACATACGGCAACATACAGCAAGGGAGAGAGCTAGCTTTGGCGTCCTCTGCATCCGGGGTTCCATCGCATGGGGAATTCTCGGTGTTCGTGATCGGCGGGTCTAAGTATATATATAGCAGCACTCAGGAAGCAGGTTGTGCCTTGACTCGGAAAAATCTGCGCGGCTCTCGCTGAGCGCTGGGCGGATAAAACTAGAATAGTACTCTCCGTGCACACAAATCAAACAAAGGAGGGAGCACAAAGACTATGCGCCTACGCAGGTGAGTAAACAGGTATAAGCAGCGCAATAAAGGGGCAAATTACAGCACGCGCGCTGGCGTATGGCTCCACCCTCATTGAGGGAACCCGAACAGTGTTGCAGTGTCTTGCGCATTTATGTTCTATAATCAAGTAGCCGGTTGCTTTTCAGCATATGTATCATTATTTGTGGAGATGGAATGGTGAAAGAGGCACCTATTGAGGTTTTCGGCGTTGTGTGTAGACGGCAGCAGACTCGCGTGCCAATAATCGACGTAACGCTGCTTGCCTGCCTTTGCACGGATGTTTTCCTGCTACCCCGCACGCAAATGTTCGCGTGTAAATTTTCAGATATTTCGTTCCTCAATTAACAGTGAATCAGAATAACAAATTAGTCGGAACCCTGTGCCCCAGAGTACATAATCATGCTCCAGTATTTGTATGCCCCCTAGTTGGCGACCCCTCTGGCAACTGCTAAAGAGCCTTCGCGCTCTTCGCTTCACCTCTGCGGCGTCAGTGGTTCGCAAGCAGATATTACAGCCTTAACACCGAGTTCTATTTTGCCGGTTTCCCATAATTTATTCCAAACCCTCCGCCTTCCACACGCACACTCGTAGACCCACGCGCAGTTTTCTTGAAAATGCCACTCCACTTGGGAGATGTTTTCCCCAATTTCGACGCTGAAGCCCTTGGCGTCAAAAAGTTTAATCTATACGACTACTTGGGCAACGACTGGGGCATAATGTTCAGGTAAAGTTCCACACACAGTAGTGCCCTGGCTTAAGCAGTGAACCCGCAGTTACTTCGTAGATCTGAAGTATCCAGACTGAAAGCTTAAATGTCGCTAATTGTACTTTTATGCGCATAGCCTTAAAGTATTTAGGCATGCAAAGTTCCGAGTAGCACCGTGAATCTGAATTTCTGTGGGGCGCTTCCAGATTGCACAAAGTGGACTCGCAGTCCTCGAGCACTGTGTAGTTAGCACAGTCTCATGCTTTAGGGTGTCATTATTAGGGCGTGTGCGCAGCCATCCTAATGACTTCACGCCAGTATGCACCACCGAGTTGGCAGAAGCCGTGAAGCTGCACCAAACCTTCAAAGACAAGAACTGCAAACTTCTCGGCTTCTCGTGCAATGACATCGACAGCCACAAAGTCAGACAGTGAAATAAGAAGGCATGGTTCCAACGCACGAGCGAAGGGCTCATTCTCTTGGGAGAAGGTGCTTCTGAGGGGTGTCCCTCAGGCTATAGCCACTGGAACGGACTCCCTTGGCTAGCAACTTCTCTCTTTGGAGGATGTAGCACAAGCGTACCATGGGGGTTCCGAAGACAGTAGGGCATGTGTGGCGAATGGCGCATCTTTTGCTTGCTTCCTTCGAGGGGCTAAAGCCTTCGTCCACGTGGGCCTGGCGCGCGTCTCCTGTCAGCCAATAGGCCTCTAGAGGGCTGACTTACACGACTGGGGTCGCCTGTGGAGCTGCATTATCTTTTCCGTTGGTATTTGCCTGTTGGTTCAGGGGTGGGCTAAGGATATTATGGCATTTGCTGGTTCCTGTGGCGATCTTCCATTCCCCATGGTGTGCGACGCGAACCGGCAGCTGGCAGCCTCCTTGGGAATTATGGATCCTGAGGAGAAGGACAAAGCTGGACTGCCCCTCACATGCCGCTCAGTTTTCTTCATAAGCCCTCAAAAAAAGTTGGCGGCGTCCATTCTTTACCCAGCAACCACTGGCAGAAGCTTCAAAGAAATCCTCCGAGTTCTTGACTCACTGCAGGTACTTGGGTGGGCTCTCCGAGGGGTGCAACCTTTCCGGCGTGCACTTGTGCAATTGTACAGGCAGCTGTACTCATTATCATTGAGTGAGGCATTCAAGTTTGGGTGTCACTGAGTCACATCGGCAACTCAGCAGAGTTCAGTTTTTGCGTGTGTGTTGGCACAGCTGACCGAGGAGTACCCCGTAGCCACCCCTGTGGAGTGGACCGCTGGTGGGCAGTGCTGTGTGATACCACAGCTGTCTGAGGAGGAAGCAAAGAAAAAGCTACCCAAGGGAATGCAGAAGAAGGAACTGCCCTCGGGCAAGGGGTACCTCAGACTGACACCTGATCCCAGGAACTAAGCAGACAAATTCATTTCAATATTATTTCCTAGCACGAATATGTCCCGCGCTGGCTTCTTTCACGCTACCAGCAGTGCACGATGCGCGGATTGCAGCCTACCGATATAGCAGGGAGAGCTGCAAGTTCTTGACGAAAGCAGATAAGCATGATCTTCGTCGAGGCATTTTGCGGAACTTTTCAAAGCTGCTACTGGCCGTTTAACGCAGTTAGGGTTTTAAGTTAGCGTCCCTCTTAAGGCAGATTTCAGTATCTTAGGTCTAGTGGCGAGTAGGAAGGGCGTAGCAAGGGCACTTCAGGCATTAGTGTTCAACGCTTGCACTTTTTGTCAAGAACTCAATGTTTAGAGTTTGGGCTGAAGTATTGGAAAGCAGTCCATAGGCTGGAGTGTTCCAGCCCGCAATGCATCTGTGTTCGGCAGCAGAGGGGATATCAGAGTCTTCAGGGAGCTCAATAGATCTCCAAGTTGACGCTGAGTAATCGTCGGTGGCCTCGAAGTAAAACAAGTGTGAGGACTTCCCTCGGATGTCTAGAGTTATCCGTTAAAAAACTGGCATGCTGTACTTTAATAAGGCGCGGCTGGAGCTTCCTTATCCAACGGGAGGGACTTTTTTCCTTGCCATCGCCAAGGCAGAACCCCTTTTTGCTTGTATGGTCCATTTTGGAGGAGAGATGCCCAGTAGCGGCCCCTTTACCCTATCATTTCCTCGCGGGGTGGGGGGAAAAGAAATCCGCAGACACGACGAGAAAGACAGGGAGCGTGCAACGGGTGGAGCAGTTGGAGGGCTAATCAAGATCCTACTGCGACACACAAGGCCTCTACCTAATATGCTCGGAAAGCTGGATACCCGAGCAGTCCATATTTAATGCGAACGTTTTCTTTGCACATTTCCAAAGGACCGTGGCATAGCATAAGGCGAACGAGAGCTCTCGCCAAGACTACCGGCACAAGTACCCAAAGGCAGTGACAAGAAGGAACATGTAACGTTTAGAATTGCTCCCTTGGCAATGTGTGAATACCGTTACAGATACACCTACGTGCCTCCTACTTCTATGTGCACACCTGCGTCGGCGCTTGAACCAGAAATCGACGCACATTCAAGTCTACCCGCATCTGCCTGTTTTGGTTTTACAAGGATAAGGGAGCTGTCTCAGTCAACTTTCTCCGTGCTCTGTTGCACTCTCTGAAAGCGCAGGTAAGTCCCCCATGTCTTGGGAGGCCCTTGCGATGGCAGCCGCAATGGATGCGCAGTCCACAGGCTGGGGCTCATCTTCTGCTTGCTGGGGTGCCCCCCTGGGAACCACTGCCCCCGCGGAGCTTTCCGTGGAAACTTTGCTCCCCGCTAGAGGAATATTTGAGAAGAGGAGTGAGGCAATGCCCCTCTCTGCAGGCCAGGAGTATTTAGCGCATTCTTCGTGCTGAAAACCAAGAGACTGACCCTTACGTGTGGGCCCTGCTGACGGTGGCGGTCCAGAGGAGCCTGCCTGAGACTTGCTGGAGATCCTTGTTGTCGGATACGGCGTTGTCTGAAGATTTCCATGATTAGGGGCATTCTCTTGCTCGGATTGGGGCACTCCAGAAGCCCCCGAGGTCGCCGATGCAGCCCCCGCCTGCCTGCGCTGCCGTCGTACTCGTGCAAGTTTTTCTGCGGCGACAACTGGCAATCCGCAAGAAAACGGAGAAGGGGGTTGAGGAAGCACTTTACGAGGAGAATTTTTAGTGAAAGGCTTAGTTCGTTGAGCATGCAAGAGATTCAACCGCGGCAACAAGATTACCAATACAACAGTAGTAGCAAAAATCCGCAGTCGCGCAGGAGCAGCAACCGACGGAAGCATTGCAGGTGATGCGGCAGCCCCAGCAAGGAGAAGAATGTAGTAAGCAAAGGCATCATGAATCGCACAGGGATTCTGCATGGCTTTGAGTTTGGCAGACCTTGTTTCCAGTGATGGCTCTGTTCAGATTCTTGGAACCCTCCGACTTCGGCAAAAACCCTGTCGATCCTCTGAATGACTGCACCTCTGTAGCCTCTCTGGCACAAGATGTGGGAGACCTTTGAGGTGGACAGACACCCAGGAGTGTGCTTTTCCATTGCCGCGTAGGTCTTTTCCCCCAGTCGAAACTTTAGCACATCAACGAACCAGTTGTACACGCCCACGCCATCCAGCTGCCCGAAAGCCACGTCTGTGAACCTTGAGACAACACGCAAAGCAGAGTAGAGCAGCAGAAAGTGCAAGTTGGGGAATGGAACGCAGACAGAATAATCGGTCCGCAGACAGACACCAGCACACGCTAAAACCGAGACACAGTGAGCTACACGCAACAGGGAAGAAGGTTGAGGGGATCATTAGAGTCCCCGCATATGAGCGTTCTGAGGATTTCCAAAGACAATCTTCTTTGGCGGCTCCTCCTGGACTTGATTTTAGTTTCGGAGGCTGTACGAAACCTCTTTCAAGGCCCCAGCTGCGACTTCTCTAGAGAGGTGCTTGCTGCCTTACCACTGATGGCTGAGTGCCTCCTGGGCTGAGATTCTTGTGTGTGGATTGAAGTCGAGCATTCTGGCGAGAAGATCCAGCCCGTCCAAGTCCAATTTTCCAAAAAGCACGGCGTTCAAATTGGCCCTCTTGTCGTGCTCGCTGAAGAAGTGGCTTTCTCCGCGGTTACCAAAGGGATAATGCTGCAGCCTGAGGCATGCAGAGTCACCGAAGGGGAGGCAGCACTAGAGGACGTTTTACCGGCAAATAAATGCCAAAAAAAGACGGTGGCAGGAAAAGGCAACTGCAGAAAATGGAGGAGAGAAGAAGCAAACACCGGCTGCGCGGGGGCAGCAGACAGCACCCCTTGGTATCTGCAAGCAGTACCAGTGTGCAGGCATACGCTGTGCAGTTCGTCCACTCCGCTTCTGTAGGTGTGCCTAGTATCTTTGTAACACGAATAAGAACCTCGAACTCCTGAGTCCCCTTGAAGAGAGGGATGCCTCGGAGCATCTCCGCGATGATGCACCCGGCTCCCCAAATGTCGGCTCCTAAGCCGTAGTGTACTCCCTGTTCCTGAACCATTAGAGTGCAGATACACCAGGCATATTCTGTACTTAGATGATGGCGGTGGAATCAAAAAGCTGTGGCTTCCTGCACGGCAGCGAATAGGCGTTAAGACTTCGGGCTGGCCTTGACTTCTTAAAAAGGGCAGAACCGCAAAAGCACAAGCTCTGCTCTTCTGTTTACTGCCCACCAAAACCAGCGGTAGGACAAACCTCGTTTCCGCTGCCGTCGTCTATGCGCATCCTTCCCAGAAGCACCTCCAGAGGTCTATAGTAAATAGTGCAGACAGTTGGCGTAACCTCTCCTGCAGCACCAAAGCTTAAATCCAAAAGCCGCCGTATATATCGCCTGCATGGATACCCATTTAACGGCCAAATGATCATAGAAAGGAGTAGGGCTCACGACGCTCAGCTGCCACAAGGGGGGGAGGCAGCGGGGGGCTGACAGAATGAAGCAGTCAAGGCGATTTCAGGCAGTGGTGCTACTAATATTGCATACCGGCATTTGCTCGGAAGCTCCTGCACAACCCCAAGTCTCCAATCTTCAGTACACAATTTTCGTTCACTGAGGTGAGCATTAAGTTGTCGGGCTTCAGGTCGCGGTGGCACAGCTGAACGCATGTAAACAATAACGCGTAAGGCTACAACCAAGATTCGAGTCGTGTGACTGTCAGCTGTCCACACCAGAGAGCAAATGCATATGAGATAGACGAGAGAGAATACACTGTCAGGCGGAACCAAAAGAGAGTGGAGACAGAAAATCACAGTACACATCGCAGTACTGATTGAGACGCTGTGCAGAGCATCACAAGCAAGGCAGAACAACCTATCACCGTGGCCTGACCTTTTCGTTGTGCAGAAATGCCAATCCATTGAGCAGCTGAAAGGCCAGAAGCTTTGCATGTTTGAGGGGCAGCCCCCACTCTGGAGAGACGCCTGTCGCGGGCTTTGCTTCTCTCTGCTTCGCGAGAAGCTTCTTCAGATCACCCCCCTCACACAGCTCGTATGCGGCGAAGACAAAGACTTGCGTTGGCTTCAGCTCCTCGACCGCCAGCTGCGCCTGAAGATCGCGTCTTAGTTGTTCCTGGGACTCACGGTCTGCCGCCGCGTGCTGCCGGCGTGCCCAGTGGATTCGTTGCTGATTGATGTTATCTACCAAACGTGGAAGCTGGTCTATGAAGAGATACCGCATACGGACGAGATTTGGATGCGTGCCGCACGACTGAGGAAACAAAACGAAAAGCGACCGCAATTTTCATGCATTCGTTGAGATGGAGGGTTGGCTATTGACACATCCCAGCAAACCTGCGTGATTTGTTACCGGTGGACAGTTGGACCGTCCATGAGACATACAGAAATGGTGGAAAGCTCGCGGATCGTGGTGCATCCAAGTCCTTCTTCTGTTACTGTTCGCGTTTCATCGACATAATATTTCACAGCAAAGGTCTCTCCTCCGCCAACGCCATCTTCCGGCTCTTCCACTGCACGATACACATCTCCATAGGTGCCGCCTCCCAGCCGCTCCACCTGCGCATCAACGGTAACACAGCTTCTAATGACGAGGAACCAATGCTTTAGCCATGTACCAAAGTTAAGTCGTACTAGTTGAATAGTTACCACCAGGCAATCCTGGGTTTTAATTGGATTTCCACTAAAGCACCTGCTGGCCATCGGAAACGCATTGTTTTATTAACGCTATATGAATTTCAGGTCCCTAGATTCACATTTCATAATCGAATAACCATCTCCTCTATTAGGTGGACCTACCAGGCGGAGCCGATGCTCTCGCGGGTCTTCGAGAGGGTTAGGGGAGCGGAATGGGATGACCTGCTGAATAAGGTCGACAGTAAACTCCTGCATTATCACTGTCTTTCACTTTTTAGCTGACAATTTGCAGGGTTTTCCCCCTAGTCCCGGCCGCAGGACAGGAGTGTGAGATGGTGGATGTGGGTGTTATCATGGGTCTGCTGCTGCGGTTGGCAGGAGTCAGTGGTCTCCCACCATCATCGCCATCACTAGAGAATGCAGAATCAACTCTTGGCAAATAAGCAAATTGACAGGCCAAAGAATTGTATAAGAGGTGTTGGGTGCACTGGGCTCATTGTTCCATTTCCACAGGGCTGGTGGGAGCTCTGGACCTGGTAACACCGTAACACTACGGGCGGTGCCTTCGATACGACAGCATGACTAATAAAACGCGGGGCCTTCTAGTTACTTTATTTCCTTTCATAGCATTAATGACTGGCGCAAATGCCCCGGGGCAACCTTAGATTCTTGCTTACGTCCCCTTTTAACTACGGGTTCGGTATAAACGCTGTTGCACTAAGTCCACCCTAAATTCTGCCCTAATTTATCCCATACTGAATGAAGAAAGCAAAAAATTAGGCACTCTGAATAATCGAGCTATTAACAGTCCTCCTAGTAAGGGCCTAACGCAATACTCAAGTACTATTGTCTGCGATCTTCAACTACACTTTTGGCAGTGATGCCCAGGTAAGCACCCGTTGATCGCATACTTGCTTGAGAAAATAGACTGCCCACACAACCTCCGAGTTGTTTAGCAGTAATTGGACCTGTGGGTGTACTGAGTGTGCAATAATTTCTTTTATTTCCGCTGGGAGATACATGGCTCTGTCAATACGAATTCAATAGAAATTTACTGCCGACCAGAAAATTTACCTTTCTTTGCCTGCACCTCTCAAAGTTACCAACATGATGAAGAGGGTCAGCTAGCGTGTGCTTCGCTGCAACCTTCAAAAAGTCCTAATACTCAAAGCTAGTAGCGCATTGGACCTAGCGCACTTTCACCCAGCCGCTTCGTGTATCGAGCTAGCATTACTCTGGAATAAAGGACATATCCCGAATGGCACATCACATATTCCATTCTTTGCAAGGTCTTGGCTAAATATAAGTAGGATAGTAGAAAGTGACTGGGCGTAGCTAAGCCGCTACATCTTCCCATGTACCCGCGCCCTTCCCCCTCTCCCACTTCAAACAGCGTACGGACAGACAAACAGTGTGCAAGACAAACGAAATGTTCCCAACATAGCACTATTCTAAAGGCATCCTGAACAACGCGGAGATAATGCAAATAAGAGACGAAAATGTGTGCGTCAACTGCAAAGGCTCATCGACCAGGGAATAGACAAACACACCAGCTGTCAACGAACGAGAGACCAAGCCAATGCCACCGCGGAGGTGCAACAGCTTGCGGTCGTCGGAGCGCTGAAAAATGTGGGCCATGTAATACGAGAAACACAAAAAAATAATATAAAATGTGTAGAGGGAAGCAAGACACGGTGCATAGAGCATAACCGACCTCAAAGCCCCCAATGAGGCCTAGATAATGATTTAGGGACGACATACCGTTGTGTGCCCTCGTACATATATTATTATAGAAAACCCTTTGAAAGCTAAAACCGGAGCCTCCTCGAGCATCAATCAAAGAGCCGTGTACATATGATGGCAAAACCTGCGCTGCAGAAGGACAATTAGCAAGGAAGGTGATAGCAGCGTCCCAGGGGACTATCGTTGTGAACTGAATAGAGCCAAACCATTCTCCCACAGGCAGCGAAGCCCGCAACTGATCTTTCCTCAGCAGCTGAGGCTAACAGTTCCCAACATACTTCACTAGTAGCTCCCCTCTAGTATTTCACGCACTGAATAGATATAGAACAAAACAATTTTACTGCTACTCCACATGGGTCACTTGCTTGCGCTGAATTGATTGAATTAGGGATTTTGAAACGTTTTATGACGCCGAAATTTTTATGTAGTCTTTGGCACCCCGATTTTTACAAGAATCGATAAAGTGAGAAAGGTCATTGACTCGTGAGCCGATAGAGAACAAGTGTAGCTCCCTGACCGTAAACTTCGTCTGGTCAACTTCTGGTCACACTTCCTAAAGCCTGCCAACCAATCAGGGTCGATTTTTCAAGCTCAAAGTACACTTCCGATCTCTGCATATCATAATTTCTTGCCTGAACCTCGTGATCTTCGCGAATGCATATGCATACTCTAGCAAGCTGTTTTATGAAACCTTCCGCTGCAAAGGGTAGCTGCTGACGCCGGAGCACCGGCTTCACACCCCGATCATGGGGCCTGCTCAGTGTAGGCTAGGGATGGACGAGAGCAACGGACAGGTGAGTACAGCATATAAAGCCACATACCACAAAAAGAAACACAAGGCAAGATATTGGTATTTTATGATCATAGTGTAAAAGATACTGCAGAAGAGTGCGATTGATGCGTCGGCTTCTCCATCTGATTTAGAGTGGTATTCAGTGTAAATGTAATAATCAATCTGCAGGCGAGTCAGCAATCCACGTCGAATTCCACAAAATATGCTTTGGATCCCTATTCACAATGGTACTTCTGGGAACTCCATGCAGGTCCCTGACATGAGCTAAGAAAAATTCGGTGACTGCCTGAGTCAGAGTTAAAGCGTCATGAAATGGGCACATTTGTTGAACCTGCGGAGAACATTGTAGATGATGTGTTGAGCTTTGTCGTCCAATAGTGCAGCACCACATTCCATTGTCAGGGCAGTCCAAGTGCATTCAGGAAGCGGAAGATTTGCGAATGACCGGCCTTCAGGATATTTCGCAGCCTCCGCGACTGACAATCTGGGCATGCTAGTGCACACTCACCTGCCGCGCAACGCACCTAGGCCACCAGAAGGGCCATAAGGGCCATCGCACTTTAGTGTGAATCTTGCCATGGCTTGAAAGTGCATGATCATCTGCACTGTGCACGGCAGCATTGCGGAGTGAAGTGTTAATGGTAGAGCGTCGGAGTTCCCACTTTTCTTCGAACCACAGAGGGACATCCTTAGCGTCATCGTGTTTCGCCAATTTGCCATTCTGGCCTTTGGCAATAATAGCGGATCCATGGTTGTCAATAGCATAAGACTCACGCAAGGTTGATAGAAACGTATATCATCACAAACAAGAGCGGTTGCACTGCACAATAGATGAGTACCTCGAGTTTTATGGGAACGGGTCGGCTCCTACATTCGCCGTTGCTTTGATAAAATTGACTGCAAAGCTGTAAAGTAGTGCTACAGGATACACTCAAGCCAGCGACCAACTCTAGGTTTATCATAGTCTTGAAAAGTCTTAATAAGTTACATTAAAGACTGGGGGTCGAACCTGACAGCAAAAAGATGCTCACAGGAATAAGACTAGCGCCGTTAAAGGCTTATCACGCAGTACAGAGCTCCTTTTCCTCCACTGGATACTGCTCGGTTTCGGCAAGGTGATGAGAAAATATGCGGTAACTTAGTGCCCTGGAGAGCTCGTAGCCTGTTGAGAGAGAGAAGCATCATCATCTACGTCTAGCTGTGTCACTAGCAACCATTGTCTGGAAAAAATTGATGCGCATAATCCGGCAGCAAACGGACCGGAGATGTAAGGTACCTGATTAGCGTCTTTTCTGCGACATAGGCCTCCTCTGCCCAGCTCACCATCTGTGTTTTCCAAAGTTGATAGCCAAGGGCGCAGCGATTCGAGCAATCGAGGAATGATATTCTGGCAAAAAGGCACAAGGTCATGGATCAACAAAGCGTCCTTGTGGTCAAAGAAGAGGTAAAGGCCACGCCCCGATTGCTTCAGTTTTTGTCGAATCTGGCTCAATTCTTGCAGCCAACACGCGTAATCCCAGGAACACAATTGCTCTCTGGGATTCAAACGCTTGCGCGCCTTAAATTACTACTGCTTGCCCCTTAACGGCTAGGACGCACATTGTAGGTGCACTTGGTGATTATTGAGGTTTCAGTTGTATACTAAGACGTCGCCCATATGCACACTTATCCAGCTGTTTTTGTTACGCTCAGAATAATTTCGAGCAACTTGCCGTGGCAGTGCGACTGGGGCATAGAAATCTACAAGCGGCACACAGATATACACGAGTATGCGAGTATGGGTGTGTAACGCCGTTCTGTGCATGTCACCACGGTGAATAGCATTTGGTGTTAGGACGCGTCTATGAGATTGGCCATTAAGCAGACTGCTGATCCGCGTAGTTCGGTAGTGCTCAAAGTCGGTGGTCGGTTCCCGCCCTCTGTACTTTTACCCAACAAATATGGACCTGCCGCCCAATCTCCTCTTGTGCTTTGAGGTCTTTCGAAAGAGCAGAACATAGCTTTAGAGGAACCCACGGATCTGCAGAATACGGTGCGCTGAACAACCAGCACGAGGCCAGGCTGCTAGCAGCTCGTCAATTTTTAGCACGTCCGTGAACTCCTTGATATTTGCCCTGGTTGTGCTGTTCTACGACCAAGACTTTTGTCAAATTTTTAGATGACGAGCCCCTTCAAACCCAATTAAGACAGCCTGCTTGCACAGAACCGCCTTTTTGTGGTGCCCTTGCGCTGCTAAGCAGCCTAAATAAAGAGTGCCTCACACTGGTGCGATACTGAACCTATTTCTATCAGCGGAGATGGAGCAAGCCTTGCTGAGCAGACCAGGACGTGCTTTTTCCTGGTGCCTTAGGGCACACCAACGTCAACAGCGCTTGGCGGTCTCCCCATATGCGTATTCCATTGGGTCACCCATGGAATTCCTAGGATTACTTCATAGTATACCACTTTACCGTGTAATAACGGGTCATGCTGGAATGACATAGTCCTACCTGAACTGGCAGCTAGCAACCCCCAGCGTTGCCGGTCCTTGTATTCTGCCGCCCACCAGTGAACTTGAGTCACATGAGCTGCGCTAACGAGAAAACAGGCAGATTGCACGTTTTCACGATCTTCTCGGAAACCGGTTCATATCCAATGTAACATAACACTGTCGATTCTGGGCCATTAGTGTGGTTTGTAAAAATGCGGAAACAGCCTGTGTTGGTGCATCTTCTTTGGCTGGCAAGCAGCCTGCTTCCGCTCAACACAGTCTCGTTGTTCAAGTCCTCTACCTGTTTACGCGCTTACTGCTCAACATACATATCCCGATTTGCTAATTAGAATCAGGGGCATTGTTGGGGGTGTGCATGGGGCTGCTCCGGAGAGCTGGTGAACTCTAATTTTGACCTGAGGCTAGGGCCAGTTGGCACATCCCTGATCCACAGGTTCTAAATCCCAGCTGAGCTCCTTCTTTTCAGTCAAAAGCACAAGAGTTGCGCTCATTTGGTCTCGACACCTCGACTGTCTCAGTATTTATGAAGTCCCACCAGCCTTATTCGCTGATTCACTGCCAATGTTGCAGCCATCGGACATCGCACTTAGGTAGATACCTCGGGCTTGCAAAATAATCTTTCATAGTTCTTAGTATACAGTTATATTGACAAATTTTACTGTCTAAGCTTTGTGAGGTCTTCCAAGTCTTGCTGTTGGGCTGATCTCGACAATGTCTGGTGACCCAAAGGCGCTAACTGTAGTCATCCCTGCAAGCAAACGACTTTCTCTGCATGAATAGGGCCATCGCCAAATTTCGTCTCCTTTTAATAAATATTGCAAGGGGCACTAGTTCCTCCTGATGGCTGACGAAACCTTCCAGCCTGCGTCCATGCTTACGGCTGCCTTTTTGGTATACATAGCCTAATCAATGGATATATCATCATTTCATCGGCTAATAAATTATACGTTTGCACCAGCTGTAAGGCTACTGTGATTACATTAACTTTCGGACCTCCCTCTGCTGCTTCAACGGGGGTTGTGCCAGCGTTTACTTTGTAGTCAGAGCGTTCTTTCTTCAGACTGTGGCCAAAACAAGAAATTGAGGGGATTATCGAATAGCCCTATCGAAATCAAAGAGCACTCGGGAAACCTGGCATGCCACTGTATTTGCAGAAAGTGGATGAGTGGGGTACAGCTGCACCAAACCACGCAGTGCAACTATGATGCTACACCAAAAGTCACCGCAGGACAATGCCTAAATCCACACTCGATATGACCTCGGTAAAAGTTGGTTGTCTACCAAGAAAACTCCGTCCTTTCTCCCGCTTTTACCCCACAGAGGCACCGACATGAGGGGATAGAGTCAGCTAGGGTACGCTTTGTTTCGCCCCAGAAGTGCACCAAGCACTCTTAGCTAATTGCACATGGCATCTTGCGGACATGCACACGACGGTGAGGCTTCGTGCATCCAGCCAACAGTACTCTGCAATAAATGAGGTACACCACCAGACATACCATATATTCAGTTCTTCACAACTTCTTAGTAGAATATTGCCAACGTAGTAACGTTATCGGGCATAATTTAGCCGCTACCAAAGGCGTGCTCTGGTTGCTGGGTCGAGTTGAAACGCTCGAAAAATTCATTTCTGCCTGATGCACTTTAGACTTTGTGTAGCTAAATATTTTGTCCAGTGTTTGTGACGGACCAGAAAAAAAAATAGAGTCGGCCAAGCAAGCCAACTGATCAAAGAATGGAGTCTTTATAGAGTAAGGACTAGCCTGTTCTGCAGCTGTCTCTAGATACAATATTCCAGAGGATTCTGCGGTAAGTTTTCATATTGATGCAAAATGGCTAATGCTGGGTACGCTCTCGTGGCATTGATGATTTGCGGACTTCTCACGACTGGTCGGATTCGGGTATGCACTGGTAGCAGCCCGATTTGCCACTACTGGTGAAAGAGCGCTTTTCGCAAGGTGCTGCGCTACAACATTTCCCCCCTACCACAGGTTTCTTTATGAAAACATGTAATAGTGCCGTCTACTTTTGCTGTATTTTGTCGCGAGGACAAAGTATGGGTGGAGGGAACGCTGCCAAGATTTACTGTACAGGGGCGATAGCACCTAAGAGCAGTTTCCGCGGAGCGTTGTGGTGTCTTCGGCCCAAAATACTGAGGGGTCCACGTGTGCACCTACAACGAAAAGTGCAAAGTTGTTTGTAGGGGTCTGCACGGGTTAGGCCTTGATTAAATTTTAGTAGCACGTGCACTCAATGAAGTCAAGTACTCGACATCAAGCTCTCAATCCAAAATAAGACTCTAAATCCCTGCGTAAGCACGAACTTGCCTTTAATTTCAATTTGGTTGAGTAGTCCTTGCAGTCTCTTAATCTCAGAGTCTCGTTTCTTCAGTTCTGCTTTCAGGCGTGTCAGCTTCTCTAGCCGGTTTCTTTCCACAGTGCCATCATTGCTTGTGTTCTTCAGGCATAGTACACTGGTGTGACAATATGCAGTGCATCGCTTGACTTTATAGGTTTCAATTAGCGCTTGAACATATCAGTAAATAGATTTTTAGCAACTCGGCCTGCCCAGAAGCTTACGCGAAGATACTTCTTTTCCTTCAGCTGCTGGGAGAGCATTACGGTGCTCTCTCTTGCTAGTGCGAATCGATGCAACAAGTTTGTGTGACGCTTAATGATCCCCTGACGCTGTTGCTCTAGTTTCGCTTTGGTCTGCTGCTGCTGCCTGAGTCGAGCCTGAAGCTCTCCATGAAAAATGAAGCGTGATCAAGGAGAGTCAAACTGAAGCTAATTGGAAGCCGACGCTCAGTTAGGGTCCAGCGGAGATCCAACGCACTAAGCTATATGCAGCGTTCTCAGGAGTATTTGCTCTTGTTGTCTCGGTGTACTTAGCAAGTACCACATGCAAGTCTCTCAATAATACATGAGTCTAGTGTAACCTTACCCGTTTATCACTTAAGAGCTCCACATCTCTCTCGAACACTGGCTTCAGCGGTTCATTGCATCCTTGAAGTTCCGCCTTCTCTGCGGCTTTGGCTGCTGCTTCAACTTGTTCTAGTGTTAGTGAATCCCCGAAACGCACACGCTCTACTTCTTTAAATGCTGCCTCAAGTGATTCCAGGCGCTGGGTGCTCTGCATGTCAAACAGACTACGCATAAACAAAGGGTGCATGTGGCCTCCTTTGCTGAATAAACGCTAGTAAGCGACTTTATAGCCCTTGTGGATTCTGCCGCTTGGGGCGCGCAGGTCGTGATACCACGGTTGCATGGGGACGTGTGTAGGGTTTAGTGTTACGACTCAAAGTACTTGCTTATAGTCCTTTTTCGCGCTTGATATTGCGTATTTTAGCTGTCTCATGTCGTGTGCAACAAGAACTGTTTCTTGCTGTAGCCCCAACACCCTGATTACGCAAGTCCCTTGAGGCGAAGGAACAATCACTGCTCATTTTACTGGAGCTACAACCAGTTTGGCTCTTCCCGGTGAGCTTGAAGTGCGGCAAGTCAGGAACTAGTGCTTCTTAAAACAGAAGTATCTGCTCGATTCCAGGTGCGCCTACCGTTGGTTTAAAGCTGAAAATCCTTTATGACTAAAGAGCACTGCATAATCGAGCTGCTCTGGGAGCTGCCATGCATCGTCAGCAAATATCAAGCAGCGGATCTGCGTATGCAAGGGGCACCCCACTAGTACATAAAGCTAGTAGGGCATTGGCTCACGGTGGCGAGTCGCGGGCAGCAAACCACTGGAATGCTCACACAGAAAAGTAAAACCAGCACTTTTCGGTCATTTAGCAATCGTAGGCGCAGCCAGCACTAAAGGGCAGTTTTTGTTTCTACAAGCGATAGGCGGAAGCCCCAACCTTGCTGTAACAACGTAGCCTATCACCTGGGATGCTCGCAGAGGCGCCGTCGTGATAACGTCGTTGAGGGATCCCTGCAGTTCTCTCAAAAATTTGTGGATCGCAGCTTCCGCAGAGCTATAGCGGCATGCCTGCTGCCGTTGCAAAGCCTGGACTTTGCCATATTCCTGTGGACATGCGCTTGAAGCGAATTAAGTGGGGACCATATCGTCGCATCTGATTAAGCGCAGCTGTCTTTGTGTCAAAATACGTTTATTAACTTGGCTGCGCCGATTAGTACTGCAATTCTAATTTCGTGTTCTGCTACTCTAAACCCCCATTATCCAAACGTTCTACAAAGCAATCTTTCCCCAACCTGTGAAACATAATAGCTTCCTATTGCGAAACAAGTGAGTATGCAGAGTACTTTCCGAACTTGGATTTTTGGTTGCCACAGTAGAACTAGAAAGCCATAAGAGTGCTTTCCGAGACACTGGCTCACCTTCTTCAGGTCGTCCAGTTCCCGTTGATGAAGCGTGAGTGCAGCTGCGTTTGCCATTTTCTGGTCCCTGAACTCACGTCCACCTTTCAGCGTCAATGCATTTCTTAGTCGATACACTCAAATCTTTTATTGTGCACGCTCATTGGCGAGCTTACCTGAGCTCCAAGATGGCCTCGTAGACTGCCATGTCACATCCTACGGGGCAGATATCTTCTATGCTCTCTGAGTCCTGTTGCACGCGCTCGGTCTCATCGATTTCAGCTAGAACCACAGCACACCCATTAATCCATTCAGGTGTCATACACGCTCAGCTTTTGCAGCTAATCGCCTCGGGTACATGCGTTTCTGCAAGGGTGTTGCCTTTCTGTTTCTACACTCTGTCATACAGCGGCGTAGCGAACAACTGAGAACGCGTCATTCGAAGCCGGGTGCGGTTCCATACGGATTGAACTGACTTTCGAGATCGTTCTCTTCACCTTCGGCACTTCGGAGGTTCAAGGAGGGCGAGACTACCTTCGGCGTCACCTGAATATAGAGTGAACTTTAGCGGATAAACCATAAAGGGAAGGGGATACAAATGGAAGCAAAGCTAGAAGGCCGTTTTTGTTGCAGCATCTTAGCACAAGTAGATTTAGGAATATTTGGGTATATGAGTACATTGCGATTAAAAATTTCCATTAGTGCGGCATGTTGTTGATTTCTGGGTTCGACAGCTTCCATGGCCCGTCGGCGTATTTCTACTTCATTCGCCTACGGGAGAAAGAAGCAAATGAAGAAAAACGATAGAATCCTACGCCCACGCAGGCTTGAGACAAAGACAGCATCTGCTTGTGGTTTGCTGGATCAGAAATAGCAGCTCGGGGATCGGCAAAGATCGTAAGGTTAGATGCACCACAATGCTGTCCTCACATGACAGCTTTCAATGCCCTGCTTCTTTTCAGTCATGCACGTTTCAATGGCTTTAAGACGATCTTCAATTTCCTTGCATTCTTTTCGCGTATCTGAGAAGTCCTGTTGAAGTCGTGATCTGCGTGGTTCCATGGATTCAATTATCGTCAGCTCACGATATTGCTCCTGCATACCATCTTAGAGATAACATGGTTTTTTTTAAAAGAAAAAGCTTGCCTGTTTCGCAAGCAAGTTCCTGTATACTTACATACAAGTGCCTCTTTGAGATTATAGATCGCAGATAATATTGTGAGCAGTCCGACAACCGTCTTACGAGCTGATTTAGTCGTGCAAGCAGTAGTTCCTGCTGAACAGACGTACGCTCCTCTAGCAGCCATCGTACTTCTTGGTCGAACTGACTAATCCCACTCGATATCTACAGACGCAGCCACAGTATGGGCTTAAAAATGAGAGACCTTTGCATGGACGTGTTCACTAGCTCCAGTATTGCTGCTTTTCTTGCGCATGGCCTGCCATTCAGTAACCTGTGCGCCTGGGGTGCAGATCTTACTGCGTCGAGGAATCTACTAGCTTGCGCATGGAGTTCCAGGCTCTGCAGCTTTGCCCGGTCCATTATTTCGGAAGGCAAGGGACCACAGGAATCCGATTTCTCCAAGTGTTGCTGGCAGCATTTTACGCTCTCTTGGAAAGCAAAGACTCTGCAGGCCACGCGGCTTTGCTCAAGCTCGCACTTTCTGAGGCTGTTCAGGATATCCATAAAACGCGTCTTAAGCTCGAGACCTTTTTCGCAAACGCCACCGGTGTACAGAGGGTTTGACGTCCTGAGGTGTCCAACAGATGCATTGCATGCGTGGGGTTCTTCCCCTACCGAGCAGGCCTGCACCCCTATGCCGGAGAGAGATGCAATTTGGCGCAAATGCTCAAACGATACAGTGAAGTCGTCTGGGAACCGATGCACTTCACCAAGTGTAGTTTCCAGCTGTGCCATCTCGGCCCTGGTAGCATCAGTTTCGTATAGTGCTCCACTGTTGCTAAGCTCCTTTCGGCGCCCTTCTAAGAAATTTCTGAAACCAAATAAGCATCCAACTGATATAAAGTCGCGTAAGGGGCTCAGTAAAAGGCTCCGCTAAACCTTACTCATTAATTTGCACTAACATGAGCTGTTTCTTGTCAACGGTCCACAATGATCCTTTGCATTGTTCGCTCAATGCTGCATTGTGCACTGTTTGTACTAGCGCTTTGGCTCTAAGCCCCTCTGGGGAATCTTGTAGTTGGGCGATGTGCAGGGAGTCGATGATTCCGCTAAGTAGGCGTAAGCAAGTGCTGAGGAGCTCCTTCCGTATTTCGGACATTACAGCAACACATTGGTTAAACCAAATAGCTTTAGTTGTTGTCCACTTAACAAGGTCCAGCATTTTGCTTCTTTTTCTCGATGAAAAAGCCCTGATAGCCACAGGACATCATATCTAGCCTCAAGCTGTTATGATTTTTCGGCTCTTCCCCCTCTCTGGTAAGCTGTCCGGATTTCCTGCAGAGCGAAGCGCGTTGACCTCACGCAGAGCACAAAAGTATTGCTGCGACTTTTCGGGCAGGGCGTGAGCTGCAAGGGGCTTACAACGAGCACTCTGTCAGAGTACCAGAGGCAGTGAGCTTGTAGGCGCCAAGGCTCTTGATCGTTTCTGCAATGCAGGAGTCACTCTGAGGATCGGTCAAGCCTTCCTGCGGCTTTGCTTTGAGTAACTCGTCCATCGCCTGCACGTGTTGCCTCCGGGCATCTGTGGGCAGTATTTTTTCCAGTTCACATCATTTTGGCTCTCGTTGACTGCCGATGGCAACAAGGATTTGCAATAAGGCTAGCAGTTAAGACAACAGTTCTTTATGCTGAACCCAGACATAATTTCAGTGGAACTGGGAAATGTTGAGGTAAGGATTTGTAGCTGTATCAGCATCCACAGATTGTCAGCTGTGCTGACCTGTTTTACTGCGGATCTCAGCCTGCTGCATGGGCTGGATGAAGCCTTTCGGCCCACAACAGACACCTGTCTTCTGCTTTGTTTCGGGATTCGCGTATGTATACGATGTTGATTCAATGGTATGCCTTCTGACGGAGTCTAAATAGAACAAGAGTGCAAGAATTTTGAAGGGCTAGCTGAATTTAATCTATTGGAGTAACTTCCTTGCAGTCCCTGCTGCAAGGCAGCATCTCTGTTGCAGATCTTTTAGGTTCATGTGCCTACCAGGATCTTCCGGATGTGGCGCACGCTCAGGCATAAGGAGGCGCTTAAGCTCTTGTGTTCGTGCTTCTTCGAAGAGCGCCTCCATATCATCAGCTTCACGGGAGCCGCACTGGTCTTCTTTTATTGCCTGAAGTGTCTGTACGTCCTGGAGCAACAGCACAGCGTACAGCACTATGCCATTCGAGAACTTTATACACAGACTCTTTTGGATTTGCTGACGTAAACACGGAACATACAGGACCGAACCAGTAGAAGCGTGCAAAGGCTGGAGGGCAAGTGTGTAGTGCGTCTACAGAGTGGCTCACAATTGATGACTGGTCAGTGGGGAACGAAGAGATGTGAAGACCATCGCCAATGCTGCTCACTGCCACACCTTCCAGAACTCCACCTAGGAGTTTCTGCAGATTCATATCAAGTCTCGTGCATCGTAGTATCACAAATACAGTCAAGCGTTTACTGCGACCACTTACCGGCGATATGCAGCACAGCATGGTTACCGTTAGACATGCACACTTGGTGGCCCTTCGAAAGACGTCAGTGACCACCTATTAAGCCTGCCCTCTAGATCATCACCAAATGAGTCACGTACAGAACGCACATTAGATAAACATACATAGCTTTTCTAATTGGAAATTCGCTGCAGTTGCTGAATGCGTACCGTAAGATCTGAGATCAAAATTTGATGCTGATCCCTTGCGTTTTGTATCTCTTGCTCTACTACCTCCAGATATCGCGCGCTTTCAGCCTCACTTTCACGAAGAAGGCCATCCCAAATCACTAAGTCCTTCAGAATCTCTGGGGTATTAAACCCTGGCAAGGCTTTGAATTCGGTCACCAAATCCTATTATTCAGCAAGTACAATCAAAAAGGAAAGTCTATTTACGAAGCGTTCTTGCACACATATTCATATAAAATTGCTGTTGGACGTCTTGAGCGTGTACCCCCAGCAATGGTAAAAAATTGTGTTTGTGAAGGCATATTAGAGTGGCCGCATTGTTCCACAGCACGGCCAGTATCCCGTTCTACTTATCCACAAGGCCGCATTTCGATGTGCGCATGGAGTTCTAAGGTAGCGCACAACCTTGCCTTATAGCGATTAGATAGGTCTTGCAACTGGCGGCTCTCTTGGTGCTCAGCGGCGTTCATCACCGAATCATCTTTTTGGTCCTTTCGTAGTCTGTGCTGTTCCTGTTCAGGCAGGCACATGCTACGATTCTAAAGGTAGCGAAAAGAACGAAGCATAATGATTGAAATCACATAAAAGGTGGGGAAGGTAGTGCGGCTTTGCGGGATCAATTACGCGCTTGATGCCGCTCCCGTCGTAGCGCCTGCTAGGAGGCCGTGTAGCCCCTCTAACTAATGTACTTGCTTATCCATCTATTTACACACCATGATTGTGGGTTCTGTATTGTCGATAATGTCTGCTGCCATGTCTGCAGTAGCCGATGGCTCGGACTCATCTGGTAACGCGGAATCTCTGTTTGTCTCGAGAACCCCAAAAATGTTTGCTTCTACTTCCATGAGTTCATCGATTCGCACAAGGTTTGGACAAGGTGGTTCCAACTCCTTTGCTTTTCTGAGGCAAATATTAAGCTGCAAAACCCTCCGTGGCGCTTGTAAATGCAAGGCAAAAGACAAATGCAGCTAGCACTGTGACATTACTTTTGCAGTCCATACGAGCTGCATCGATGATTTAGCTAATTATCACGATGCACTAGCAGCGCCTGGGAGTCAGTCGGGGATGCATATGGCTGTGCCACAAACGCACTTGCGAGTGATCGAACTTGCTGGGAAACCTGTATCGACGGCGACTTGAGCGTTTTCGATAGCCATATCTGACTGGAGCAAGCGACGGAGAAATTGCTGCTGTTGCTCATACTTTCCTGACTGCTGTTGGTTAGACTCAAAACAGCGGAAATGCTGTGCCTGCGAGTGTTCTGCTTTGGCTTGTGCCGCTTCAGCTTTCTGCGCGTCTTGTTCAGCTTCTTGCGACTTCTGGCATCGCGACAAGATATCAGCCAATTCAAACTCGCACCTCCACCAGGTCCCACTTTGAGCTGCTGCATTTAGAGCCCACCTACCACTGCATCCAATAGGCCGCGCCAAGATGCTGGTAATGCTTCCAGTATGACAATCAAAAACCCTAGTCTGACGATGGACAGCACACACGCAATTTTTTCAAGTTGGCATAAAAGCGATCGAAGGGGATCATCACCTGATGTTCATATACTGATTTGCACAAGGCATACATAATATTGAATTTCATGGAACAGGGTAGTTTACTGCAACCATTTGCTAGGCCAAGATACGAAATGAAATGTACAGAGGGCTGTCTATTGACATACCACAACGCACGCCTGGGGGGTGTCGGCAGGGAACAGCAGTACTCGTCCATCGGATGTGCCGGCGATAAGCAATCGTTCGTCAAAGACCGCCACAAGCTTAGTAAGGTAAGGCCCCTGGCATTCAGCACGGCTGGTCTCCGAATGTCTGGGGCTGAGCTGCTGGAGAACTTTGGAAAGCAACACCATAGGGTGAGCCAACAGAGTACGGATTTGAGGGTTCGGCGGGTGCTGCGGAGTTCCCGCCTCCAATAGTCTCTCAAGCGAAAAGCACCAAATGGCGTTTCGCATCTTACTGGTTCCAGAAAACAGCAAGAAAAAACGTGATGCAATCAGCATTTTGTCAACGATCCTAGGTGTCGATGCGTTGCTGAGACCGTTGTCATTTGCATTCCAAGTTGGCTTGTCAGGATTGTTTGGGCAGGCAACCAACTTGGCTGTTGTTAATGCAGTAATATGGGCTGCTGCTGTGACCTCCACGCGGTGACGTGTTTGCTGATCTACTGTTGATGCAATTGAATGTCGTGCTTTGCTCTCAGCCGCCGTTCTGCTTTCGACGCATTCATAAGATGAACTTCGTTTCGTCTTGTATTCGTTCGTGTTAAAGACTCTGACCTTTGAATCGGCAACCACTTCCGATTCACTCTCAGTGCCACTCAAGTCTTCCTCCTCCCTGTCATTCTGGCCCTCCGAACGAGCACCACGGAGGCCAGCAGTTGATACTTTTACATCGATACGCCTAACACATGCAGATAAAATTCGGCAGCGAATACGCCGGCTTCAAGTCGCAGGCGGCATACATCCTTTCGGTAGCCTCCCGCAAAACCAAATGCGCAATCATGCCACTACTCTGTTGACCTCACCTGAAAGAAAGGATGCCAGTAAGATCTAAAGGGTCTTTTCTGGGGACCCTGGATGCCTTTGGTGGACACTGGGCTGCTTCCTCATCTGAAGCACTGCCTTCCTCCGGCGTGCCTTCGTCGCCAATTTGGCCCGAACTTTCACTCGTGGGTTCCTGTACCTTCTCAAGGTCGTCACTTTCGGAAGTTACCCCAGCGCCCTCTCCTACTATGGTGCCGTTTCCCAGGTTTGCCCCACCATCTTCCGCTGCTGCTCGTTGCGCTGGCTCTTCACTAAGAACCTGCAGCCCATCCAGGATTATTAGCGCTGCATCAGCTGCAACACCGAGGAGGAGCAACGGGTGTTCCCATGCAAGGTGCATCAGAGGCTCAGAAGCCTTGATGAATCCTAAAGGCTCCGCTTCCCAGCTCCTTTCGGAGCAGTTTCGAACTCCTGCGTATGTATATGAGTCTGTTGCCTCGTCTTTAGGGGCACCAGATTTAAGTTTTAGAAGTAGTAGAACTCCATCTTCTCCTAGTGCTGCTAGGCGCTCCCCTGACAATCATTCCAACGAGAGAGCTCTAGCTCGTTAGCATCTCAGCTTGTTCGTTGCTTATTTGAAAGAGGCCCGCTATATTGATGTAACTTAAAGCGTATTGCATAGTTGCATGCTTGCCCGAAGTTTCCCCGCATGCGTACATATTAAAATATTTGGTATGCGCCAACTTGTTTACAGCGATTCGACTCTGAGTCTCATTAAAGGGCTTCACGATTTACGCATGCACCATTCTCCCCCTGGCTCAACAGTACTTGTACGCTACCTGAAGGGTCCACAGCCAGCTCCACAATGGCGCGTTTGTGAGTCCTTATGGCCAATAAGAGCTGTGACCCTTTCACGGAAACTTCAACTAGCCGTACAACTCCGTCCTCAAAGCCCATAAATACGAGGGAAGATGTTGTCCCTTCAACCGATGGCATCAGTGCGACACAACGAATTCTACAAAGCCAGCGTCTGCACAGCCATGCCAAAAAGATGCGTTGTTCAAAGCAAAGAATCTAATTAAGAGGCTAATTGAGTAGCCCCAACCGATAAAGCCTCAACAGCCACTGGGTAAGACAACGATGCGTATGGCAGACAGATTACCGGCATGTCAAGGCCATCCGGCAAGGAGCACCTCCCCAGGAACGTATGGAGCCATCGCTGCCAACTGTTACCAAGGCTGAACAGCGGGTTCAAACACGTCACGATTTTCTATGGGTTGTCATATGCAAATGGGCAAAGGGGTGAATACAAGCTTTGTACACTTTTCGGATGATTGGTCAAGCTATGTAGGGCCCACTGATCTCAACGTCGATCGCTTGGTTTGTGGTAGACTTCTTTTAGACCCACCGTATTCGTTTTTCATGCCTGCATCCGTCTTTCCAGTAGCGACCTCGATTGGGGCAAGGATACTACCGGCATGAAAGTCAAATACCTGTAAAACGCAGCATTGCATGTTCTATTGCGTCGAGATAGACAAGGCCCTCAGATAATTGGCCTATGGTAATTTAGTACAGCTTTATAAGTATAGGAAGGAGACATCAGAGTGGCTAACCTTGACCAGATTTTCAGATGTCGGCGAAAAGAGCCATGTAGTGCCACGTCCATCCACTACCACCCAGAATAGCTCCGAAGAAGCTCTGAGAGCAGATGGTAGATTAAATTACGTTTGCTTTCTACCAGCATACCTAGAGCCTATTTTTTCTAACTTCACGATAGCTGCATCAAATGTCAACTCGACGCTAATTTGGCAACTCCCTAGCTGTACAAACAGAGAGCACGTCCGGTTGTACCTGTCGGCTAGGATACTCTTGATTGGTAGATTTCCTGGCATGGTGAATGCTCTAAGAGCAGAAATTGAGATTGTAGTGTTTTGACCCATGGCTTCAACTGCATTCAGCACGGTATGAGCGGCCCACCTGTAGCAAACTCTAACACACCGGTGCGTAACAATGCTGGGGGACGCACATTTGTACATGCCGTTGAGTGCTCAGCTTTGCGGGACGTACATTTAAAGCCAACCTCCGCCGTCGTTACCAGTTAAATATGAGGGGGCCAACTACGAACCATTTTATACAACCGTCGGTGCCGGCGGAAACAATATGGTCCGTATTCTTCGGGTCCCTAAACAGGCTATTCACCATTCCTTTATGGCAGGACACAAGCTGTGCGTTAGAAGAGTCTGAAGAAGCACATTTGCCCTCCTCTCCATTAGCAATTACCACGGGATCATGAAACGAGTCCCTACATTTTGCCCGCTGAGAACATATCGCCTTCACCCCGGTGCGCCATGCCACTGCAAACCCGCATTGCCATTGGCCTCCCTCACTCTGTTCTCGCGCGACGTCGGAGTCTTGTGCGTTAAGATTTGTGGACGCAGGCAACAACTGAAGCAGTTCTGCCATTATATAGCCATTCTGGAGGGTGGGTGCATACACAGCACTACAGGAATGCTATTTTGCTTTGACCTGCAGTGCACTGGCTTCCCCATTGCCCATCTGGGCAACGCCCCCGAAATGTGCAATCTTAGCTAATTACAGCGATAATATGAGTGTCTTAGCATTGAGATACACGGAATGAATATTCCTCTGATTAGTCAATGTTCTCTGCATGGAACTCACCTCCCAAAGGAGCAGGCTGCCAGAGTCCGAGCCGGACATCAGGAGGGAGCCCGTGAGCTCGACAAAACAAGAGACATCTGAGACTGCCAAATGCCTGAAGTGGAACATTTTCCCCTACGATAAGCGCCATAAACACGCAGCACAAGTGCCTCCAGGGTCTGTATTCACGAGCCCGACGGATCAAACTTCTCTGGGTGGAGGCGCCCGCACACCACGCATACTCCTTGTCGGTGCATGCCTTCGAGGTAGAAGGAGCACAATGCCTCAAGAAAATGCGAGCTTCTACAACTAGGAATATGGGCATATACTTTTACACACCGACCTTCAGCTTTAGTCCGGTAAACGTTCGCGTTGCTGTCCAAACGTAAACGTGACGTAATCCGGACGCAGTAATTTGATAGGCAAAGAAAGGGGACCTGTTTACAGCGCACCCCAAGCATAGTAGACACAAGCGGAGGAAAATTTGTAGATCTACGGGCTGACAGGACTAGACCAACACTTGTCTACATCTGCAGCGTTACACGGTGTACTGTCTTGGGCGGAAAAAATGCACAAGACTAAAGTCAAATCTCTTCCTTGTACCATTCAAGAGCAAGCACTTGCAATGCTGGTGCCCTCAGGCGGAGGAATATGGTGCCGTCGGAAACGTTCCAAAGGGTTATGTAAGAAGTGGAAAGGGAGGAAGTTTCTCCATCATCCCCTTCCCATCCAACTACAGCGAGGAGTGGTACTTTGACAGGATCAAGTAGCTCATCTTTTTCAGTAGTGTCCGCCGGGATGTCCTTTGCATCTACCACAACTCTGGGTACTTCCTGAGGCCCTTTTTCGTCTGTGTACTGTGGACTTGGTGTGATATCAGACGCGCCACGTCCGATCGTGGACTTGTCATCAGAAGCTGGTCCTTTCTCCAAATTGCCTTCATTCTCGGTGAGACCACATACAGCATGCCCAGCATCTGGTCCGATAAAGGGAAACTTCCCTCGGAAGGCAGCAATGGAAAAACCGCGTTCGCTAAATGCCTTGCAACGTCGCACTAGTGCAAAGGTTTTCGACGAATAAATATAGATACCTGGATTCTCCATAAACAGGCACAGAGGTCAAAATGTAGGAAGGAACTCAAAAAAACAGAAATGGTGTGCAGGAGAATCAATGTGTATGGATACAAAATGTCAGGCGCAGATCAAGTCTCTAGCAAAAGTCCTTGACTTCTACCATCTACAGACTGCACTGGCTGATTGGTCGTCTCTCCTCCATGGGGTTAATTTTAAGAGAAATCGCGATCCGTTGCCGTGGCGCTATTCAAACAAGTTCACATTGCTTTCACAGAGTGCCTTTTTCGAACCTGCAGGTTTTCCTATACTCCGGCCACAGATGGCTATTAGTTCGTGATCTCTATCCACCGCCACAGCTGAAATTCCCATGTCATCCTCAAAAGATTTCGCACGGTGCAGTAAATATGATTTCCCGAGGCTCAGGCTGCTGCCAAGCTGAGATTTCACTGACGCTTTGGCTTGAGCCAAAGCTTCAACTGTGTACAAAAGTGCGTGGGTGTTGGTAATGCACAGCAAGGTCTTGCTATTGACAATCAGCACCTGCTGCCTTGTAACATCGTGCCCCCCAACATGAGTCGTCCTCATTGAAGACTGCTCCATGTTCATTTTGCGTCTATTGGTGTCCGGCATTAGGCAATTCGACTAGAGGTGCCTCATGCCAAAGCGAATAAATCCAAATAAAGCTAGAGCAGTTGCCGGCAACGCTGTTTACTCAAACTAATTTGACGGTTTCCTAAACTACAGTTTCAACCAAGCACGGACATTAGATGTGCCTCATGGTGCTAAATCCAGCCGTGCAGACGTTGGAACAGCATCGAAAAAGAAGGCTACTGCCATGGGGGGCATACACTTGCATTGTCAGGGATCCACTGTTTCGACTCAGGCCACCGATACTATCTTCCTGCGCGCACAAATGAATGTACCATGAGCCAAACAAACGTAAAATTGCTGAAAGCTAAATGGAAGACTGTTGGCGTTGGCTTTATATGCATCGAGACCTGCAGGCGAACCGTCTCTTCATTAAGGAGGAAGCAGCAGAGCAGTCGCTGGAGGTATCACGAGGCTGCATAAAATAGTGCTTACTCTTAGCACGTTCTTTCAACTCTTCCGGCACCACGACACTAATCTTTCTTAACCTACCCGGAATTGAGGCACGCGAGACCGGAAAATGTAGGGCAGAATGAGGACACCCACTCACCCCTCTCTTAATCCGATTAATGAGTCTCCACTTGTGAAAGAGAGGATGCTAGGAGCTGTTGAATATGCAGAATGTGCCTTGAGGAATGCATTAGCTGCAAAAGTCCCATTGTAGATAGGACGTCAGAGTGGAATGGAACCTTGGACTCTTCATTGGTTCACTAAAAAGAGTGTAATATCTCCACTAGTAGTACAGTTTTACCAGTATTGAAAAGCCAACTGAGGTCATGGGCTGACGCTTGTCACTGAGCCTCTACAAAGGTAGTGTCGTTAAAGAACCATAGCCTCACAGTCCTAATACCTCGGAACTAGTATACACAAAGCCCCCTTGTTTGTGCCTAATTAGCACCACTTTCTTTTGAAGTTTTTGAGAATGTCCTTCCGTGGCCAGGTATATTTTTTAGATAGCTGCATCTAACATTCAGCCCCAAAGATCAGATTTGCATGCAATCCAGTTGCAAGCAGTCCTAATGCTCTACAAGCAAATTCAGCGACCCCAGCACAATGGGCTTTATCCAAGAAATACTGAGTCAAATATTTGAAAATTCTAAGGGATCATGTGTATAAGCCCCTACAGGGGTACTAATCATATCCGTTTGGCACACCCCACCAGAAGGTGCGATTGACAACCTCATACACCACATGACTCCAGTACTATGGCAGCATAAGACATGATTACAAGCTTTGTTCCACAAAAGCTTCAGCGCTAATATAACCCATATTGGACTACACAATCGCCATACACAGCGAGGAGTAGCTTGAGTTCAGATCTAAAGTTGCATGAAATTAAGTGTACAGGCCCACGCCCATAGCTGGAGAGAACGTCACCTCAGGGCCAAAAAGCACATGGGGGATTCAGAACTTGCCTCTGTGGCAACTCACGCATCTGATGCCAAACTGCTCGCCAACGAGAACTTAGAAAACTATGATCCATGAAACTGCAGTCCCCTCTCGCCTCTAATTAGATTCATATACAATGAGTTCGCTCATCCTTGACTGCTAGGTCAAAAATGCAAGACTAACATTCATGCGGTGCTTTTTGACGTTGACTACGAATAAACTTTTACAGATGAAGTCTGCACCTCCACTTAATATCCTGCTTATCACAGCCACGTTTGCACCGAAAAAAAAACATGCTTGCATTACAATAACAAGTACGAGGGATTGGTTGGCAGGTTGGAAATGCTATCAGCAGATAGATGTGGTGTATCAGCTTCTTTGCTGATTGTGTAAAAGTGTTCTTCGCGTGCCTCGTGCGTACAGGGCAAAACAGGAAAGCACCTAAGTAGTAGCTCATGGAAGAGCTTTGATACCTACCACAGCGGTGAATACAGGATCGCACTGATCCGATAAATGAAAGTGATAATTGGCCAAAAGCGCGTGTGTTTCTTGGCAAGAGATACACTGACGCTGCTTGTAGAATCCTTATTGTTTTGTAAGCTGCCATTACTATGAGGACTCTAAGCGCATACAGCAGCTGCACATGATGGCCACATCTCCCTAGAGCTCCATAAGAAGCTTTTACGGCAGTGTCATGAGCTGGAGCGTCTAAGTTGATAGTGCTGATGAATCCGTTAAAGCCGTGGACTATTAGTAAGTAAACAGTTTTAGCCAGCGGCTTACTGACGCGATGATCTGGTTTTCCGCTTAAAAGCCCCTCACAACACTGCAGTGTGAGATGGACATTGCTCGACGTAGCCAAAAAGGAATTGTAAGTATCAGCATCTATGCTTTCGGCGAGCCAGTCCAATGTAAAGGCCGAGTGAGCATGCAACTATAGATATGATTTGCAATGCTATTGGAGAAGCCCATAAGGTTTTTCCAGTTGCTATTTGTAGAAAACTCTTTGCACGTTTACAACATAACAAGCACGTGGGTGCAAAAGCTTTGGCGGCCAGTTGTGTTAAACAGTAGTCATGAACGGTATAATCCGTGGAAAAAGGAGTTCCTCCACACTCCGAGATTCCTTGAAAGCCAGACTCAGTGAGTTTAACCATAATTCGCTGAGCATTTCTCACATATTTAGTAACTTCTACTTCATCGAGTATGAAATGGACAGAGGGCTGTGGCCAGCAGCCACTTCTTTGCAACACAATTGATCGCGCTCCTTAAACAGCGTTACAGCGAGATTATTGCCTGGATGGCCGAGTAGACACAGCAATAGCCTACCCGTCATAGAAGTCCTGGAGTTGAAAACTGCCACTAGTGTGAAGTGACTGGAAGCAACGAGCGATACACACAGCTGCTGTTCAGCCCTCGCCGGAGAATGCGGGACCCTCCAACCGCACGCTTCACTGGAGGACGTTTTCCGGGACACTTCGATCACAAACACTTCTACGAAAGCGCCATCTACAAAACAAGCAGCTCCAACTGTCTGCGCATATGGGCGTTGGGCAGGTGTTTGGTGCTATACGGGCATATGAGGGCTGGTAGGGCACACTAGATGTCTTGTATTGTGCTTCTAGCACTAATGTATTTTCTACTGATTAAACATGTTGCAATACAGAGAATACCATACAGCTCGAGAACACAGTCATTTGAAGGATGCTAACATATTTATGTTCTTAACGCCTGCTTGTTTAACTATAGATAAATAGACGGGAAATGCACTGCATCGAAGCGGCTAATCGATAAGCTGGTGTAGGTACTGTGGATGACTAAAATACTTTGGCTTCAATGCTTAGAAGCATGAAGACATCCTGCGAGGCCCTCATCATCTAAGCTGACACTTTCTTGGAGGGCTTAGCATGCCCTGTCAAAAAATCATCAGAGGGAGATAATTTGCGTGTGCCTCTAAGTGGCGGTAGACAGCAAGATGGCTGTGCCTCGTTTGACCCAAAATGATGGGTCCTGGGCCCCACTGCGTATTTCTTGCATCGTAACCAAAGACGGTCTGTCGATGGTCCCCTTTCGGCATGGATACTGGTATATAGGGCACATGTACAGTTTTTCAGTTAAATTGCGCCTGCGTGTTGTTGGCTTGAGGTGTACAATGGGGAGTTCACAGATCAGCTGCATCGGTTCTGGCTCCTTGAGGGCCATGCCCTCAAGATTCCAAGATGCCCCTTCAAGATACAGACGCTTTACGTATGCTCCTTCCCGAGGTGGTGACGGTAGCAGGCCTTCGTCGTAGGCAGTCTGAAGAAGTTGCAGCCAGAAAATACCATTGTCAGTGATGGTTCATAGACGTATTGCATCTATTTGCAAGACATGTGCTACTATACATGACTGTCGGTATATTTGCTGACACGCAGTTGAAGCAGCCTTTGGCTGTTCGTAGCAAATAACCGACATACACCTTACCTGCGCGATGAATTCGAAGCTTATAGTATCAACTGGCACGGAATTCTTCCTAGCGAATTGCTGCAGCAGAGCTGCCAAGAAGGCGCTGGGGTAGGTAAGCCCGCCCAACCAGAATACTTTTGGTTGTCCTTCCTGAAGCGTTTATTGTGCATCACGTTGGCTAAATATTTGCTGTGTGACTTACATTTGGCATGTATATATATATATATATATATATAACCCGATCCAGTAGTGTTATGATATAGAGCTTGCATAAAACATGTCCTTTTCTCTTCAAAGTCAAGCATTATGGATTTGTGCAGCAAACTTCCACAACCAGCCAAACAGACTGGTAATACATTGAGCCAGTGATTCGCAGTCTGCCCCTCACCTGAAGTGGGTCGGGAGCTAGCCACCCGTAAGAGCTGATTCACGCTAGCATATATGGCATGACTAGACCTAAATTACTTACGAGCCCCCATTTATTAATTTGATCAACGCGCTCGGCCAAATCGTTGGTCCATGACATGAGGGGCTTGAGCGACGGGAAAGCAAAGGACCAGGAGTGTGGCACTTCGCCCCTTAGCAACGAGGATTGCAACGTCTCCAAATCATCTGACATTGTGCAGAATCCTGAAATCGCCTTCCGCAAGTTTTGAACCATCTCTTTGGCGCACGATAGAAGTCTGTTGAGGCGCTGAGCCTCCTGTAACATCACAGTGCGAAGAGGTGAGGGATTTTCGAGTTCAGCGTGCTGCATCTGATCCATTTGTAGGCATTTTGGAAGGGCTTGTTCAAGATTTTCGCAGCACCTGAGTATCTGAGCGCAAGAATCAATGATCATCGGTTGTGAAAATTTCGCTTTCATGAGCGGTCACGCGCCAATCTAGCGGCCCTACCTTTGGTGACCAGCAGTGATCAAAGGACTGAAGCGGGTGCATATTTCCGAAGCACTGTGCAAAACTAATACCATGGTATCTCGGCACTTTCCCTCTCCACTTTCGAATTCATCGGCTCCAGGAGCCTGAATATTCAAAAGTGTTGTAAACAGTTCTTCTGCTTCCTCTATCTGCGAATAGATTTCAGCATTGATGTGCTGACCAAATATTTCGGGAGAATCTATTGCTGGCAGATCACGAGCATACTGTCTCAGGCCATTCTGATCAGATGAACACACAAATGGCTCCATGAAAACGCCATCTCTAGTCCAAATGGATAATGAATGTAGTGCTCCAAGGGGCGCCATGGCAAAAACCTGTCTTTTATTGCTTCTAGTGCTGCAGAATGAGAGTTATTCTGCCCGGGAATTCCATCGTTTGAGTTAGCATACTAATGAGATATCGTCGGGTAAGGGGAGCTGTGAGAGTCCTTGAAACCTGAAATCTCTGGTTAAGACCTGGGGATTGAAGCAGTCATTGCAATACACTCTGAGTAGTCGCAGGTCTCTTTCGTCCGTAAGCCGGCCCCCGTAACAAGCCCCAACAATTCGTGATCGTGCTGCTTCCCATGGGAATTCGCTGGGCGACTGATGCAAGACAGCAAAAGCAAAAACCGCAATACGTGGTCTTCCGGAGAATTCGAAGTCGTGAAGGGTAGCAGAAATTGTGTTCTAGGTCTTAAGTTGCCACAGTACCTGTTCGCAGTACGTGGCAATAATGCTGTCTCCGACAAAGAAATCGCTGTCGCTAAAGCTAGCATCTCGAGTCCATCCAGTATTATGGAATTTCCCTCTCTCGATAAGCAAGGAATGGAACCAGCATAGTGATAAAAAAAGCCGCTGGTATCGTTCTGCCGCCCCATGAACTCTCTGCATATCCTCTTCCGTACGGTGTTGCAATAGGCGTTGCAGGTTTGCTCTCAAGCCACGTGGCCGTTCAATAGTAACCTTTGTCGACCTACACATCACCAGTGTGCACTGGTGAGTACATCATGCGAAAACTCGGGTGTGTTTTATCTCTTTCGCTTTAGGCTAAGTGGAGGTTTAGCTTCACCAATGGCAAATCCAATTTAGGGATTCCAGCTGTTTACACCATCGTTTGCTTTACCGTTGCAAAAGGGCAATGGGGAAATTTTCTGTTGGCTCCGAGCTAAGCCATAACCTAAAATTTGGGTGCAGTTTCATGTTTAGTATCTCTTCGGTTAGCTTCTCCAGTGTCGGAAGCCAAGATACTGCAAGGTGGCAGTTTGCTAGGAAAACCCAAAAGCCATGACGAGCACCATCGCGAATGGCCTGTTCGGCTCGCATTGCCTGACCCTGGCCCAGTGCAACAGAAACCACCTGTTCAGTAAGCAAACATTCGCTCAAAACTAGAGTTGCGAGCATAGCGGTACTCAGTCATGCAGACACAATTAAAATTACTGCCGGAGCTTCCATACGCATATTATAAGAACTGAATATAGAAACTGACGGTTGCGTTTTTTGACGTCGCAAAAGTCATGAGCTGTCCAACAGGATCTACTCCAGATAGAAGAAGGAGCAATGGAACAGTGTTTTTCGAGGAAGCAAACAGATCTTCCCAATCCAGCGGCATATTTTCTATGAATCTGGCATCCAGTGCATCTGCAACAAAACGAGATGCTGCAGGGATTACTCGATCTGGACGAAGGCATCTAATAACAATGAGTCGTTGCAGAGCATCTAGGCGGGCTTGCCAGTCACCAGGGAGTGTGGCCCGTTCTGGTTCAGTTGATCCAAACCACCGACGCCATTCCCTGCAAGCAGTATAAACAATATATGGACCAGATACTTCACAAATAAGGCGCAGGACGGGCCAGGAATACCCAGTAATGTGCATTCACTGTGCTATGCAATGAATCAGCATGGCTGGTGCTACAAAATAACTTTAAAATGCCACCCTACCTGCTGTTCTGATCTACGGAGCTCTGTAGTCCCTGTAAAGCCTCCAGCTGGTCAGCCTTACAAACGAGTTGCCATGCAGCTGGTGTGATCCACTCCGGGTCAGGATTAGTGGGCGGTGAAGGAGCATCCAATAAAGCACCACGGGTAAATAAGAAAGCGTATTCATGGCGATTCAGCTGGTCATCAGCGAGCAGGATGCTAGCACACAGATGCAAGCCCAGGAGAGCCTTGTGCCGCTCAAATACTCCCTGTCGTGCATGCCTAGATGAAAGGAAAATCACCACCACAAATTCATAAGCCTTTCTGTAGTGGTTGCTGCAAATTCGCTGAAACATTGAGATGCTCGTTGACCAGGACATAAACACATTTTCTGTTTCTTACCTGAATACTGCATGTGTGTGGTCTGAGTTTATCGTCATGACATGTTCCTCTGCCGACGCTGCCATGCCCGTACACTCTTTTGCCTTACTAATCGATTCCACAAACAAGCCTTCGTAGGCCTCTAGTGAAAATTGATACATCGAGTTTACCGATGCTAAATCTTGTAACACAAAGTACAAAACAGATGCTCTGTGTCCACACGGTCTGCACGCATCATAGTTGAGAACTTGCGCTTCTCGGGTGAACGCCACAATCATACTTACCGTGCCAGGGCTGGTATTTCTGTGCCTACAATACTTTCCATTCACTACCCTTGCAACGTGCCTACCTGTAGGCCTCGCGTGCCTGGTCAATTTTCTTCATAGTGTGCTCGGAAGTATCAATCTGGGAACTTACGTCCGCTGCAACTCGTTTTGAATTCTGAGTCATAATGTTCCAGCGCCAACACAATCTGTACAAAGAGAGTGGACTTACACTGCGTAGCGACTCATGCATGGCGCACATTTGAGCCTTGTGACATGTGGTTTATTTGTTGGTACTTTTGGTACATGTCGGCAATACCAATCACTTTGGTTTTTGTTTATGTGACCTTTGGACACACCTGAAGAGCTTCAATAAGCTCCAAGTCATCCAGCAAGCATCCTCGTGCAGTAGTGAGCAGTCGAAGAATCTGGTCTTCAACGTCTTGCAATCGCTTCCGCCCTTCAGCAAGCCTTGAAACCAGCGCATGCTTATGTGCTTCTAAACTTGGCTCTTCTTTCATGACGACAACTCCCTGAGTCGTCGTAAGCTCCCGCACAACCGAGAAATTTCAATAGCCTGGCCTACGATCCAAAAGCAGGATCCATTTTAGCCAATTTAAAGCGCTTTTCTCTTCTCACTAACCAGAAGCTGTTCAGTTAGGCCGTCCTGCATAATTACAAAGTTAATCAAAGTGACTTCGGTCTCAATCTCTGCAGGGAACTGAGGGTTGCCCAGCTTAGTTGTCATCCAAAGTGAAAAGTTGTTTTCGTAGGGAACAAGTTGGTCCCCTGCGGTAGACAGAACAAAACAGCATCCCATCCTTTATCAGACTTCTGCGTCCCAAAAGGAAACCCATCTACATGCTTCGTATCCGTCGACTACCATACCAATGCGGATGAACTTGCTGCCATTGACAACTGTGACATTTTTGGTGATCAGCGGTTCGAGTGATGGGTCTATCTGCGTTTGCAGGCGCTCAAGTAGTAAAGAATGCCCAGCCTGTATTGAGAGGTGAAGAATGCGTAGAAGGTCTTTTGATGCTGGGTCTATAACCTAGTCGAGAGCGCAGAAACCACAGGTGACAATGCACTGTTAAAGCACTCGTCGCCGGCACATGGGCGGTTACAACGGATTGTTGCACAGCTACGCTTGCTGTGCAAAACCCAACAATTTGTGCATTGTTGTCTCTTTTGTTACCTTGATCTCTGAGGACTTGAGCTTTCTTATCCAACGGTTCGCTTGGTTCTGTGGGTCGATAACTAGCGGCCATTTTGGAGCATTCATCATTAAAACACCATTTTCGGTTGAAAATGAGTCTGTTGGTAGCCCGTTCAACTGCCACTCTCTAACATCTAGCGGTGAAACAAGGAACTCTGTAAAGTTGAAATCCGTGCTGCATGGTAGATCTAGACCCCGCAGCTCGCAGGTCCAAAGGTCTTTTACCTGAGGGCAAACGAATAGTAGTTGGCAGTGCGGCAAGCCAAATTTCGATCTGTTTTGTAGGTGCCGATAGCAGGTTCTTATTCTACATTATTACATAACTTGGATCGCAGCCTCTTGCATGGTCAAGTGATCTCATGCTCACGAGCTGCGCTCTGTAAGATGCTGTGAATGGGCCAGCATATGACATGAATGCAGCTCCCAGAAGGGCATCTCCTAAGATATTGCTCAGGTTTGTCCGATAACTTCCCAAGGATAGTTCCCAGCGATCTCTCTCATCGGCCAATCCAGTGATGAGATTTTCTGCCCTACCAAGCTTCAAGCTTAGCTCTTCTGCTGAATTGTTCAGGTTGCTCTTGTTCCGTAGGCTTTCATCATGCTGATGGTTAAGCTGCTGAAGGCGTGCTTGGATATCATCCAGCCTACTCAAACATGCCGATCTAGCCAAAGCCGCGACTAGTTCAGATGAAACGTAACTGGCGCTAATTGTACGTGGTGTGCCTGATGCTGCCCTGGTTAGCGTACATTCGCAGTCCTTACCGATCTCGAGAGAGTTTCAAGTCATTTTGCTTTTTCGAAAGCTGCTCTTCTGCAAGGCGCAGTTTTAGGCGCTTCGGTTCAACCTCTCTGTAGACTTCCGCGTACATTTGCATGGCATGTACCCATAAACATAGGGCACCAGCAGCACGGGATACCTTTTGCACGTTGGGAGGCGCAAAGGATGGGTCTTTAGTAAATTTTTCTATTTTCTTCAGTGTCGCGTTAGTTATTGAATCCTTGTCAAAATTTTTGACTCGACCCAAGAAGCTTGGGTCATTTAATTCACTTTTTGCCTGAGACCAAGTTGGTGACTTTTCCATGACGGTCATGACAGCCGCCATGGTCTTGACTACGAGATCTACAACGACACAAAACACAGCTCAGATGAGCACGAATCATCAATTCAAATGAAACCGTGCAGTGCCCATTGCCTTCAAAGTAAAACCGAGAAAATTGACTGCATCGCAAGGACCTGGCGGCTTCGTGTAAGCTTTAACTTCCGCAACAGATTTCTTGTCGAGCTTTTCGAGTGCGTCAATAGCTGCTTCTAGAGCGGGCATAGCCTTGTCAAGGTCCCTCCTTGCATCTTCAGAGAGAATCTTAGTTTCCACCTCCTCCGCTTGTATGCGGGCGCTGTCCGCTTCAACCTACGAGTAACAGATTGAACACTGTGTATCTAGATTGGCTGCTAACTCAGTGATCTTTTGCACAGAATGCTACCTTTAAAGTTCTCAAGTCAAGATATATGCAAACTACCTGGTGGTAACCCATTGATTTTACATTTTTCACATACTGCAATGCGTGGAGACCGGAAATACGAGCTGACAGAACCTTAAGCTGAGAAATCTCAGTATGCAGCGCTGATAATACCTGCTTCATTTGCTTGTCAGCAAGAGTTCGTTTTTCCACGATAATCGCCATCAACTCATCACACTCTCGTTGCATTTTTGCAACATGTTCCTTTTTCGCCTCGAGTGCTTCGCTCATTGCCTCCACCTGCTCCCGCGCCTCCACCAGCTTACTAAGGCCTGTAGCTATCTTGCTTATTTTCTCTCGGACTCCTTCTTGTTTCTCCTTAAGCATGTTACAGTAACCCTGCATTTTAAAGTGTTTGACAAGATCGGACGCTCAATACCTTAGCAAAGCCCACGATAGCTAGGAGCCCGTGACTACGAATTGATCAATTGTTGCTCACACCAACAAGTTGAAGAAACTTTGTGGGTGTAATAGACGTTGTCCGCTTGGTCTTTTGATAAAACGTTCTTGCAACTTTGATGGCATCCATGTGGACACGGCCAGTAGCGCGAGCCACAGCATCTCTACTTGCAGGATCCAGGTCCGCAGGTTCCAGAAGGACTGTTGCCACCTCCTCAAGTGCCTCTTGGGGCCACGCAAAAAACCAGTCTACCAGGGTCTCGTTGATGAAGGCTGGAAACATCCTGATGCCCTCAATGCGCAATACATACCTGCCATGCACTTTCCTCTCAATTTAGGCTCCACCAGTACTGGGGCTACGTAGTGAGAAGAGTGAGCTCGGACCGCACCTATTGCTTTGTGCACGGTGCTTTTTGGATCATTCCTGCTTCATCTTCGTACCTGCAGTAGTCTCGTATCTTATTCCCTATTGGACTAACACAGAGGAGCACGTGGAGGTTCTCCCTAACCCTGGTTTGGAAAAATTCAAGCAAGGCGTCAGGCTGCGAAGATACTCTTGCTGCTTCCGCTGCAGGCTGAAGGTCTTTAAGCAATTGTGCAAGGCTTTCTGGATCCAGAATTCCCGGAATTTTTCCAGATGCGAGTAAGCTGTTCAAACTGTCTGAAAATGCTTCACTCTTCAGCTCTTTATCCGTGAGTAAGAGACTTGTGCAGATTCCGTCTAGGCCTGCAACTCACAGTAACATAAACACTGTATTATTTGTGTTCAAAAATTCTAAGAAGCATTGCACGGATATTCGTTTTTTGTTGATCAAATGCACCTGCTTTAACGATTAGATGCTTCAGCTCTTCGTGAAAATCTCGAATCGTGTAGGTCCTCGTTACGCGAAGATGGCAGAGATTCATCTCCAGTAATTTGGTCGCAAAAGATGCCAGGGACTGTCTTCCACTACCTCCAACTCCGACCAGCAGCATATGCCCTCTGGGCATACATAGTACACGATGAATCTTGCAGCAGTGTTCAACTGCTTCTCTGAATACACACGCTACCATATTGTATCTGATAGTGCTTGACTTGTTCTTGTGTGCTAGGAAGCACAGTATTGCTGACGGCCAAGTGGCGGTGTACAAAAGTTGGCGTCAGGGGGCATTCGAAGACTGGTGGTATTCCTAACACCGACGTCGCGATCCCCAGCCATACCTAAAGAGCACCAAGTTCAAAATTCCCGTAGTGCTTGTTGCGTTTATCTCATCTAGTTTAAGCTGCAAACTTGTTTGTAACGCCTGCCAATCTTGTACTTCCTCATATGCCCCCGGTGCCAAAACTCGCGATTGCTGAGCTCTTATGTGACTAAAAATAATTTTCCTGTTCTTTGTCAAATCCTTTGTGCGAATCTGGAAGCTTTTTCCGAGGATATTTTCCAAGGTCTCCACAAACCGCGCGACATCTTCAGAGGATGCCAAGCGATCTTGATAAACCCGTTGGCATTCATGATACCTTTGCAATGACCCAACCACAAACAAGTCAGGTGTCATCACTAGCCGATGAAGTGAATAGTCTTCTGAAGAATCTTCTGTTTTACAGTTACATGCTTGCCGCGTGTTCCTCTAGCATGGTTGTGCATACCATAGCTTTAATAAAACATCTCCGTCTTCAATGCACCTGCGGTCGGCTTGGTACAGACCTTGCACAACTTTCGAAATTTCGCGCATTGTAAAGAGGTAATGAGGTTTCTCTGGTTTTGGCCTAAATGTCTGGCGGACTGTGTAATGCACTGCAATGGAGGCTGTTGCAATGCTTTCAGCAATGCTCTTCACGTCCTGACAAACGCAGTAAACAAGGCACAGAGCCTGACTTGATCTAGAGTTTTACGAAGACCTGCAGCACAAACACTTGTTAAAATACTCATGCCCACTTCTTTGAAATCCGAGAACTTGTGGAGTACGAGCGTTTGGTAGATCCGGATAACTTGAGATAACGATGGCTCCAAAAATGCTATGGTGTTAAAACGTGATTGTAGGCGAGAGGCTATGGAAGCGTAACCCTCCTGAGGAGCTCCCATGGCTGCTAAGAATTGCATGTCAAGCACCACTTTCAGCGACTGTCGGTCGCGGTCATACCTGCAAATGAGTATAGCAAAGCTGGAAGTACAGTAGTCTGTCCGGTGATGCCCAGGAGTCACACAAGGTAAATACTCAAAGGGAGGGCACTCTGCAGGATTGATGGGCGGCGACGGACTCACCAGGAGCCATAATCAAGGAAATGCCTGAGAAGTTCAAGGGGTGGCTGGGAACCGAACTCGTCTGGCTTTGGCATGTTAAGGTCATCAATAAAACAAACAAGTGTCTTCCTCCCTGGTGGACCCCATTTTCCTTTTACCCGTTTCTCCAGCTTGCTTTCAAAACCCTGTGTCACACTCTCATATAGTTGCCGTGACTGCCTGGCAATTCATGTGCAAACTTTTGTTGTTGGTGTTAAGGATCTGTAACGAGTGTCTGAATACCTCTTGAGCATCGTTGGAAGACGTCTGGGAGGAGAAGGTGAGGGTAGTAGTGTTATAAATGCTTTCCGGTAAGTCATCAAGAACAGCTCGTCGAATGCACGATGTTTTACCACAACCGCGGCTTCCAACAACGAGGCCATGGATTTTATTTCGTACGAATCCACTTAGCAGGAAGGCATGGCACATTATATCGGCTGTGGGAACGAATATCCTATGGAAAGGCGTGCCGTCTAGAGGCCTGAGTAGGCATCCAAGTAGTTTTCCCATCACAAAAGTAGCCATGACAGTACTTCAACATATATGCTCAAATGATGTTTAACTGCAACATTCCTGGAGCAGTACTAAGTTCATGGTGTAGCCAGCCCATCTGTGGGTTTCGGAGGAAAATGCAAAGGCCTTCAGTATTCCCCTACGCGAATCAGTACGTCTGCACAGCTTTCCAGGGTACCTGTATGCCGATGGCACGCGATCCTCCCAGAGTGTCCAATCTCCTTTTTCTGTGCTGAGTGCGTAGTCGTACACGGAGTGCGACGGTGGAAAGCTGCTGCTGAGCTGACGTATTGCAGCATCCACTTGTTGGCGGCTGCCCCCGCCCACGGCGGCTCCCAAAGACCAAATGAGGGAAAAGAGGAAAACCTTCTCCAATAGCGGCTGACCACCATGGACCTAAGCATATGAGAATTGATTATCAAAGAGTGTCCCATACGAAACTTGGGAAAGGAAGCGTAGGGAAAACAAACTTGAGGGCTGCAATAGCCAAGGTTGGGCAGTTGCCCATACGCACTGCACAATTTTCCTCAACAAAATTGTGCTGGCACATTACCTCAATGTTTACATTTGGTTGAGAGGCAAGTACTTCGAACACACGACAAAGGGAGTGCACTGCCCCCATTTCTGATATTCCAACAACTTGCTCGCATTCTTTGATTGTCTGGAAGAAACATATCATGAAACAGCATATCGACCCTTAAGGTGGTGTATGCTTGCCTCCGCAAGTATGCAGGAAATATGCGAATTCGCCAGTGGTCCAATCATAAGTACCTTCAGGCGGTCCTTCTTTAGTTATGCAAACTAAACAAACTGCTACGAAGATCCTTATGCAACCAAATCCATCATCCATTTTTGGGACAAGGAGGCTACCTGCAGCATGCTTGGGAGATACTTGTTAAAAAGCGATCGGAGATAGCTTGCAGCGTCGCTGGTGCCATACCGCTTGGATACCCACGCGTCAACGCATGGTGCCCAGCCTACAGGGATGCGACCGCACGTAGTAAACTCCCATTAAACTGTCGAGTAGGCCAGTCGTTCCTTTTCCGTCGCTCCAGAGTTATTCTTCCTTTGATAAATGTGCAGATTGTTTTTATTCCAATATAATACACGGCAACTATGTGAACTAAAACAGCAGCCTACCTAGCTTAGTGGAGTCCATAAAAATAATGCCTACTCTGCTGACAGTTGCCGGCGAAGCTACCGACAAGTTTTCTGTCTCAAACAACAGAGATACCTGATCGTTGGAAAAAGCGAGGCAATTAAGATCGAAATCGTATAGCGCGTAACTTTAATGACCTTGGCACAATTGTGCGCATGGCTGTTCGGTTCGCACCTGTGAATGTAGTTCCATTCGATCACCATTCGTCAATGTCAGTGTCTTGTTATCGTCAAGCAAGGAATTCATGTGCTCAACCCAAGTTGTGTCAACCGGTCCATCAAGCACAACCCATCTGTTGCACTTGCTTTGGCCCTGTACCTCGTTGCAACACATCCGAAGTAGTGACGAAAATATGCCATCAGTCCACTCGCGAGTGACAGAACTAAATCCGCCGTAGAGCTCTGCTTCGTCCAAGGATTTGGGATTGACAAAAAAGGATTTTATAGTAAAATAATCCAGGCCTGAAACCCCGTAGATGTATGCAGCAGCGTCTTCAACTTGTCTCGTGGGCACAACCGCTTAATTAAGTATCCTCAGAAATATATTTGCATTCACTCCTGCATAAATTGACTGTGAGAAATGGTATAGCATCGCCAATTTTAGGTTCATAGTGACTGACCCTGAGCACTAAGATGGTTGAGCGCTTCCTCAAGCAATGACAACACCGTAGATTTGCCAGACAGGGTATTCCCGACAAGCATGTTTCCGTGGCGAGAACGCATGCAGTAAAACAGTTCCTGTGCCTTTTTTATCTGATCCTCCACCTTCGTCCAACCGTTTTTCCTTATTACCTCCTCCAAAGCTTCCCGCAGCTCCTCTGATTCTCTCTGAAGACTCCAGGCAGATTAACGTTTCTGCATACATATGTTTGTTAGGCAACTATTTTGTTTCACAGTCACACATCGAGTACAAGTGGAACATACCGCTTGCAGTTCGGATTCTGGAAATATATCTTTTAGTAGTGCAAAGAGAATATCCAAGTCCTCTGGAACGGTCTTCGGGACAACCGTGTCAAAGATTGCTTGAATCATCAATGCCTGTTCTGTTGTGCTTTCGTGGGCTTGTCGTTTGAACTCTCCAGCGCGCTGCAGCGCCGTACAAAGAGGGCGCAGCCCAAAGTCGTAATGGTCCTGCTTGCTTAGCTGTTGGGCCATCAGCTGGAAAAGTGCCACTACCTTCCGAGAAAGGCTTCTAGCAATCTGCGGTAGCACACAACATACCTAAATGTGCTCGAAAATTATTATGTACAGGATGGACAGGCCACGCACTACCAGAGCACAGGGGTCTACAGTTACCACGAGCTTACGTCAAAACCTTCGGCCAGAAGTAAAATTTCGCAGATCAATGCAAGATCGGGGCTCATCATAGCAACTGGGCGGAAAAGGCTCTTCAGACTATCAGGTAAGTCTGCCCTCCCTTTATACACGGGATTCATAGTAGTAAAGATTCCACAGCCAGGATCCAAGCGAACTCTTTGGCCCTCAAAACAAAACTTATGAGGGGTGTGTTCATCTGATGCAATCTCCCTGCACATGAGTCATTAGTATACTTACACTTAAGTGACTAATACCATACTGTACGAGTGAAGGTTGCCGCTAGGATTGCATCGCAATCTTACCGAAGGGCAGCTTGAATGGTTGCTATTTGCTGTGCAACCACTGACAGCACTTCAAGGCCAATACGGTTAAACTCGTCAAAACAGCACCAAGCACCACTCTGAGCCAAACCACTGAAGATGCGTCCAAGTGAAAGGTAATCCAAGGCATCAGAACAGTTGAAAACAATCACAAATTTTGCTAAAGTTTTCCCGAGATCTTTCACTGTTTCGGTCTTTCCTGTACAGAGTCAATTACATGTTTCAAACACATATGACGCAACATTATGGGAGTTCAAGTGTTTTCCACAGTACAGAGACAGATGGGGGCTAATCAAAGAGCAGAATCATCGAGTTGGTCCAATGAAGCCCTTTGTAAAGCTGCATTTGTCTTACCAGTGCCTGCTGGTCCATGGCAAGACCCGCCAAGTCGCAAGTAGAGAGCAAATGTGAGGGCCATAAAGCACTGATCAGTAAGAGGAGTTATCACAAGCCGTCTGTAAATTCCTTGATACTCATAACCGTAGGCCAGCACAGTCTCCGCCTGGAGGCACTGACAATGTAGGGCGCCTGAAAAGCCTGTTTGGCTGGAGGAGGCCATGAAACTACCTGCACAGATAACTGCGGCTCGCAAGTCTTGGTAGGCTTTGTGGGTGAATGGTTTTGATGTCAAAAGCGTAGCTTATGCTCATAACAGCGTAGCAAATCCACAGAGTACCATTACGTATATACGGATTACTTTTTTCCGGTTCGCCTTTTTCTTCGCGCAGCTCCAGCCGAAGCTGGGACGTCCATGCAAAGTGATGCTCGCCGTCACAATGACTCTGTATCAACTTTTCCTAAGGAAGAAGAGCACCGAGCGGTCGTTTACAGGCATGCGGATTTTTCCACAGTCAACAAAACACCGCGACCATGCGTGTGTTGCGATGCGACTCTGGTGGAACTCACGTGGATATCTCGGTTATGCACTTCAACGGTTATAAGAGAGTTCAGCTTTAATCGTTCTTTGTTGCTCGGCACCTTCCGCAGAAGATCGGTTAGCTGCATCAGCTGTCGTGACTGATGTCTTCTCAGCATTTTCATAGAATTTTTGTTGCCCTTGCTAAGGCGGCGGAGTGCACATTCAGTTTCCGTGGCCCTGATAGCGCATCCTCAGGTCATTATAATGTGCGATAAACGCATTCACGCTCCTAAAGTGCGGTTTCTGTTTTGTGATTCCTGCTTGTTTTCGGTCCATATCGCTATTGCTTACACCACAATGCTGCTAATATTCGCAGAAAGTTTTTTCACCGCAGCTAATGGGAAAATGGCTCACCAAGTGATCTGCGCCGATGCAATGACAAGCTGGAAGCAATTATCCTGGATCCACTTTTCCCTCTTCGTGCCGGTTACCATAGATTGCTGGTGTACAGCTACTAGCTGCCTTTTTAATGTCTCGCGCATCGCCCTTGTGACCTGAAGAAGGATTTCAGCTAAACGGAGAGCTTCATTGGGCGCGAATACAATTTCTGGTGCAGGGCTTTACTGAATACTACTATTTGGATTTTTCGCATATATACCTTGTTTAGCCATTGCTCGACGCTTCCTTCTAAAGTGACAGGCCGTGGCGTAAATCTCACGCGCTCTCCTTCTGATGAGGTGAAGCCGTCAGCTTCACACCATCTATTGCCCCGCTTCCCTGCGCCAACATAAACTACTAAAACCAAGTGGATAATGGCACAAACGTTCTCGAGTGAACCAGATCGCAGCGTTCTGGTTAAGTCACCGCCGGAAGTGGATGGCTAGAGGCTGGTACCAGGTGCCACTAGGTCCAGGCTTCTAATGCCTTGAAAGAACTTTTTGATGTGCTTCTGCACTCTTTCAGGGTCCTTCGCATCCCCCAAGATTTCCAGCATATCGGTGTTAGAGACAAAGTAAAAGCGGGGGAATTCTTGTCTGCAAAGTGAGCACGAACACCTTGAAGCAGTGCCATTGAAGAAAATAAGTGAAAAAAATGCACAAGCAGGTCTATCTTTTGAATTGTGCACTGGACATACGGACCTTTTCCTTTCGAGATAGTCGTCAAGAGACTTTTTAATATCCTCTAGATCATCATTCATGAGTTGTAGCTCCTCCTTGATTTGCGGCTGTGTGCATACGTCGACTAGCATGGGTGCTTGCTGAAAGCCTCGAAGTGTTTTGAGAAAATGTCTGTCTGTTCTGTCAAACAGCGTCGCCTCCTGGGGGAGCAGAATACGAATGTCCTCGGACCCTGTACCGACGCGTGCAAAAGTGAAACACAAGCTTTTTGCTACTTTCGACGTAAACCGAATGGCTTCCCTCTACTCAACGAGGTATCATCTCCTACCTCTGAACACATTTTCTAGATACGCCCACTGCCTTTGCACTTGCTGCAGTAGCTCCAAGAGCTCAGACACAATTGAGAGTGTAGACTCCCAATGATGGACAATTTCTTTGAAGGGCAGGTGGAACTGATCGCTCTTAATGCTTGACAGGCACAGCAAATGCTCCTCCAACGTAGCCACAAGGCTTTCATCTGCCTCGACGTGGAGCAAATTGATTTTGTATGGTACAATCTTCAAATTCAATGAGCTCCAAACAACGACAATGTTGTTGAGTGCCTGCTCAATCTTATATTCTTTTCGCGCCTCCTCTGTTAGACGTGCAACAAGGTCTGTTATAACCCAAAATGCACAGAAAGATACGCGAGCAATTCAATGAATAGGTTTTCACTTCTCGGTAAGCGTTTGAATATGCTACTTGTACGTTGTCCTGCGCACCTGAACGGCGAATCAGGTCATAGCAGAATACTGATTTTAAAGTGAACTCTGCAGAGCGGTGCTCGAAACGTTCCGCCACTTCAGCTTTAATCCGGTCCCAATGACGATCTCTTATGGCCTACAGGCCCATAAAGCTGCTCTAAAACGTTCTTTCGTAGTATACCCGCTATGAAACACGCTACTTTTACACCAATCTAAAAGGTTCGCAGTATGCGTTTGGGAACAGCTCCTTAATGCGTGATCCGCAGCATGACTGGGCTACCATTGAGGGTTGGTGTTTCGACTCATTCTGCAAAGACCTGCACTCACTGGGTCCAAAAGATTTGAAATTAGTGGTAAGGCCTGTCGAAACTGTTCTAGGTCGCTTTGAACCTTTCGCCAGATAGACCAACCTCTGGCCTCCGTGAATTTTAGGAGTCTATCATGAAAGTGTTCCCCGCGATCATGAAGCTCCGAAACATTGATTGAGTAGAGTGGTTTAGCACTCATTGAATCCCATGCTTCATTCCATTCATGCTGCGCAGTTTCCGTAGAGCATAAAGTCTGACATCTCGAAAACAGATTACCTGACTGCAACCTCAAGAATCTGGTGACACACGCAAGCTACCTGGGCTCAGAGTTAGCCTCTCCTTTATTGGGTAAGATAGGCTGCCTACTTTCAATGTCCATAACTCCGACAGCTTGTTGGAATCACTTTTCATCTGCCCAAGGTCTCGGTTGGGGAGGCTATCAATGCCAAAGAAGTCTAGAATAGGGTCTAACTCTCTCCGAGACTCAGTAAGCTTGTTTAACTCAGCGTCGTAGCTTTGAATGATTGAGAAGGCTGTCGCTGTGTCGTAGTTGAAAGGAGACCCGTCAAACGGCGCGGAAGTCATGAAATGCTTGAATAACTCGGACGCTCGTCGGCTTATGGAGTCAACGAGCAATTCCGCGTCTAGCTTCATAGCCTTTTTTGTCCTACAAATGGTATGATTTAGGGGCAGTAATTGCATTCATACATATAGTTCATGAACCATTCTTATTTTCATGCCCAAGGTGCAGCAGAATGTGTGACTATTTCAGAGTGGTCTACTCCCATGCCACAATACCCCGAAGTCTCAATAAACCCGATGAGAATGCAGGGGATTTAGAATCATACAATGCATGGAACTATATAAGCGTGTGCTTCTGCAATATCGGTAACGAGTTTATTTCACCGTATGAGCATGGCCTCTGCAGCTTCCAAGGCATCCTCAAAACAATCAATTGCAGGACTGAGTTTCCCGAGCAGCGCTTCTTCCTCTTCCAAGACATTCACTGATTACATGACACGAAACTTATTTACTCTTCATTTCATCAGTGTCTTACGTTATCGTTTCTACAGAAGCTTGACTGCGTTGTTCCATAACTACGATATGTGTTGCACTTTTTGGAGGCAGCACGGATTGAGCAGCGCCTTTCACCAAGACTGTCACAGATACCCGAAAACGCAGCAAAAGCAAGTTGCCAAACGTTTCCCATTGGTTTGTGGTATAGAGCTTGTGAATCTTGGTTCGCACCTCGAAGCTCTCGGAGAGTTGCAAACTGCGCTTGAATAGGTTGTATTTTACCGCGGAGCGCAGATACCTGTTGCTTGCAGCTACTACACAGCTCAACTTGACTCCGTAGCTCCTCGGTATTCTGAGGTACGCGCTGTAGAGCATTTGTGCTTTCTGCAATGGATGATGCACGGATCAATGGGCACTCAAAGAGTTAGAGACCACGTATACAGTAGATTAAGGTAATGTTGCACGCTGTGAAAGGTTCGCTCAAAGCTGCAGTCGTCCCAGTTTAAACACTTACGTTCAATGTAATCAATAATGTCATTTTGTTCTTTTCGAGCACAGTCATGTAGATACGTAGTTAGTGATGTCTGTCTCATGCGGCAGCGGTCTAAAAGAGATTGCTTCAACTGTTGAAAATCAGCCTCTAGAAAGCAGATAACTGTCTGAAAGCATGAAAGCATGTTGAAATGCAAACGGGAAAATCAGTGAAAGCACTGCCAGCCTTATTCTATAAACACAGTGAATCTTTGAATTTTGAGCGAATTACGTTTGATTCCTCTTGCTGTATGTCACTGTAATAGTCACTGTAGTCCTGGATTGAGGACACAATCAAATGTAAAGGCCGCTCTGAGAGATGAAGCGGCGAATCTGGGGCTTCCTGAGCTCCTTCAAGAAGGCATGAGTAGTTGGTGCTCCACCATTTCAATCGTTCATTGAGTTTGCACGCAGTGTTGGATACGTTTCGTGACACCTGCACGAGCAATTGCGTAGGATCCAGCCTCGTGTAAGTCTTAATATTTCTTTGGATACTATACCAGGTCTGGCAGCCGAGTACTGTGCTCATCCTCGAATGCTTGTAATCTGACCTGCGTAATGAGCTGTGTAACTTTTTCGTCAGTCACAAGCTCTGAGTACCAGCATATTTGTCCTCCACATGAAGCCTCTTCACCTGAAAGGGCAAGCATTTCAGCTTTAACATACTGCAAAAAGGGATAGCCCCGGCATGTCACAGAACAGTTTGCGAACGAAAGAAAAACAGAATAAACAAGAATTCTTGCGGTCATAAGTGCACTTCCACCTGGACCATGCTATCGACCTTTTCGCTGACCCGTAGGCGGATAACTGAATATCGTCTTCGCCATCTGACAATGTGATTAGGCGTCCTGCTGTTTGCAGGGATAACTAAGAAGCTTACTCGAAGCAGGCGCATCTCTGCAACGCGAAACGAAGGGGCGGACACACTGGTTACAGTGACAATATAGCCTTTTTTCTATAGTAGGCTCTGTGCGGAGGGAGGAATTGAAAATTCCATGTGTCACCTAGTCTCCAAGAAGCTAGAAAGCTTGGGCACGCGTTGCAGGGCAAGCACGGCTTCATTGCACGTCCTCTCAATCGCTGCTCTTAGCTCATCCATAGAGGGCCTAAAAGCCATTTGACTCCCACTGCTACCAGCTCCGTCGACACAGAGAGCAGCGGACACTCGCACCAGGGGATACGACTCAACAGAATTTAGTTTGCTTTCTTTGGGGGAGAGGCTATTCGCAAGCTCCTATTAAAACAGTCAAAATCAGAGGCTTGCGTGACTGCATGTGTTGCAAGCAGCGAGGGATGTCCACAGTGTATGTGGTGTGTACCACGAACTCATTCACGATTGCGCATTTGTTCACATATGCATGATGTACCAGCGACAGCGGCTAAAGTTAGTGCTTTAATCAAAGTACCTAGCGCTTTCTGCACATGCCAGCGTACCAAAAGCGACGTCCGAACCACTTTACGCAGTGCTTCCCTCCATTCGTTGTCTAGTCTGTTGATGAATGCAAGCCATTCTTTTTGCACATCTTTACTCTGCTTCTTAAACAACTGCATAGGGACCACAGTTAGACCACAAAGTGTTAAACGCACGAGTGAATGTGAACAGGCTAGAAAACAATGTCAAAGAAGATTTTAGAAAGCTATTAATTAATACCAGTGGGCTGGGATTGCACCTCTTCGATGCGCTGTAGCTTGCCAACAATTTCAGAGTGTTGGCGCTGGAAGGCCAGCACAGCTGCTTGCTGTGTCTCTCCTTGTTGACGAAGGAAGCCCTCTAATTCCACTGTATTCTTCTTGTCAACAAATATTAAGCGAGTATGCGTTGACTCCTCAATTATGCGCGTGATTGCCTTTTTTTCATATAAGAACCGGGTAACGTATTCGCAGACTGCCTGGCAGTCCTTCCATGCGTCTCGAACAAAGTACTCTTTGATGCCCTGTGTGTCGACACCAGCCACGGGTTGAGTACTAGTCTGTCTCTGCTGTGCTTCGCTACCCTCTAATTCTACCAGATAAGGTGATGCTGCCTACATTGGGCTCTTGCAGATACATTAAAATTATAGCTGAGTCCTACCTTAGAATTCCATGTCAACTTTTCTATACCCGGAGCGATCTTCCTGTCCAGGCTACCAACATGTTGCTGGAAGAGCCGTCGTTCATCAGGCTGTGGGTGCATAGCAGCATTTCATAGGGGATCTTAAAATTCGGTCAATTGATGCGAGCGCTGGCGGCTGTTCACTCGTCTATTTGTTGTTCACTTCGGCCTGCGCCTTGCAGGCATAGCCTTCCTCGCGCAATGCGCAGTCCATAAATAGTTTGGCATCGGCATAATATTGCTAAGCATGAAACTTGCCGTGAGGCCTTCGGCAATAGCATTGTAGGCCTTTACAACTCCAAGTATATGTTGCTGAAGGAGGAAAAGGCGATCCCGGTGCTTAAGGAGCTCGAGGACGGTGAAAGGGAGGCGGATAATCTGGTCTTGCATGTACTGCCAAAAATGAGCTTCCTGCAGTACTCGATGCAGTTCTTTGTTGAAGTTGAGTTCAAGCCCACCACCTACAGAGAGCGCAAAAATACAAGCTTGGAGGGACTGTACTACAGTTTTCAAAGAAGCTCCTGAACAATAATGTGGCGAAGTATATCCGCGAGATGCTCCTCTACTGCCCTGCCAATTCGGGATGTCGTCTATGCGGCTGAATAAGCATGCGAGCAGCAAAATAAAAAAGGGTCCCCGCTACTCATTTTAAGAACAGCTAACCTTTGGTTCTAGTAAATAGATGCCTGTCACAACCAAACAGTGGAATGTCAGGAGAATGAATAGTATGCCCAGACGGATGCACGGCTTCAGCTTCCTGCAGCCACTCCTGGAACGACTTTTCCACAAATGTCTGCAGATTATTAGCGCATAGCCGTCACAGCGCAGTGCAGAAGGCCATGCAGGTCCAGATCTGCAATGCACAGCTCGAAGAAAGTACTAACTACATTCTACTAGCTGTCCACTGACAAGCATTGCACCTGAAGCATGTCTGTCACATTCTCATAGAGCCGTAAAGCCTGCTCAGCATCTTTTCCGTCTTCTGAAATAGTGACTTCACGAATGTCGTGCAGCTGTCGTTGCAAGTGCAGGGCAGCTCCTCGGCACCATAGGGCTCCGCCAGACTTGCAAGGGTGAAGTAGTTTAGTTGACAGAAAGAGTCCACGTGATTTCTTCAAAAGATCGAATTGTCGTTTGATGGAGAGTAAAGACTAGCATGCGTGCACACACAGCAGCACTTTGGATAACCTACGCGACAAATGCTCAGCTGACATGTTAATTATCTACCCTTATGGCATGGGTAGCCATGTGGCTTACGGCAGGGCTTCGAGCAAACACATCCGTCAGCCCTTAGTGAATTATGGCTTACCTGAGAAAAGAGCCTCCAAATATCCGAAGCCTTTTTCTCCAGAAACCTCTGAATATTGGGTCTCTTTGCTAAAAGTTTGAAGGCGCCAAAGATTTCACACGCCTCTTCAACAGTAGCTGCTCTTTTGAAAGCACTTGCAATGACGTTCATGTACATACTCTCATGGTCACGAACCTTAAGGGCAACACACTACAAGGGCAATTTTCATGAGGCGTGCACCTGTCGCCTTTCATGCTTAGACAACACTCCAGAAATGCCTGAGTGCCGTGTAACTAATTAAAAATTAGACTTAATGATTATGCACTTTTTGTACCTGCTCTTTGAACTGTGCATATTCATTATGCCAGCTTGTAGCTTTCACATTCAAAATATTCCGGCCCATCACTCTAAGCCTTGAAAGAGCTTTCCCATATTCTTGCTGTATGTTCCGTATGTTGCTGCGGATTACTTCTGTTTGGAATGGACCAAAGGTTGGAAAATAAACGTGACCTTGCGGGGTGGAGCATAAGTTTGCTGAATCTGCTGATGAACACATCAAATCTTTTTGCTTCGACTGAGCTGTGGGGCTGAACTGGAACTGAGCGCGGCAGACATCAAGTAGGTCGCTGCATCGTTGTACGAAGGCATCGCTCTATTTAGTGCATAACCACAGCATATGCCACAACTGTAAGCACGAGTTGGAAGGATACTATGGTGGTGTATGCCAAAGTTACATCCCCTAAGCAATGGGCAGACACAGCTCCCTTATTTAATATGTATACGTTCCCACGTTTCCCCTGCCATGTGTACTTTGTGTTTTCAGAGTATTAGCCACCTCTGCAAACGCTGCACCGGCAGCAGAATCCCAGCAGCATGCTTTTCCTTCTGATTTTATCAGCGTAGACAGCTGCTTGAAGACTCTGTTAAGAGTGACGCCACACTCGACTGCATTTCTCAGACTTTCCATTGGCTGTGCCACATCTCCCGCCCATATCGAGTCAATATCCACTGAAGCCTGACCACGCCGGATGACCTCGGCTGCGACGTTACGTAGAAGAGCTGCGTACAACTGACCGGAAACGCGTGGCTTTTCACATCCGACTAGAATAAGATACCACTGAGAAAGGCATATCACTGAATCGCTGTTCAAATATGCAAACATAGACGCTTGTTCATCTTGCTTTTTTCTGTTAGAGGATGGCTTCACTACTTACTGCTTATCCTTTCTGGAGTGGTATAATACTTGCTGTGTGTCGCAACAATTCGAACAGCCATCAGAAGCTGTGTGGCTACCATGGGTATTTCCGTGGGGTCCGCTTCTCTAAGAGCTTGGCATGGGCCCCGTAATACCTCCAAGAACTTGAGATTATCATGAACTACCCGCGATGAAGCAACAATATCTTTTTGCACTGATCTGCGGCATGAAGAAACTGAAAGCCTGTAGAGCTGCTAGAATAGGTATGAGCACAGCCCAGCTAGATCCGCATTCATACAAATATATCTGTACGTTTATTGGTGTGCACTGCTCAGATGACAGCTTACATTTGTCTTAACGACAAAAGTAAAAACCCACTGGAAGTGTTTTGCGCAAGATGATTTGGCCTCATTTAATACGTCTATTACGGCTTGTATATCTGGCTCATGGAACTGCTCAATCAGCGATTTGAGGTTCTGGGCACGCTCTGTCCACCGCTGGATCTCGCCAAGATGGCATGACTCTAGTGACCCCTCTGGTCCATCCTGAAAGCAGTACTTACCCAAACAGAAGGTAGGCTGCCATGCTATCGGAATATATTAGTCATGTGAGTCGGAAGCATATTTGTTCGAGACGCGTGGCGGAGCCCAATGACTATAACATATACCCCACAAGCGTATTTACATACCTGGACAGCCAGAATTTCCTTCATTTGTCGAGTCCACGAATTCACTAGTGCTTCCAGCCTTTGAACAAGCTCTCGGTCGCTTGCGCACTTAGTAATATTGGTAAGGTCTTCTAATGGAAGAACAAGTCTAGAGCAGCCCTGGGCGCGATGAACTATGTCAGTCAAATGACCAACATACTTGACGAGCTACAGAATTTATGCAAAAGGCACATGCGTTTCTCTTTCCGAATCTAAAGTGTGATAAACTGCTGCAGAAGAATATTGCTTGACCAGGCGTTTTAGGGACAGTACATGCTACTCTACGGGGAAGGAGCAACAACTGCACCACTGCAATGCTGACAGCCTACCTTTCTCGAAAGTTCCTGTTTGAAGCTTTGAGGCCACAATGCATTGCTTTCAAGCACAGGAATGCATACTCCCCGAATAAAAGCTGAAACATGCTCAAGAATGTTGCTGCGCAATGAGAAGCAGAAGAGATGCTCACCAGGGGCCTCTGCGTTAAACACACCCGTACATTTTTTTCCTAAGAAAACCAGTCCGTCTCCACATTCATCTTTAGATGATGTATGTTGCTGAAGATAATTAGTGCAGTGTCGAGGGAGCTTATCACTAAAGGCAAGCCGCTTGCACTCTGGCTTCTCCCGTTGTACTCCTTGTTCGCCGCGTTCTAAGGGATTTAGTTGGGGCTTCTTCGACATCCACAAAAACCACTGGCTGCGGCGATTGTCATTGCAAAAGTTCAATAGTTCCCGCGTATGATCGGGTGTCCAATCTTCGTCGGCCACGAAACTAGACAACTGGATCTGTGCTATGAGCCAGTGTGCTAAGCGTTGCCCTGCAGGGGCAGCGCCGTTCCTCTCGGGCAACGACTCCATGCTCCTTCCCAGTGCCAACGCAGATGGATCCGAGGCAGCCTCTGGAGTATTCGTGTTCTGATCCATAATCTCTTCTGGCATTATCAATAGCTTCAGAAGTACACGCTCTGCCCTGTATGCAAGAGGTTAATCCTTGACTGCAGATCGATGGGGCAACCGAACCACTTGTGCGCAGAGCTAGATGCCGAGTCTCGCTGTGCCCTAGTTCGTTCACTATAGATCAAGAGAGATCATTTTCACGCGTCCGTTCATTCTTTGTTTGGGCTACTTTCTTGCTTGGATTTCAGGAGTGGAGGGACTTTAATGGAATGCGTGTGATTTTTCAGACAGTCAAAGGCAACGGTACGCCTCCTCAGGTCGCAGGCATCCTGAATTTCACTTCTGAATATATCTTAGCTTCATAGTGGCTGTAGCAGGCTGTGGAAAGACAACACTGTTTCTTCCCATATCTGAGCTCCGGCTCCTGAACGGCGTGATTGTCTCGGCTTGGGGCTGCGCGAGCATGAACCCTATTGATCACTAAAACAATTATGATTTTCTGAAAGCCTTACAAGACACATGACGCTACCTTCAGAGAGTCTTCTGTGCAACTCATGCGTAGAGGTCGTTAGTGCACCACGTATCCTGCCCTAGCGTCTTCAACCATGCCCGTCACTTGACTAAAAAGGTCGATAGTGCAATCAGGTAATTACATAGGCCATTCAGTGCTTCGGACGCTCAAAAATTATCGTCAAAGATAACAACTCCACGCGATATGTCCCCATGCACCAACTGTAGCAAGTGTAGGCCTGCACACATGGTCATTGGCTTGGAATTATTGGACAGGATAGCCTTGTATTCAGCAAACCACTGATAAAAGCGTCTTTCTTGTTGCTTTAAGTTGCTGATATACCTTGAATTGCACGAAATGGCAATTGAACAAACGGTATGCTGGTTAAAATATAGTTTTGGCGTGGCGTCTGTCCTGCTTGAGGTTGTGGTTGAACTGCAGTTGATTGCCTCTTTAGGGTGACTAACCTGCAAAAAAAGGCTCTTACCCATTATTGACTTCTGTGTTGAATTTAAATGTTCACACTGATGCCAGCAAAGACAGGTTTTTTACCTTTGCCTACAGCCCGTGGGTCTCTGTGGGGCCTTTAGAGGCAGAGCAGAGCCAATATCTGTAGAAGGTAATCTTGGCTGAGTCCCCCTAGATACTGTCAACCACACTAAATGCATTTCATATCTTGTATAAGAATATTACCAACACACGTGAAGTTGTGCCGCCATGTTTAGCCATGGGCTTCGAGACCGTGCAAACAGGGTCACCGTATCCTGAAAGCTGCCCGTTTGAATGATACATAAATATCCTTTCAGCACCTATTCTAATATTATGCTGATGCGATTTTTTTGTGCACTTGCCACTGCTTCAGAGACGAGATATCTGCGGTGGGCCCCATCCTCCGAATAGTCGGCAGCAGAGGCTCGATGAAAATGGAAGCATAATGGCTCTATCGGCCACGCTATTGGCTGCTCACGCCTCAAAAAGCCTGATAACGCTCAAGCGCTCTATTGGATGGCAGCGTTATAAGGCAGCGTAGCCAGCTTCAGCTCCAGGTCCGACGTGAGGAAGCCATTGCCTTGTGAGTATGGTGCGGCAAATGCTTTGTGAGCTGCGAAGCCTGGTTGGTGGGTTAGAGCCAAGCGTACCGTAGCAGGCTGCATAAATGACTGTGTGTACAACATGGAGGCAACCTCTTTGCCAGGATAGTCCATTGTGCAAGCAACGCGCCCTCGGCTGATATGCTGCACGTAGCACTGTAGAAACTTAAGAACAAGACGCTGTGGGCAAGTGCCATACATTGAATGACTAGCATGCGCCAACTGAAAGCTAAGTGTAGCAGGATTCCGCGAGCTCTATTGCAACAACGGGAACAGGATCCATCTCAGCTAGATGTCTAAGAAAGTATCAGCAGCCGACCAAGGCCACGTGCAAGAGATATTTTCTCTTTGCTGTCTCTAGCCCATGATTAAGGCCACAAGTGCGATGATGATTGAACGCGTCTGGCAATTATCCATTGAACCAAGGCTCTACTACGCTAACCACGCCACGCTGCAGCAAAAGTCATAGCTTCAAAGCTCTTTTTCGTAACCCTGGGCACTCCACCTCTTCATTTTTGACAACGGGAGCGCTTCCATCTATCTCATCTGCTGCAGATAGTAGCAAGAGAGTTTCTGGATGACCCTCAGAACTACGAAAGGTCTCCCTACGTATCTACGAGAAGTCAACCTGGACGCCTCAGGCTTATAAGGAAACAGCCATATGCCTGGTTTGTTGAGGATTGATACTCTTTAGCATAAACTCCGAAATGCTTGGCAGTGCCACAATCAAGCAGTAGATGAACACATGCTCTTAAAGGCTTAAACTCGCACCCCTCAAGATCAATAGCAGGAATCGCCGGCAATCTGTTCAAGAAAAATGTCTGGCTGCCTACGGCAAAACCATCTATTTAAGAGCGCTCGCTTTCGGTTGGTGTTGAAACAGTATGACGCTGCGTGCTCCCAATTGCTTAAGCTTTGCTCTGAGTCTCTCTACGATTAATGTCCTATCTCGAAGTTTGTCTTGAAGCTGCGAGATTGTTCTGACCGCATCGGCGGGTTTCCACGCTGCATAATGTGCGAGATTACCGGTGTCTGCGCGTAGAAAACAGCAAATTGAGCTTACTCATAGTATTTCGTACGAGTGTACCACAGAAGGCAAAACTCTTGGCCTAAACAGTGGAATGTACGAATGCAGATTTGGCGCTTGAGGCGGGTGAATCTCCTTCAGTGGCTGTTAATCTGCAAGAAAACATGATGTAATGCCACCCTGCTCAACCAAAAAAAACGTACATACTATAGATTCACGCTCCTGAGCCCGTCTTAGATATGCTACACGCTCCATAAAGTCTCTTTTCTGCTCCAGGTAGTGCAATTGCCCTTGAGTCTTCTCCACTGCTGCTTCCTGTGACTCATCCAAACTCACAGACCACCAAATGCCACTTCCTGTTTTCTGGTACACCACGTGCTCCAGCGTCAAACTAAATTTCTTTGTTTGCATAGAAAAAGGAAGCGTTAAATGCTGCCTTTATAATATAGATGCAGCAGATAAAGAGTGTGTTCTAAATATGCACTGACAAAGCACGCTACTGTGTCCCTGTCAGAGATAACAAGACTGAGTGAAGAGAGTTACCCTATGGCAAACTTCCTTAAGCAGTGCAGCACATTGATCTTGGAGCTCTGTTATTCTTTCCTCTAGCCTTCTAACTCCTTCACTCCTTTGAACCTCCTTAAAATCGTCTGTAGGCACCGGCGGCTCTAGACGGCAGCTCGATGGGCCGCCATGCGGCTCCTTTTGGCCATTGGACGCTCCACTCAAAGCTGCATTGAACATATTATCAATGTAACCCTTAGAACAGCTGTTTATTCTAGCATTTCTAACAATACCTGCAAGGTGTGTCTCGCTGCATCCGCCCTCTGGTCAGGGATTACCAGGCTTCAGGATAACTCGCCATTCACAAAAATTATACAGCTACTTCTAAAGGAGCTGGCAGGCAGCAACTGACTGCGCTTATGCTGTTCTGTATTGCGGTACCTACAATGAAACTACTAGAAAAGCATATTACATCAAAACTTCCTGTATTACAGAATGTGGAAACCTGCATGATGGCTGTAACACCTTCTGCATGCTCTTGGTAATTCGAAGTAAGTGAACGTCCTTCGTTCTCTCCATCACATCCCTGGACTTTAAGTCCACTAGCTGGGTCCTCCATTTCACTGTTTCCAGTTGGTGGCGAAGTGCCTGTAGAATTGTGTATACCACATTGCTTCCTCCAAGAGGCTCTGCGGAAGCTCAAGATGTATCATCTTATCACCTTAGAGATGAATAAGTGCAGAACAGTTTGCCCTACCTTCACAGATTCGAGGCCACTAAGTTTCATCCTTCCAACAGCTAAAAGTTTTTGTTTGTATTGATCGATGATGTCTTGTCCAACAAGACAAGAATCGGAAAAGTTGAACGGCTCCCCTAGCTCCGCAACGGACTCAGGAAGCTCTCCTACAGCCCCCTTTTTAATCCTTAGAAGGAAATCTACATCATAATGTATCTGCTCTAGCACTTCAGAAACGGCTTCGAGCTGGCATTTGAGTGAAAGTTCTTCTCTCTGAGCTTGAATCATCTTCTATCGATGCAAAAATCACCACTCAGTCAATGCGACACTATCACATCGCGTGCGTTTGGATCTGCAAACATAATTACCGACAAGCTGATTGGCTTCACTAGCTGTATTTCTGCCTGTGCCTTGTAATACCTTTTTAAGCAGAGCCAGGCATTTGCGCGCAGCATCGGCGGCTTTGCTTGCAAAGGCAAGCCGCTCTCGAGAAGCGACACTGCATACTGAAGCCGCCAATACTTTTCGTAGTGGGGTATCAGGATCAAGTCCACGTAGTTCCTGTAATTGATGCAAGTACAAAAGGCCAGTGTATGTGGCGATGGACTGCTGCTATTGATTTCTTGCATTCGACTCTATGCTGATGATGTAGGCGCTTGTTTGCTGCTGTATTTAAGACTATATGGCGTAGCGTGAGTTGACTTTCCCTTCTTCAGTTTGTCATTGATTGCGCACTTTTATAGCTTCCGCTGATCTCTCCAGATGATATTCCAAAGCGATATTGCCTCTCCTCAGGGCTTGCTCTGGATTCTCTTGCGCCTCTACTGGATCTTGCAATTTTTGAGCTTTGTACGAACCAACTCTGCAGTCGCGGCACGCAACAGCACGTTTCCTGTTTACCAGACATATTCAACAATACCTAATAATTCAACTATCTAAATAACTGTAAAGCTTGTTAATGAACTACCCAAGGTTTATCTTGAAAAGCGGTCATTTCTGTCCAATCCTCTACTCACGCATTGCTGAGTGCTTTATTTATGAGGGTTAGCGCCTCAGAATGGACATGATACTTCCCAAGAATAGCTGTTAGGGTAGCTGCGTTCTCCCTTTGCTCATGCTCTGCTGCACCTAGCTCTTCCTCCAATAGCCAACAGGATTGCTGTTGTGTGTGCAACTTTGTATGAAGCTCTAGTTGCTTTGCCCTGGCAGCGTCAAGATTGACTTGTAGCTTGCCTTCCACCGTCTCTTGTGCTGCCTCTTGTGCTATAATTTTTGCAAGACGGGAAGCAGTTAGCTGTGTGAGGAGCAGCTCCTCTTCGTACAAGTCCCTGGTATTTTCCACCAACAACACTGACAGTCGCGCTGCACAAAAGCTACTTCATAGTCCCTTGATGCCTTAGGTGGCTTGCCTTACTCGTGTCACCGTGAAGGGGTGCAAACAAAGGGAAATCGACTTTTGGTTTACCAGTGAGCTGCAGCAATTTTATGCTAGCTCAATCTAGCTACTGACTTTCTGGCGTTTCCTAGTTTTTACAGCCAACACGGTATCTGCACGATTATTTAGATCTGGTTCGCTCATTCTGCAGTGACTGTGACTGTAGGCTTTGCTGTGGGTCTCCAGAAGCCCTTTCGCATAGCATCGAATTGTCTCACTTCCAGCCCTTAAGGACGCGCATGTCATCGCGAAGCTGCAAAGCAGTGGAAGTAATCTCACCCCTGCGAAGGAAAACAGCATAAGCTTACTGCTTAAGTCTTATTAATCCCAGTTCTGAGGGCTTTCTTTCGAACCTCCCCGCACTCCTCCAATCACGTTCTGAACTGATCTCGTGCCACAATTTAGTTCTGTGCCAATTCCCTTGTTCGGCCTACACCTTTCAGGTTGCTTCACAAGATATTATGCAACCATCGTCTACGCGATAGTGCAGTAGTGTGTGTTTTTGCTTATAGCATTTCTAGGCCGGACCCAAAATGTATTCGTGAAACACAGTGCGGCGCATCCATGTACCTTACAGGTCGCTCTCCTACCTCAGCTTTTTCAACTCGCTCTGTAACCTAGCCTTCAGTACCTCTTGCTTCTCTTTTATCACTCTCTCCTGCTCTCGGTATGCGGCAAATTTGGTTGCCTGGACATCTGTCATAGTATCGGGAGGGACTGTCCCCATCCACTCCTCCCTGTACCAGTAGCACTCTCAACATGTGCAAGTTGCAAATGGCTTAGCCTCGATAACAGCCCTCCACACCAGAGCACTGCTTACATGAGCTCGGCTCTTGCTTTAAAACGCATTGCATCGCTATACAACATTAAGTAGCATGCAGCTTATCGGTTTTCCGTCCGTACCACTTGTCGGCTTTGCATTCCAATGCACTTGGTGGGCTTCCGGCCTCCAAGTTTCCTCCCATCATCTTTTTAAGAGCCCTCCGAGCTGTCATATCTATTGGTTTGTTTCCTTCTTCACAGATTGCTGTCTCACTTTCCTCCCCCGTGAATCTTATTGCCCCTGGTATACTCTTCACTCCCGCGAATGCATTTTTCTACGTAGCGCATAAAGAATCCTCGAGAAAGGCAACACCTAGCCGCATTAATGCATATTTTGGATTGGAAGACATACATATGCCTGTTAGTGTGGCGTACGTGCGGAGTGACTGTGAAAATGAAGTATTTTGCCACTTACAAGGTCTTTCACGACGTCAGCGTGCGAGGGAACTGACATCTCTGGACATGGCTCTACTATGGATAAATCACCCAGTTGCAGTACGCAATCTTTTGCCTTTTCAGCTTGTTGCTGCATCTTGTCTATCTTTAGTATGACACACCGTTGACACTCATCTAGTCGGCGATTGAAAGCGGCCTGGAGCTGCAGAGTCACATGCCAAATGTACCAGCCCCGCGAGACAAACCTGTAGTACGGGTGAATCTCATGCGCCTTCAAGAAAATTGTAAGTAAGTTGCAGCTTATTCAAATAAGCATATGTTCAAGATTATATGCGGTCACATCTTGAAGATGATGAGCAGTGTGGCGAAAGCTGCAGCTACAAACGGTTTGCCACATGCATCTACCACTAGCTTTTATGGCTCTTTGTTTTTTACCTACCTCAGCCGACACCTCGCGTAATATCCAAAATTGACTCCGACGAGCAGAATTAGCTGTAAGTAGAGACGGGTTTTGCAGCATATTTGTGAGGCTTTTCAAGGGTTCGTCCAAGTAGATTGCAGACCGGTGATTCGCCACATTATATCCTCTCGCATATGGTGATGCCTGTGTGACCGGACCGGGTGCAGCAGGACTTTCGTTCTCAACATCATCTGGAAGCAGAACATGACTGCAGGATACGCGCCAAATATAATAACTTAAGCCGATTGCTAGCAGATCGAGACCAAGCGGCATATCAACGAAGTCTCACACAAACAAGTGCCAAAAGGAATTAACAGGAGAACACCAGCCAGAGGTTCGCAAACAAGAAACCCCCATGTAACTAGCCACTTACTGTACCTGTAATGCGATAAAGACTGGCACAGCCATGAGCGATCATGCCAAAAGCCTCAGGGACAGGAGAACTGTCCTGCTGTTGCATGTGTAACATAGATTCATGGATTGGAACCACTTGACGAAGCCACATGTCCTCTCTCAGCTGCAGTCGACTGAAACATCAAGAGTACATGCATTAGAATCCTATCGTTACCACTCCGAAAAAGTTTGTCGCGTAAGCACGCAAGGAAGTGTGGCTGCCTGTTATCTTCTAGAAGGTTGCACGAATATTTTGGACTTACCGAAGAAATAAGAACTTTTTTGCTATTGCCCTGTCCGTTGGCTTTTGTTCAAGTATGAAGTAGTTCTGAGTAGTGATAGTATCTCCGGGTTTCTCAGCCGCAACTCTGAGCTCCTTTGGTGGAGTGACAATTATTGAGTATAGGTGTTCCATCAACTGCCGATGGAAAGCAGCAAATGCATACTGAAGAACCAGCAGCTCCTGCTTTTTCTCTTTTAAAATGGTATTGGATTGGTGCTTAATTAAAAGCCGTACATCTTCGTCCACTTGTCCAGCTTCCGTTTCTACGCTACGGCATGCTGTATTCTCCTGATATGAGAAAGCCACAACGACAACAAACAGCCAGAGATAAAAGTATTGCCCAGTGATGCACCCGTTTCTGCAGCGTAGGCCATAGCCTTGTCTATCATGCAACCAACGGGAACGTGTTTTCAAGGTATGGACTGGCAATCGCAAGATGCGCTCACTGCCACCCTGTCGACCAACGCCTTCAATTCCTCTTGGATATCTTTTTTTCTCTTTATCAGATCCTCGCGTTGAGCGTACACGTCTGGAGCAAGTGATTTTAAGCGTGTCACCAAAGTATGCGATTTCTGCCTTGACATTGTGTGAGCGGTGTGCTTCTCTCCGGGATCCCCATGAAGGCCGACATTCTTATCAGCATCTCTAAGTGAACTTGTGGAAGATAATACGCTGCATATATATAACGCGTATACCGAGAGTTGCTCAAGTTTGCAATGTCTCAGCCCATGCTGGGTCTGTGTTTGACAATAATGTTTAGCAGGGATAAGGGCCTCTTGGACACCATGGTAGCCTCGCAGTTTACAGGAGATTGATAATAATGTTCATCGATCATGAGGGTAAAAGTACCCAATGTGTGCTAGCCTACCATCTTAACTCCAATGTGACAGGACACATGCGTGGATTGGCTTGCATTCCCTGGCCCACATCCGATATTGATGCGGATTCGGCGAGCATCCACATCTGGATTATTCCTGACTCCCAGAGTGTGACCACCGTAGTAGGTCCTCCTTTGGCGTGTGCTATAACTAGAAGAGGCGTGCTTCTGCATTGGTGGTTATCCGCGGATATGATTAAGGGCGGTGAAGCTGCTGCAGGGACCCTCTGCACGACTGGTGCTGTGTAGCAGTTAGTTTTCCCATCGGCATTCTGCAGATGGGACGGCGTGCTCTGAAGACTTTCATTCTGCAGCTTCACCTCATGTAGTGAGCCATCTAATCCAAGAGCCAGCAAGTATAGAGAACTTTTTTCTATGTGAAACTGTCCCGCTTCTTCTGCATCTTCTCTAATGTCTCCGTTTTTGCATAGGAATTGGACCCTCTGGATTGGAAAGCTCGCTGGACGGACAGATGCCAACGGTCTAGCTGTGGCAGCAGCAGCAAATGCCGAAAAGTAGGTGCAGGACGTGCTGATTAGCACTTCTGTGCGAAACAACAGTATTGCTCCAGAGGCTGTGCCCACCGCAATTAGGGGGCCTCGACTGGCGAGACAAAGCGGTGCTACACTGAGTTTGCTGTAACAAATCTGGGAAGACAAAAAAGCAGCGCAGCTTCAAACAAAAGAGCGCTCCGCTAATTACAGTCTTGTATTCCACGTAGGCAGCCAAAATATCACCAAGAAAGCAAAAAGGGAGTCGACCAGGATGCAGACATATTGGTTAAGAGCCCCTCGATACGTGCAGCATACTGCTTGAACAAAACTTAACCTTTTTCCTGTAAAAGCATTCACTTGCTCGTCCTATATGTGGTTGCAACAGTAGCTAAGTGGTTGCCAAACTTTTTCAAGCCAAAAAATATATACTGTTAGTGTACCTGCGAATTCGGGGAAGACCTAGTGCCCTCGAGCTGAGGCGTGAAAAAAGCAATGCCATTTTGGGTGCCGCCAAACGCTGTGGTTACGAACCCAAGAGCAAATACTCCAAAGACTGCCATTCCGTGCCCTGTTGTGCGTGATTCATGCTCTTGGAGTTTATGCCATGACTGTGGACACTGGTCTAGCCAGCAACCGCAAGCTTCTGGAATGTTAACAGGAGCCGACGACCTCTGGCGTCCTTGCTGCACCGAAGACGTCTGCAAAGAAGCATGGTACACAACATCAAGTGTTATCAAGCGAATAAACAATAAGAAAAACCTCAAGAATTAGACTGCAGAGCCGTAGATGCCTGTGTGCGCTGTAGCTGGATTCGCTGTACATTTTGGATCTCGCCAGCTAGACACGCGCCAAGGAAGAGCGTTTGCACGAGTTTTATCCTGCCATTATTCCCATTCGTTGTCGCTTCCACTTCATGTTCCTGCGGCTCTATGAGGAAAGTTACTTGACCGTTAGAGCACACGGCAGCCCACACGGCCCGTTGTACCACGTCTGCTCCTGTTGGTGTATCTGCATTGCCCTTTCGGTAGTCGGCAAGTGATGCTTCAAGACACTGGTTGCCTACAAGAATTTTAATTGGTATGGTGGCTACCCTAAATCGCAAAGTACGACCAAAGGGACGGCTGCAGCACAAATGTCCTCCAACACTAAAACTACTGTGCCATCCTTTCAATTGTCCCCATTTTAACTCACAGAATCAGAAAAGCTTTTAGGCAAAAGACAGTTAGGCGGCTAAGAGCACAAAGAATGCGAGTGCAACTAGATGTACGCACTGGCAGATTGCTCTAATACCTCCCTTGTTCACCCAGGCAACGGCGCCTCCAGCAAGGCCAAGCATGCACTGCGATTGTTGCTCCCATTCTTCTGACTGGCCCACATTGCGTACGGTATTTTCTGGTGATATGCCAACGCAGCTTATAGGCTCTTGCAGATTGAGAGAGCCAGAAATCCGGAGTGACACGTGGTGTCGCTCTCCATTTTTCTTCAATGCCACCCGCCACTCCCTGAATTTTAGGAACAACTAAATATACACAGATGCTGCACAAATTATTGAAAAACACGAATTTTCCCTGTCGTATGGATATTTTCTCATAAGCCCTCGATGTTGCGCAATTTGTTCCATACCGAAACCATACTCCAACAAGCATGCTACAGCACACGACTTTGGGACTGGCGCTTTGGTCATCAACAAAAATAAGGAAGCGTAAATTTGAATAGAGCAGCAAAGTTTTCTGTGAAGAGTGCATCGATTCTCCTTACGTAACTCTCCCACAGGGCTGTGCGCCGATCAACCGAAAGCGAGAACAATTGGCGCTGTCACCTTCCGGAACGATGTTCATTCCAACTAGCCCACCGAATGAAGTGCCAACCAAAACTGGGAGGGATTCCAATTCACTTCGGGCGCAGCATACGCACAAGCAAGTCACATAAAAGCTTTTCCTACTCGAGCTACAAAGCTCTTCTGCCCTGTTTCTTATCGCATTTTGTGTTGGGTTACCTTCTTTCTTCGCCGTCGGAAGCCTTCGCAGCAGCATTCATTTCAAACCGTTTAATGCTCTCGCAGATGCTACCTCGTTCCTTCTAAGCGCAAAAATGCTATTACACCAACCGTAGGATTCTGCGTTGAGGAAGTATATGCTCTCTACATTTTCGTCCTTATGCTTTAGTAGGCTTTCTTAACTTTCTTTCTCCCGTCGCTGCACCTTGAATACGATGATGCAGCGTGCAGCGTCAATGTAGTGGCCCTATGGCATTTGAATTATGGCGCGGCAACACTCGCATACCGGTGGACAGTGCTTTGCGCAAAGTCTCCACACACAGCCCAGATTATCCACCAAAAGGGGTGGAGACAACGTCCCGACACGGCTGCTGAGCAGTTGGAGGGCCTTGATCTTCCTAAGCTCAGGAGGTATCGAAAGAAGAAAATGAAGCTGGAACTCATCTTTTGTGCAACTCAGTGCGTTAGCAGCTACCGAAATACCTAGCGTGCTAAGTTGTGCCTTGGCTGTGCACGAATATTTAACACTTATCCCTACAGTATATTCAGCGGCGCGACTAAACGCATGCGTAGCTGGTTGATGGAACGAGCAGTACTGATACTATGGCAATATAATTGGACAGGGGTGGGTCTATGCCATACTTGTTGGGGCTGAATCTCTCAGGGATATATCCTGATGTTGGAATCTGGAAGTGTATTTCATCACGCAAGAGAAGCAGTGTTTCAGGGTCCTCAGATGTGGGCGCAGGTGTGAACTCATTCTCTTGGGATGGAAACTTCAAGGGTGGCGCGTTTATCCCAGTATGGCAACTCCGTTGCAACTCCAATAAGCAGGATGCTATAGCTTTCCTTTGATACTCATGGAGGCCCTAGAAATGCACACAGGTTTAGATGTCCCTGTAGGCTTTGACAATGCACTACGCCCTTTCACCGCCTAATTGATTAGCCGAAGTGCCTGCCTGGAAAACTCTTGCGTTTGCTGAACAGGCTTGACATTTGTGTCACTGGTAGCGAAGATCCTGTTAATATTTATGCTACTTGCGTTCTTTGGATGGCACACCCCGTCTACTGAAGTGCCACGCCCCAAACATTATTTCATATTAGGTAATGATTTGTGTAGGCTTGCCTCCAAGTTGTGTTGCTGCCGATCTGCTTCGGATTTCTGCATCAGCGATGCTGCTGCTCGCTCATTTAGCTGGAAGATGTGGATCACTGAATTATCTGTTAGCCCCAACACCATCCCCCTGCTGTCCACTGCTGCCAACGAAAGGTACTTTTGCTCTGTACTGGTGACCCATGCGAGGAATGGCCCTTCTGCGCCTAACCATCCCACTCCAATCGCCAAGAGCTTTTTAGTGCTGACAGCCAGTAACAGGAATGTACTGGCGTTGCCACCGTGAGACCCTTTTGCAGTTACCCAGCAACTCCCGCATATAGTCATGTTCCGTGCCGGGCATTCTGGCTGCCCACTAGCTGCAGCAGCAGCTACAGGCAGAAGCAGCCCAGACGTGGTAAATGCTTCTTCACTACTTTTCAATAGCTGGAACATCATCACATTTGTATCTGATAATACAGCATATAGCTCCCCAGTTGCAGCAAGAAGCTTACGGGGATAAGACGACACATCGTCCCATTGCAACTGATGGCATATCTGCACTGCCCCATCGCTTGCACTCAGCACTGTTACATACTGCACAACAAATCTGTGCAATTCTTGCTGGGTGACTTTCTGTTTTCCAGATGACAGGCAAAATAATCGGTTTCCGCATGGTGAAAAATCAAGACACAGAATTTCCATCGAGCATGATGCACTAAGCTTTTTTTTCCACATGGATTTCGGAGGTGTGCACGAGAGCTGCACCATTTGGATATCTCCTTCTACACCGGACCCGCCCAAAGCAACTAGCTTTGCCTCGTCACAACTAGCACACAACACGTAACCACATCCGTCTATATTGTGGGCCGCGTGTCCCATCTTACAAGAATCGGTGTACAGAGGGATATATTGAGTGGTGCCATTGAAACTCGTGCTGCGCAAATAGCCCCCGGTGACCTCGCAGACATGTCCATCCGAAAAAGAGCAAAAGCCCTCAGGCCCAGAGCCGCAAGCAAGCAGCAGAGAAGGCACTAGTCGGGAAACAGGTCCCTCCATTGCCTCAAAGGGATTGAGCCAAAGCCATCTACAGGCCAAAGATCTGGGTTGAACCCGGTTGCCGTATACGAGAAGGGCCTGAGACAGGAGATGCTGGATGGTAGGCAGCGTGACAAACTCGACGCTTGAACAAAGACACTATTACTGCAATCTACTGCAAGTAAACGCAGCTCAACTGCATTGATACACGGCTGAACTTGAAATTATCTTAGTAAGTGCTTCTTCTGGCCCCGCTACACGGAAGAAAGTGGATACTGGTAGAGTTCAAATATATGGTGCTGCCCACCAGCCTAAGACTCCTGAACACCATCAATTTGTAAACAGCCAGGCAGGCTTAGTAAGCCCTCCGCACGGTAAATATTCCGGACATTTTTCGATTTACTGCTTGCATTTTGCTCTGTTGTCCGCCTTGAAGTTTTACTCCATAGTTTTGTTTGTGACACCTGTGCGGGCCAGTCGCACGATACAGGGCTGCGCTAAGCCTTTGCATGATAATGTACTGAATGTGAGCGTAAACTCATAGACAGTTTCTGGCTAAGTAAAAGCTTAATTTCTGTAGTACTGTATATGCGCGAAGCGCATGAAGCTTGCTGGTAACCAGGGCTGGCCGTGACAAAGTGACCTCACTAGTCGAAGAGAGTACTGTTGATCGCCTTTTGATTGGCTTTGGGCATAGAATCTCGCAACACCCAAATTATGCTATTTTTGAGTGTATATTGGTGGCACATCGAAGCAGTCAGTCTACAATTCGGAGTGCGTAGGTTGATGCTTCAGATTCCTGAAGTTTGTCCAGTCACCGTGCGCTGATCGGGTACATCGAAGGCACTCGCCCGAGACGCATGACATTAGCATGGATTCTAATTCAGTTTGGCACCCTAAACCATCTTGCTGTTGTAAAAGGAATGTTCACCCGAGGCAATTCTGTTCCTTTAGAGGCACTAGTGCTGCCGCAGGAATGCTTGGTGGACTGATATTCGATGAGGCTAAGTGGGGTGGCATTAACACACTCGCGGTACTACCGCATGAACCGTTGTATATTTGTGTAAAATCCAATAAGTATTAGCCTACAACCCATGGCACATGCTGCATGTAGATGGCATCTCGTTTGCACTTATCTACGGTATTGCATCAGTCCCCTCGTGCAGTTTCGAACGGGAGCTCACCATCCTACATTTGTAGAGAGCCTAGAAAATTTATAATGAAAGATGATATCAAAGGAATGAGGGTGTTTCCGGGTATGTAGAATGTTTGCGCGAATGCGAATTCGATGGTGGCGTAAATTGAAATCTAGTTGTTGAATCACCGTGTGTGACCTAATTCTTCATTCGTAAGTGTTGCTTCACAGAGTCTCCAAACATATCCTAAACTCTAACTGGGGCATGGTTCCGAGGCAGAGGCCGCGTGCTTAAATAAGAGTACATAATATTTAGAAGCCCGCCTTATGTGGTAGGTTCAGCACTACAGTGGGTCATGAGGAAGCTGTTCCTGTCACCCCAACTACTTGCCGCTTAGCGGTTCACACCTATCTGATACCTTTGTATGGTTATAATCTGGCAGACTCACATAAGCTTTTGCGAAGTCTACCCAGTCTTGACACAAGTACATTTACACAGGCCACGCTTTATGGGGATACGTCGCCAACCCAGCAGCCTTGTTCTGACGCCGAAAAGCCTTATAGAGCCACATAAAGGATGCGGGATATAATCTAATTAACTTCAGGTGCGATCTGGAGGGTGTTGCTCTCTTTCTCGTGAGAATGTCCTTAGTCAGTGTGTCAACCGCGACATGAACTATACGCATTCTAGTGCAGCACGACAGTCCTTGAAAGTATGAGCGCCGTTTGCACTGTAGCTTGTGGAGTAACAGGGCGCGATCTTCAGCACCTTTGCGCGAGCAATCATCTCGCCTTCAAAGCGGCAATTTGAGAGAACGGATTGGCATACAGCAAGATACCCTGCTTTGGTAATTTCACGATATATAGATGTGATAACAGCACTTTCATCATTGTATCAGCAGCACCGCGTAAACCATGCACTCTCGTATAGCCCATTCTAGAGGTACACTGCAGCAAGAGAGTCCACCAAAAAACCATTTTCGAAAATCACCCTCTAGCAGTCCTTTTCAATATTACAGCCGACCCGGTTCAATATGGTATATGAGCCACGCCATCGATGTGCCAGATGCTCATTGTCAGAACTGACTTCCAGTGAAGTCCCTGCCTGTTCTCCTACCAGGCACGAGTGCACCCTTTAAACAAACATCGCCCCTCTACATCTTGAAAAAGGCCGTCCTCCCCATTGACACCGGACTTCGTGCTCCGCACTCCCGATGCCTTTTCTGGAAGGCCCAAGAAGGGGAAAGCCCTCATTGAAAATGCACTTTTTATATTTTTGCTAAAAGATAGCATATAAGATATGCACGTAATTTACTATCTCGTGACCAGTTGCAAAGTGCGATATATCTCTGCATGTCAGTTTGGGAGGACTTTGGAGTCCTATGGTTGTCACAAAAGTTATTTTCACATATCCAGAGTCCTTCTGTGTAGTTACGTTTTGTGTAGGTACAAGCGTACAATTTATGGTCTATTTTTTTTCAGGAGAACAGCTCACCATCCAGAAAGGTACTGCTAAAGGGACTGTGAGACGAGGCTACTGTGAGAAAATTGGGCTTAGATGATCAGCAACAGTCAAGAGTTGGGTGGCGGAAAAGCACTTTTCTCTCTACGGAATTTGGTGCTGGGGATCTATCGATTGAATAGATCAAGGGCGATCAGCACCAAGACATGGGGGGGCACGGGCAGTAGTGCTCTTACTCCATCATCAGACACCATGAATAGCTACCCGAAGCGCTTAAGTAGCAGCCAAACGCCAAGTGTTTTCTGTTGTGTGCTTCCCCCTATTAGTCCTTCGCCCAGCGGCATCAGCTCTTCCGAGCGTTATCAGATGGATGTGGGGTGACCCAGCCTTGTATCATGGGATGAAACTCATAACAAAACCCGATTGCAATGTTTAATAGCTCCATTATCTAGACACTGACTAGTAAAGAAGCTAAATACAATGCTTTTGAATGAGTGTAAGATCGCTTCAGGCACAGGCTGCTTACGTGCGGGCGTCTTGGTTATGAACAGCGGACTTCGGATTTCCATCGTCCCCCTATGTTCGAAATGTGTGCATGTCATTCTCGAGCCATGAGCGTTCATCCTGGTTTCCTCATTTCTGTTATCTGGTCTGGATTTGCACTAGTTGATGCCGGCCGCTAGTTAGTTTGCAGTGTAAGGTGGCTGGGGAGAACCCGGGTGGAGTGTTTGGTAGAAAGAAGGCTTATGGATCAGCCATTGACATGTATTTTTTGACCATATTTGACCTAATTAAGATGCTTTTCTTCTTTCCTATGCATGATCATTGCATTGGTTTGGCACCTCCTGGAACATTATTGCTTTGTGCGGACTGGGGCAGGCAGCAGCGGATCGATGGGCTTTGCGTCATGTTCTGCCTCACGCTTCTCCGGGTGAGATCGGTGGGAACCTCTTGCAATCTTCATGTTTTTTGCCGTATTTTCTGTTATCTCTGTGCCACTGTTTCCAATCTTGCTGCGTATGTCTACGACTGTCCGCTGACCTGCAAACTGTGTATTACGAGCGTACGCATCGGCCCATGGTAGGTTCTTTCCTTACCATTTAGAGCAACCTCTTCGCGCTGCCTCCCTTGGGGCAGCGTGGGAGGCTACATCTGTCCTGCCACCCATACTATGTGGGAAGCTGCCAAAAGGCGCATTCGTCAATGCAGCCCGGCAGCAGGCCGTTGCGAGCCTCTTCGAGGCACTCACTTGTACCAAAAAACCAAGTTCGGAGAGAGAGAATCACATCGCTTGCCCTGGGTACCAAAGCTGATGTGATAGCCGCCCTGGAACGCCCGCCTAACTTGTCCTATGAAGTATCATTTACTGTAACAAACACTTTCTTTCAAGAAGACTTTGACCTGCTAAACAAAACTTGCAGAACTAGGGAAGAGACCGTCAATCAGATTCTGTCTGTTTTCCGGTCATCTGAGCTCAAGATTACCTTCATTGGCTTGACCTCTGGAGAGATCCTCTATTTCCAGCATGACCTCACCGGTCCTCCAGAAAGGTCTGCCTCGGTGAAGAAAATTTGCCAGCACAGTGGAGCGGTGCATTGCTTGCAGGTTGTGCTTAATCCACATCAAGACAATTTTAGAGTAACTCCCTTGTTAAGCTCTGGAAAGGAGAGTTGGGGGACCTCCGATCCTTGGCTGCTCAGTGGATCAGCAGACCGAACAGTTAAAGTTTGGCGCGTCTTTGAGAAACGCTTAGAATGTGTCCAAACGTTGGGAGGGCATGGTGGCACAGTTGTGACTTTCAGTCTTTGCATCCCTTACCTTGTATCGTCTTCAACTGACGGGGCACTCCTGGTTTGGAGCGTTGACGCTGCATGGACAAAGGTTCCTACGTTTACCTTGGTACAGAAAGTCCAAAATGGGTCTGCTTCTACATGTCCGTCAGTCATGGCTGTAATAAAGGCAACATAATGTTCTGATGTAATCAGCAGCACGCCATCGGAAAGCCGAACGGCACTGCTTTGCCTTGCTTGTATTCAGCTACGACTAAAGGTACAAAGATATTGGAGCATTCATGGTTTGAGAGCATTGCGGCACGATGGGCTGGAGACAAAGTGAGGATTTGTGCAGGGTCAACGGATGGTTCTATAGTTCTACTGGAAAGCAATAAATATCTTAAAGACCAAATTTCGGAGGAATCAGAAGCGAATTTGTCTACTTCAGCACGGCCTTCTAGGCGTAGCAACGCAACTTTTACCATAATTCGCAAAATGCAGATGCATAGCCTGTGTACGCGCCGGGTATATGCACTTCCCTTGGAGTCCGTAGTCGTCACTGTGGGAAGCGATGCTGGAATAGCCGTTGTTGATCCGTTTTTAGGGCAGGTTTGGTGGAAACAAACAAACTCCCACGGCGTACCTTTCTCCGCTATAGCGTGGGATGCCAAGGAAAGCCTTCTTCTTGCTGGAGACGACTCGGGCATGTTGAGTTATTTCAACATATATTCGCACGAAAGGGTAGCCTCGCAACAGATTTGCGACAGCAAAATTGTTCATATTTCTGTGGACTTAGGTAAGAGAGGCCTAACCATCCGGGTGGCAAGCCCTCGTTCATCCCAACGAGCATTCCCCAAAGACCCCTCTATACCAGGTCATTGTAAGAAGGTGCGAATATGGCATGTGATCAGAAGCCCGGAGTATAGTTGTGGCATCTACGAAATCTATTTATATTGTCCGAGCGCAGCATGCCAAAAACACCCTTAATCTATCTGGGCATGAAGGTAGGCAGGACCGCAGGTTAGGTACTGTTGTCAGCAAACGGAACATTTGTTTTGGCCTGTGGCAGTGCTAGTTACGTGGCTTTCCTGAACTCCACTTACAAAGCTCGCTTTGCTCGTGTCCCTGATTCGACATATAATTCGTAGGTGCCCTGCTACACTTGCTATGGATGCCCATTGGAGGTACTCACATGCTGCTTTCTGTGGCAACAGATCAAGCATTTCGCCTGTCAGTCAAAGCCACGCGCCAACAAGCTTGGTTTTTGCTCGCTGCTCGCTACACTAGTCGTACATTAATACGGCTGATGACTGCCTCTTTTGGTATATGCACTTTAAACTGAAGGATTAAAAAATGCGATGTGAACATACAGGTGGGATATTCAGCGAGGTGCCGAGGTCAATACGATACAGTGCAAATACAGCGAAGTTACAAGGCATGTAACCTTGCATCCTCATAGCTTCTGCGTTGCTCTTCAAATACTCTTGAAGTGTTTTGAGAAGTCTATTTATACTTTCAGCAGAACCGCAGAACTAAGCGGAGGGGCTTGCAATGCGCTCGTGTTCTGCGTGCAGCTTCACTTTCCTGTCTGGCCTGGATGCTCTTTTAACTGGTCATGAAAATGGCTCAGTTCGCTGTTGGCAACTACCAAGCGATATATCAACCCCAATCTTAGATACTAAAGGCAAGGACTCACCATACCATTATGCCAATATCAAAAACACGCAATGCACCATTCCGTCACAAACGGTGCTGCCTAAACGATAAACCTCGATACTATCCAGTGCATGTGATTCTCCTGACAGCTCTTGCACTAAAAAATGGGCAGGCGACTTTTTAGGGATATGAAATTGAAAGACAAGCGCGTTTGCCTTTCGTTGCGCAGGAAAGCCACTTCATGAAAACACAGTTGCTTGCATTGAATCATGGCCCGAAACAAGGGAGCTTAGTAAGGAAGAAAACAACCTCCAGCATATCACTCCATTGTCCAAAATAAAGTACAAAAGCTTTATGGTTCTGACTTGTGGTTACGACGGGAAAATCTGTCTTCTGTCGGTCAACGCAATGGAGGATCGACCTGTAACAAGACAGCTTGTATGTTCACAGTGCCTCAAAAAAAACCAACTGTTGTCTTATTTGGATAATGAGATCAAATGCTGCATATTGCGCGCCCAACACAAAATATCCATAGCAAGGTCGTGCCAGTCATTAATTTAAGACTTGGGCAAGAAATATCTCCCCTTCCGGCTTTGTGTTTTCTTTCCTCTCACTGATTTATCATAGGAAGTGTACAGAGGTAATGGAGACGAATGCACGGAGGTTCTTTACGTTACTGCTTGCCCAAATAGGCGCCTATTCTTTTCCGGTGGGTACCATTCACAAGTCGTTCATAATCCTCTCGTGCTGGCCGTGGCCTAGGTGAGAATGCGCTCTTCACATATTGGATGTCTCCAAGCTGTGTGGGGCTATATACGTAGCCGGAAACGGAAAGGATGTTAGGAGGCACAACATGGACGACCCATCAATGGTCAAGCGGCTAATGGGGCATTCTGTAAGTCCAGATAGAATCGTTTCATGAGTGAGAATCAGATATGTGAAGAAATAAATAGTATGCATTTTATTGAGATTTAGCTGTCTTACCAGCTACCAAACATTGTAGTTTTTCCTGTTGCTCTCCAGGATTCGATCACCGCACTGAAGATTGTTGACGGCCTCCTTGTCTCCGGTAAAGCAACATGGAGGTCGTTGCTGTACATACTGGTGTTCTGCTGACTTTTTGTACAGTACTGGAACATGGCAGCATTTTCATCTGCTCTGACGTTCAGGATCACTTGACAGGACAGTGCGTGTATGGCGGCCGGAGAGTGCAGAGTGTATTCATGTGCTAATGCACATTGAAGCTCCAGCCCTCTGCATCTTGGCCCTTTCAAGCAACACCGGCGATTGGGTCTCGATCAGTCGGAGAGGAACAGTGGCCTTCTGGAAAGGTTCAACTCTCCGAATGGCATTGGAACTAAATGCAGCCTTAACAAGTGCCACTGAGGCCGTAGGATATGGAATTTTGCTGGTTGGCACAGGTACAAATTCAACTATTAACACAATTAATTGCATGCCATTTGCGGTACACAACAGCACCTAGCCGAGTTGTCTACGGTAGCTACGACTCAAGGGTCAAACCAAAGTAGGGTGGAGGCATTGAGTGTCTGAAGAGCCATGAGTTACTTTTCATTCTTGCTTCTGCTCAGAAGACGGAAAGATCCTTCCAGTTTCTCTTCCACTCTGAAGCTTGTACGCTAAAAAAGGGCTTGTAAGCAAGTCACCATTAAGTCGTTCAAACGAAAAGCATCCCATCCGACGTTGGAGGCCTATGATCTGCTATTCCAAAAACATTCACCAAAAGCCTTAATCCAGTTTAGAACTTGAGCCGCCATTAGAAGACGTAATGTGGGCATGCATGCTAATCAGGACATGTGAGCTTTCACCAAGAACAATGAGAACAATCGTTGGAGCGCAGTGCTTGATAGTGCCAGACGCATCACCCAGATAAACGCAAATAAGAGAGGTAATAGTTCCTATGAGCCGCTTCTCTTTGCTGTAGTGTCTTCGTCAACACACTTCGGCAACCATACACGCTCCAGAACGTTGGCGGTGACCACACCTGAGATTCTTTCTCTAGAAAGCACACACGACCCTAGTGCTCATCTAGGGAAAGAAGCTCAGGTGTGGTGAGATGTTTCTTTAGTCCAAAAATTATGTAGAAGCTATTTTAATGTTTACCCTAAAAAAAGGCCCTTACATGGCTCAACGTGGATTGCCCTTGTGATATTAAGAGCACTCACCAAAGCAAGGGCTAGATCGTCGCACACGGCCGCAAAAAGTCGACAGAGATGTAACATTACGTGTACACAGTTTTAAAATTGGGAATAGACATCACAGGCAGCTAAAAGATGTCCGGTGAAGTAGAACTGAGAAGATCGGATATCAAGGTTTGGGAAGACAGCAGATTGCGACAGCGCGGGCGCATAGCAAATGAACCAAAAACCCAGCTGGAAGAACGAAAATTATCACAAACTATAAAAATAACACAAAGAAAAAATTTACGGTCTGTTTGGTCGGCTCATAGTGTGCCCTGACTTGGAACACTTTTGTTGGCATCTTCCCCGGAAGAAGGCGTGTTTCACTGTTTATGCAGAGCGCCTTCCATACCATTGCTTCTACATGTCTCCTTACGTTACCCATGCTTCACTGTTACTAGAGCTTTCCACACCGGAAGAAGTTACCGCGCGGACATCCCCAGTCGCTGCATTGCTCGGGAGGCTTGCAGTCTTGTTGGGTCCTCGACGCTCGTGTGAAAAGGCAATACTAACCCTTCAACAAAGCTGAAACTTTTATCACTTATACTCGGCGCTTTCATTCTCTAGAGTCAACCTACAACGCTTGTCAATAGATTTTTCTGAATTACCGGATAGTTTCCGAGCATCCCCAAGTGGGAAAGGACAAGGCGGGGCTGCTTCTGATAAGCATCAATACTGCTTCCGTTGGTTACTTGCCAGTTTATTATGTTCAGTTGTACTGATCAAGGGTTAGGGGAAAATATTTCTCCTCTGATCACTGACCACTTCATTTTGCCATTCTGGTAGCCGCTGCGCTGTAAGATGAGTGCCACGGCATCCTATGTGCCACGATATCAGATTACAGCTGCAGGAAGTAGTGTATTTTAATCTTTCTAGCACTATTCAAGGGTCATTCTGCCCACTTAGCCCGCAGGTTGCAGCCCCAGCAGCATTTTTGCGGTATTCAATGGTGCAGTACCAACAATTACTGTTGCCGAGTCGTCGGAGAGTCCCCCTTTTACAATGCACTTCAACTCACCATAGGACTTAAGAAGACGCTGCAACGCTTTACACTACACATCCAGCAGCCATTACAGTCAGTAGGCAGCTGCATGGCAGAAGGGTTTCCTCTTGGCAAAGGAAAGCATATGAAAATGGCCTGTCATGATGAGACCATACTATTACGGAACTATAGGTCCCCCAGCCAGTTCAAAGCTTGCTAGTGTTTAATGCGTTATGCAGCATCAGCGTTGGCAGTCGTATCTGCGACCACCTACAATGGGCACCCAGCGGATAGAACAAGTTCGTTCTTGTAGCCCATGTCAATTAGTGCGCATGAATGCTGCAGTGTCAGAGGATACACCATCTGCTACTCCCCTGTGGGCTCTCTCGAGAAAGAACATGCACCTAAATGAATCCGACACGAATTTTGTGACATGTGCTAGATTGCTTGACCAAAACGAAAACCGAGTCATTGGACCAATCCGTCTAAAGGATGGACTTTTTTTTGGTCCACCCTCTGTATCTGTTGACTATGGATTTCTGGAGGCCAACAAAGTATCTCATATTGTGGCTATTGACGAAGGATCACCGCGGAGAATCGAACAAACACGGTCCTGCGCGAATTCGGGCAAGACAAACTCGATGCCATCCCGTAGCCTTACGCTCTACTGGAATATCAAAGAGAAATCCCAGGATCCAGTATGACCTCGATAAAAGTCCTGCCGTGTTGTGTCTACACATCACATCGTAAACCCAGGAAGTTTATTTGTCATCTTGAGCCAAGTTCGACACTCCTTTTTACAGCATGGCCACAATGTGTGTTTACGGCTTTCACACAGAACATTATTGAACAAAGACTAGTAGACATGGCAGCAGCTGTTGCTTTTATAGAGGAAGCCAACGAACTCGGAGGAAGCTGTTTACTGCACTCCTCCAATTGTCTAGCCACAGCGGCAACTGCAGCAGCAGCATACTTCGTGGTGAAGTAAGCAACTCAATTCATCGTAAATGGATACGCCTTGTTGCGTTCGCACATCGCACAATTGTGCGTGGGAATAGTGTTGCTGCCTCTTGCCATGTACTTTGCGGTCTTCGCTCCGGCATTCTCGACAGGCAACAAAAGCTGCTGGGCTTGTGGCAGATTTGTTCCCTTGCTAATCGAATGGCATAAACAAGCCCTGCTCTGTATCCAAGAAACGTTTAATCCGTGCTTTGTCTCTGGGCGTTGGTGTCGCTTGATGAGTGCCTTCCCGGGGGAAGAAGAAAGGCTCCACAACCTTTGTACGCAGATTTGGATGGTCTCTGGCCCTTTGTCTCAAGTTTTTCTCAAACCGAAGGCCTCCATTGCAGCTCCGGGCAGATGCCATGGCGCTGTTGGAGTCGGCACAAAAGCAGCGCTTGCTTTTGCAGTCTTTAGCTGGAAGTAAGTGCCCCTTGTTGATTTTATCATACTCTGATACTTTCTCTAAAGCAAGTTCTTTTGCCGCAAGTCGCCTGTTTGAGAGCATGTCGCTCAACAGTAAAGCCAAGTGATATTTGTGTCACAGTGGAGCTTAACGCGACTCTGGCTCCTCCTGCATGCCCACAGAATAAGTTTTCGCGCGAACTCGGGGTTTTTAGGCTATGCTTTGGTTTTAACTCAATTGCATGTGAATTACATTTCGGCTACTATATATTTCCGACCTATCTTCTTCGCGTGGTACAAGTCAAAGAACAATTCTTTCTGTACAAGATCTCGAGCCTGGTATGGCCCACAGCTATGAAAGGTTTGTCCTTGCAATTCCGAATTGTGCTGCAGCCACACCAGCAACGGACGCTGAAAGCTTACTGCTTCACAACACTCTTTTAAATGCCACTTTGCCAAACGCCAGTTGTGCAACAACTCACACAGGTGCTCTTCAGGCCTCGAAAAACCATAAGTGGTTGTAATGTGCTGGAGGAGTGCTGCTGTCTGAGCAGCTGTACGCATTGAATTGCAAGTAAAGTTTTGCTGTGTGACAGACACAGTATAGGTATGGATGTATAGGAAGCTACAATTACAATAGAGGCTCCCAGAGCTGCCCATTAAAATGCTCACTTATTGCAATTTAATGTGTTTTTAGTCAAGAAGGCGAGGCAGACAAGACCGGTGTTGCACTGGTTTGACTCCGTCGGGCTGAAAACGCTGCGATGTAAGCAGATTGTGCCCACTGGAATGGTTACACGCAAGACTCATCCAAAGTTCGAAAGAGAACTAGGAGCTAGCCGTGGTGCTCTTAGCCAAATTCCACGATCAATCCTAAAGAGGACGCAGCTATCGACAGTGGGAGTAAATACCAAAGTGCGCACACTGTATATGGCACATTGCAGCCCTGCAACCTTTCCCAGGACAATTTAAAGAACTGCGCGCATTTCATGATCTACTTCTACCGTTATTCGCCAGTGTCCAGCCTCTCAGGTAGCCACTGCTACATTCCCAGCACAAATGCGACGTAAATTTGCAGGTGGTGCCAGCCAGAGTATTATTACAAGACCGCCCTGAATCAAAGCCTCACGTTACCGCTCCAGTCGCTATTTTAGGGGCACTAATATCTCAAAGCCCAGAGCGAGAAACTTTGAACGGTGACACAACGGTTAAGGTTCTTGCAAAGACCAGAACTCTTGGGCTTGAGGAAGGTTGCAAGGCAGTCCGTATCGAATTTACACGCGAAACTCGCGCGAATAGAGAAGGAACGCCACAAGCAGTCCCTGACTCTAACTGGGAGGTTGAGCCTGTGGCAACCAATATTCTCAAGCGGCAAATCCTCCAGAGCCACTCACGAAGGAGTGGTATGCTATCATGTCTTTAATACACCGGAATGCTGAAGGTGTTTGCGTAGTCTCATACAAATTTTGAGACTCTCCTTTGGTAATTTCGCCTACCATCAAGCACCTGGCGTCGGACCACCACGCACGAAACTATTGCCAGTTTTGTGTCAGGCGTTGCAATCATTTATGCGAGGCTGCGCGCTGCCTGTTCAGCTACTAGCTCCTGGAGCTTGCCGAGATCAGGCTCAGGAATTTTTTATGATCCCCCGTCAGTGTAAGTCTCACACAGTGGATCGAAATATGAGCATACAGAATCAGTAAGATGGCAAGAACAGGTGGCAATCTCGAACTGTTGTTTAAGCAACCTAGTTCTTTTATTATGGATTGGTGTATGTCCTCAAAAGGGGTGTAAAATTACTGGAGGAAGCCAAAAATGCGCTTGAAGAGCGTGAGTGTTCCGAGAAAAATACCATCACTTGATTTCTTTAGTTGCCTAATAGTTCACATTCACAGCAGCACGTAACGTAGCTATAGAAGCACCACCAAATAGTTTGACCTGAAGGTGGAGTTTGCCTGTACGAAAATCGGCGCTGCGTGTTCGGCATCTGCAGGAGTGCTTCCACTTCGACTCCCGACGGCCTTCACCACCTGTAGCTCTGAGACCACCTGATACCCTGCTAATCAGCATTGAGCTCCGCAAGAGCAGCAGTGTCTGTACCACGGAAGATACAAATACACAAAGAAAGGAATCAGAGCTTATGCGGTACAGGTGTCCGTATAGGAACTTGAGCACGTAAATTGATAACTCTGTATGTCACGCAAGCTTTTGCTACCGTTGATACGTTACGCATCAATCCTTCTGCACTGCTGAAGGTACTCACAAAAACAAGGCTCCGTGATCATGCTACTTGGGCACCCCACCAGCTAGTCGGTGCTTTGAGCGAACGGCTCAAATGCGAACTACACACTAGGGGTTAGAATGCCATGCTGCGAATCGATAGTGAATGAACCTCAAAGAGACATTCTACCATTGCAACTCTAAGGCGAAAGAGCCCGCAGGTATTTTCCTACTACCACAATGGGTTTTATACATGTTCGTTTGTCTGTGTCGAAGTACGAGGAATAGGACTAGCTCGGATTACGGGCTGGCCAATTTTTTTCTTTACAAAAGAGACACTACTGGATAGAGTGCTGGAAACATGGTCCCTGCCCAGAAACGGCTTCATGCTGCCATCTTGCCTCTACGTTAGGTGAAGTACATCTCTACTACTTGGGTCTCTTCGTAGTACTTCTGTAAAAGTCAGGTCAAATTATTCAGTAAATTTGAACGCTCCCGGGCGGTTTAGTGCGCGTTTAGCGTCTAATTCATCTTTCCCATGTTGCATCCAATATCACATGATGTAGCAGTATTTTCCAGGAGAATAGGACCATCTGCAGTCTAAGGCGTGTAACCACATTTAAGATGCCACTGTACAAAAATGTAGCTGCTTTTGCAAGCCTAGAATGGAAGCAGAGACCCCTCTGCGACTCGGGAGCCTCAATTTCACACCGGCAAAGTAAAGGTGTGATGCTAGCACTTCTTATGGCCTGCCAGAGCAGTAAATTACCTATGCCTACCAAAGGGTACGGGCAAAAACGACGCAGCTGCTTGTTGCGAGCATACGTGCACCATGGCAGCTGGAAATACCTTCAATGCACATGCCTTCATATGTCTTCATGAACCACAGTATATTCAAAGTACACAAGGCTCGGCCTTAATTAGTCCTTTGGCAAATCTATATCAAGATTCGGGCATATTCTCCCCCCTCCTGCGCACGATACACGTGTAAGTTTTTTAACAGAAGTTTCCAGGATATTAACTCAGTCTATCCCCTATTCGGATTGCCCCTCAAGCCATCAGCTATATCTCCTGATTTACTGATGGCAGAGTTTTTGCTGGAGTCACCAGAAGTGCAGCTGCTTTGACTTCTGCCTTCTGAGGCTGATAATCCACTGGTGCTCGACGATACCTCAAAGCCGCTAACTCTACTGTCGCCAGAACTAGATCCTAAGGAGACCTGGGAGGCAGATGAATCACTACTCGAGTCCAGTCTGCTGCTCTTGCTGCTGCTCTTGTTATTGCTCAAGTTGGTCGTAATAACCTCTGAGCCAGTGGATTCGACAGAGGATTCACTCTCGGAAGATGTGCCTGGCATCTCGTCTTGACTGCGCATGGGCTCCGTGTTCGGAGCCAATTTAATCAATGAAAGAATATAACTCAGCTTTCGGAAACCTCCAAGAAGTTCACGCATGAAGGCCGCTTCACTGATGAGTATCCGCTCCGTGTGCAACAGATTTGTTGCAAAGTGCCCTGCGACTGAGCATTAAGGTCTCACAAGAAAATACTTTGTTTAGTTACGATTCCTGATAGGGCTACTCTCCGGTTGTTGCTTCCCTCCTATTGCTATGAGTCTCCAATCCTGGCTAATACTGGCAAAGCTCACATGTAATTTGCTCATCATCATGCTCCCAAGAATCGAACGTGCCGGCGTTCTGTTCCTCCTCAAAGATCTCCCGCCAAATAGGAGCCCAGTTCCGTTGCTCCTCTAGCCGATGTGCAAGCTCCATTCTGAATGAAAAAGCGCATTGTTTCCATAATTACTTTAGCACTGAATACTCGATGGTAGAACAAGACTTGGGGGACTTAAAACCTGCAGGTTGTTTTTCACCAGATAAGGCTTGACCCAGTTTGGTCAGTTTCAAATATTTATCTACCAAGGAATGCCAGCCATATGAACGTCTTAGCAACCGTAGTTATACCTCTTTTCCAGCTCTTTCTTGTTCATTGTTTCAACCATATGCCTCTGGGTCCTTGCGCCTGCTCTCGCAGTGTTCTGTAAAAAAGCAGCAAGCCCATGGGGAGTCAAATGCAAAGAACCACAGGAAAAATTTTGTAAAGGGCTATCCCGCAGCAAAGGTCAACCTCATCCCGTAGCTTATCTGTTTTGGGCTATTTACCACCTGACGTGCTGGTGGGCGGCCACTCACAAGCGCTATTTCACGTCTCCGAATCTCGCTCTGATTAATAAGAAACCGTTGCTTTTCAACGAGCCGCTTCGTATTCAAGCGTTCAGATTTTTCGGCATTTCTAAGAAGTGCCCTCTTCCGCATAATGCTGTGCTGCCGTTCAGCTTCTTCTGCTAATGCTTTGTCAAGCAACTTTGTATCTTCGGCGAATTGGCCCATAAGATGGCTCAATTCGCTGCCCGGCGCCTCTCTTTCTATTCGTTTCACATGGTTTTGCCGTAGTACGCGTCGCCGTTCCTCTGCCTCCCTTCGCTGTCGCAGCTGTCCCAGCAGCCTGTCGTATGCATGGCGTTTTTCTTCCATCTCTTTTATGATTTGCTGCTCTTCTTCCACCATGCGCTGTTCAAGGATTCCAATTTCTTCTTGTGCTGCAGCTTCAGCCTCCTTGTTCAATTGAAAGGCTTGTTCTTGTTCTGACAGATTCTGCAGATAAATGTACTTGACTTATATATGAACAAAATTATTGGTCTTAAAGATGTTTATTCCACCGTTCTAGACTACTAGGTGTTCTCTTAGAGAACTGTGTCCGCGTGTGTGGTAGATTCAAATCCCCTCAAAGCGCACTGTTTTTCTTTCCTGCTTCGCTTTCAATCTACATTCCATATGCTTTAAAATGTCCTCTATTTCACTAGCTTGTTTGTGCTGCAATTCCTGCAGCTGCAAAGTCATACGGTCTTCGGCCTGGCATACAAAGGACCCAATCGTGGTGCGGTCTTCAATTTGCCCTGTCGGGCTATATCATTTTGTTTTTAAGAGGACCCAGCCCCCATTATAATATTGATATAAATTCATTCAGTGCAACTAGGTGACTTTAAAAACCGATACATGGGCAAGACACATACCGCCTGCGTCTCCACGAAAAGAAGCTCCTGTAGCTCGGCCTGCAAACGGTCATCGAGTTCGACACGTTTGAACGTCACTATATCTGTGAATTGAAAAGGACTTGTTCGCCAGATAGTGTACTAGCTTACCTTGTATAACATCTGCACATCATCGGGGCGGTTGTCGCAGCTGCAAGGAAGTAGACAAACAAGCGCGAAGGCTTGGCTTGGTACTAGCACGTAAATACGAAGAAAGGGGGCAGGAGGTAGCAGCTAAAGTGAGCACTGCCGTCAACGAAGGGCACTTATGTTGTCACGAACTTCCTCCCTCCTTTGGCACTCCAGAACTGCTCGATTTTCGCGCTTATGTCTTCTGCCTTTTTCAAAGACAGCTCTTGAAGGAGGCATGATACCTCCTTGTTATGTCTTCGAGCAAGCAGCTGCAGCAATAGCAGCCTATGGGGCAATGGGATGTTACTTTCTACTTAGACTATAATGAACAGAACATGTGTTGTTCTTGTCGTGTACAACGCGTATGTGCAACATTGTGCCATTTAGCACAGCCGAATCCCCACCTCGACTACTGCAGCAGTATCGGTACCCTGATTGGCCAAGCGCTGCAGCTCTTCCTGCTCAACAGCTTTCTCCTTCAAAAGCAAAGGCCACACTCCAAGAGTCTTGTAGATTATGTGCTTATCAGAACATACATGTATTGCCCTTGCAGTGGCATTTCTGTTTAAGACGCACCTTGCTGGCCAGAGCGATGAGGCGTGCCTCAAGTTCTGCCTCGGCGGCTTGGACTGCCTTTTGCTTCTGCTCCTCGGCTTCGCGGCGCTTTTGCAGCAGACGCTGCTGGCGCTCAATAAATTTACAATGAGCACGCTCTTCTTGCTGCTTCTGTTCAGCTTCCAGCGCTGCGTCCATCTGGCTGAGCGCGTTCTCATGCTCTGCAATATTGCATCCCACGTTTCTAGTAAAGCAGACTCCGCTGCAGTTCACTTACCAGTGCGGCATTCAAGAGGCATGTTCAGATGAATTAAAATAGCTGAAACCCAGCTACCTTTGGTGGCACTTCCATGACTTTTTGATGGCACTGTTGCGTACCTCTGAGGAGCTGTTCTTTTGCATCATCAGTCACCAGTGCCAGTTTTGCTCTATGTTCGTCACTTAGCTTCCGCTTGGCGATCTCATGCATCTTTTGCAGTTGTGCCGACTCTTGTTGTATCTCGACTTTTTCCTGTTCCGCTGCATCCTAAGATTGGAAACATGATCATCGAATAAGACTAGCACAATGGCAAATGGAATACATTTGTGGTTCTGTGGGCCACCTGACGATACAGTGCTCAGTATGATTACATTGGGACTAGTGGTGCAGTTTGATGTACCTCTTGCTCTTTTGCAATCTCAATAAGCACCTCTTCTAGTCTTCGTTGTGCATCTGATACAATATCTGCAATGGTGTCTGGTGCATCCGCTTGAACTAAAACGGCAGCACCCCTGAAGAATGTCAGCACCAGAGAAGGGGGCCTTGTGGAAGAAGTGTTTTAAACGGCATTGAAACACATTGCACACGCTGGTACTTACTATATCGTCATGCTGGATTTCCTACCTGCTGCTTTCTTCAGTATCACTCGTATCATCAGATAGTTCCTGAATGGATTGACTCTGCAGTACTGCTATAGCTCTTTTAGACCCGCTTTCAACAGAATTTTGCTTTATCGTGGAATAGTCAATACACTTCTTGCGACGGTAGCGTAGCTGCTTTTGCAACTCAGTAGCTGTTTTGTAAAGCTTATTTCCAGGGGCAATAATCCACACTTGGTGAACATCGGCATACGATTGCAGAGTAGTGCCTCCCCCTGACAGGGCACAACTCCTCCACACGATCCTTTGTACTTCATTCATGCTGAACCTAAGGTTCTCATGAAGATATTCTTCGCTTTCTCGTGCTTCCGCCAGCTCCTGCAGCAGCATGGAAGCGAAATGTGTTTAGAGACAACCTAATGTCTAACCGTTAAGAAAGACGATTTGGGTCCGACAAGCGCAAAACCCGCAGACAGCTAATATACGGTTTCTCGTTGATTTAAACTAATTCTGAGCTTTTATTATATTGTTATCAAAGGCCTTGCAGCCTCTTTTTGTTTACATGCTGTGTTCATGGCGACGGGAAAGTCTATTGAAATGCAAGCTTAGCCCTTATCGTGCCACGATATCGGCGTAGTGTCACCTTGACTAGTCAGTATCCTCTGCTTCTGATTTAGAGTTTAGTAGGAAGGTCTGATTCACAATGAGGCTATGTGTAGATTCTCACTAGAGACTTTGTTAAAGCTGTCTGTCTCAGCCGACGCTCCTGTGAATCAGCAAACGCTTCGAAATTTTTTTCTCTCTGAACCATGCACATTCTCTCAGCATAGTGGCGATATACTTCTCTTTCGCGAGCTATGATATGTTCCAGATCTGCTGCTGCATTTTTCCACTTTTGCTGCATACAACGGTCACAAGTGCAGAGGCACATATGAGGAACTTTCAACCTGGATGACGAAAGCGGAGGCTATCGTGTAGCGGGTTTTTTGTGGGGTGTTGTCTGCATGAAGAAGTAACGACCTTACTAAAATGGTTTGTATGTATGCAAACAGGTACCGGTGATATTCACATCGTGCTTGGGCGGTGTGGATAGGTCACATGCCCTTACCAGCAGTGTTTCTTCAGCGTCCGAATCTAGGCCATCTCTCCTTGCCTGGGTGAAAAGATGCATATGCCGTCCAACTGGCATTCTGTTTGTTATTTGGATATTTGTAGCCAGTGTTCTATAAAAGAAAAGCTGGATGGGGGTAGAAAAGCACTAGAAGAAGTGGAAACTGCTAACTGCGGGAATAAGAGTGTACACTGCGAGTTAAGTTGGGATTCTATGAGGGTACCTCAGCTGCGCGTGTCAAAAATTCCCCATTAATCCTGTTCAGCAACTTTTGCTTGAATGATGCAAGCAGCTTGATATGGTCGAGCTCTCGGATTCCTTCTAAGTGCTGTTTTCTGATGTTGAAAACACTGGTTTCGTACTCATTTCTTGCGGCATCCTCCTGCGCAGCTGCGCTGCACACATGTCGCTCACAAGCCTCACTTGCAGAAATTTGGCAGTGACCTGAAAACATGGAAACCAGTTACCATTTGGCCTTTTACTCTCCTTTGGCTCTCCCTCAAGCTTCCGTGTGAGGTCAATATGTAGTGCGGCACGCAGACAGCTTTAAAGCTTCGTGCTGGGGAAAAGAACGTATTCTAGACCGCTCGTACTCTTCGATCCATACACGGGTAAGCTGGATCTGTTCTGTTTGATCATGATGCTCCTCGGTAAGCTTTTTCCTTGCACTAGATTCCAGCTCCCAAAGCTCTTCAGTTGCTTCTTCCCGTTGATTTCGGAGGCTTTCAAGCGTCTTCTCTCTATGTTCAGCCAGTACGCTCCGATGCTGAATCTGCAACTCCTCCCGCATGGTCCCCACCGCATTAATATTATCGGGATTCTTCTGAAGTACTGTCTGCAAGAGCAAATGAGTATTACCAGCGAACGATGGTCTTGAGTAACTACTTTACGTCTGGTTTACGATTTATGTGTCCACTTTGTTCGAGATACTACGGTTGACATGATCGGTAAATTTGCTTTCCCTACCGCCAGGTCTACTCCATACTTTGCCAAATGCTGAAAGAGTGCTGCTTCGCAGTGCATGGCTGCCTGGACTCATAGGACACAGAAGGGTTACCATATTTATAACTAAAGCTACACACAATTGGACACATGCCCCTAAAAGGATGCGTTGCCGAAACCGCAGATGGCATAACTTCTTTTCCGTGGTGTCAAGCGCATACTAACCTTTAACTGGGCAGAAAGGATTAGTAGTCCTCGGCGCACTAGCGCAAACGTAGCCTGTGCTTTGGTTGAACTGTGTTGTATGGCTACGTGTCGCAGGCGTTGTAGCACTAAAAGCTTGTGGGACCTGAATGCAGCTTGTCTATTTTTAACAGTCTCTGCTCTTGAAGCGATTGCGCGATCAAGCGTAGTAGCTGCTGACTCCAACTCAGAATCGCGAAGTCGGCCCAGCTCTTTTGAAACCTGTATGTTGGGAGTCACATAATCGCAGCATCCTGAAGAGCGGGACAAAAGCCTCAGGAACTCTAAGGGCGTGTCTCTCATCATCTACTTTCCACAGCTGTAGCAACCATGACACCTCAATATCCACACATGCGAAAGGTTTAGGTCTGGTACAGTGCAGCAGTCCACCAAGCTGTTTAGCGTTTTGTAAAACGGAGCACGCTTTGTGGTAATACCTGCATGCCGCATGCTTGCCGATACTAGGCATAACTTTTGGCTGCCCTATAGAAATGTGAGGCTGCCACCAAGCTGGTTGAAGTGTGGCCCACCTCGTCAACAGCTTCATCGATTTGCTGTTGCCGCTTTTTGCGGCCGGTGACTGAAATACTGGCATCTAGTGTGACTTGCAGCTCGTCCAATAAGCTCGAGCATCGAATGGCGTGGATTCGCTCATGCCTGAAGTGAAACAGTGCTTTGACACGCGTTTCCATCCTTGACTGGAGAGACCCCGTGAACAAGTCATATTATCGGCACCTGTTGCTAGGCTGGAAAAGGCCAATCGCCTTGTACCGTTTGTGTATTTGCTCCAGCAGTCGACTTCTTGTAGTTTGCATCGATGCCAGGAGTAGTCGTGTTTCAGTGCCATAGGCGCGGTTGAGAACATCATTTTGTGCCGTAATAACAGTCTGAGGTCATTGCACGTGAGATGAGTACAAGCCACGCAAAGTTGGTCTCGACTATTTCAGAGACAATTAATCCCTATGGGTGACTCTGGTGACACTTACATCATGCATGTGTTCGAATTCTGATTGGTAGTCTGTGTTCCAGGATGTAATTTGTTCTAGTGCCTCTGCCTCCAACGTGGAGATAATATCCTGGGCTTGCCCTGCGGCGACTTGCGTTCGTGAGCGTGCCTCCTGTATCCACCCATTACCCAGCCACAAATAAAGATTACCCCTCAAAACAGACTTCACCCCTAACGTTATATGTAACTTTAAAAGAGTTTTCCGTGCTCTGCGTACGCTAGGCAGTACAGTTTTGCTTTGGAGTTTACATTGGAGCGTTCGAAGCTCACCTTGAGGCTCGATGCTACAGCTGCCCTCAGCACGTTGGCTGGTTCCATTGAATTCATAGCGCTTGTGCTTATCGTAGCCTTCGCATCATTGAAAGCCTTATTTGTTGCTTTGATACAGGTGTTAACTTCACGCTCAATGGCGGCTCCGTATATCTCAAATTGCCGAACGGCCTTGCACATCTGGCTCGTCAAGGGAACAGCGTTGAAAAGCACATATAGGACTCAGTGCAGTGTACTCTTTTTTCTCAATGCGCATTGATTTAATGGTGAGACGAGACCTTGTGCTCGCTATCATCGGTGCATCAGGATGCCTATTGTTCAGCGTACGATGTTGTAAATCCCAACCGTTAGGCGCTCATCGGCCTCATCTTGGTGCATTTTTAGACTGGCCTTGGCCGAGCTCAGCTCCAGCTCTGCGCTGCCAATCATCAGCTGAGTGCGTAAGCAGCAGTAGCATCAACCCGCATGCTGGTAATGTGGAGGAAGCAGGCTCAGTGATGAAACAACAGCGCATTGTAAATTGTTCAACTGATGAGTGGCTGAAACAGAAAGCCCTACACTTACAAATTCTTCGATGTTTGCTAAAATTACTTTCTTCAGTGCACTTTGGGTCTCTTCTTGTATCTGTTTGCCACGCACTCGGAAGGGAAAGGCAATAAATCCACAGCATGCACCAAGGGATATTAGTATCGATGTAGGTCACCGTCCTGTCTCGTGCATCTTTTTCTCACGTCATTGAGAAGGGTCTTCAGTTTTGCTTTGTATAGCTCAGTTACACAAGGCAACTTGTCATCAGCATCCGCCTGCGCTCTTCTAAACTCCTCAAGAAGGCTTTCCACTTGTTCTTCTACTGAGGGCTTGTTAGATGACATTGACGCCTGTCCTTTTTCGTCGAGAGCTGGCAGCAGCATGCTTGAGTGCAAGGAATCTGTCTGTGACCCTATTTCACTTGTACTTTGTAGACAAAGTAGCTGGGTACATTTCTTTTTCAGAGCCATAACCTGTAACACACAGCTAGTGCAACAACCGTGCATCCTATTCGGTTACCCAACAGGAGAGCAAGATTTATTTTCTCAACAGAGAAGCTTTCTACCAAATCCAGCTGACCTCCTCGTGTTCCTTTCCCATCCGTGCTAGATTGTTGATTAGATCAATTCGTTTGAGGCTTAAAAGGCTGAGTAGAGACGAAAGGATATCTTCTCGAAGCTCATCAGCCTCCTTGCTCCACGCCTAGTTATTCACAATGGATTAAACGGAATACGACATCGTGTAACCATAGAACCAAAGTATGTCGGGGCACTTAGATATTTGCATCTGTCGATTTGCTAAAGCTATCTGGTTAACAGCACTCCCAAAACTTCTGTAGACCAACTGTATGCTTTGGTAACGGAACGTGAGTAATGCTTTAGACAGCTGATCCTTGCGGCAGCGCTTCCAAGTACTTGACTAAGTAGGTTTCTTGAGACTAGTGGATAGCTGCTTCTGCCCTCTACCCCTCGCGCATGTGTATCATTGAAGGTGTCCTTTTCTTATCTAGCAAGTCTTACTTCTGAGTTCACAGCTTCCTTTATCTGGTTAACAAGCTCATGCTTCATGGACTTTGTTATTTCGACCAGTTGCGAGAGACCCTCACAACGTTGCGTTCTTATCTGTTCACACTGAGTCTCGGTTTTCTCTTGAATATCTTTTGCTAATATAAGCACTGCGATAAATACACGTGGATCTTGCATATCTAGCCTCTTCGCCAAAGCTTGCCTTGCGCGCAATACCCCAGGGTCCTCCTTCCTTGATACCTTAGCTTGAGTATGGAGCACAAGGTCGGCCATCTCATCAACGGTAGCATCACTGTGCATAAGCAGCTCGCAGTACATCAGACTCCACAACCATGTGAGCACAGCAAACAATGGCTGATACTTACAGCTGGCTGCATGATGAGTTTTATGGCTGGACTAACTTTGCTCTAGGCGGCAACTGGATATTCAAGGCTTTGGAGCATGCTCTAAAGTTTTCAAGACGCTGGTGGGTAAATATCCAGGCTGCCAGAAAGACAAGCACTCCCATCACTCCAATGGCTATAGCGAGTATCGCAGCCATGAACAAGCTGGTAGCTTCTATGTTAGACGGGAGTTGAGCAGCGACGGCAGCCAAGGTCTCAACGGTTCTCAACTGGGGAAGCAATGCATCTTCCCTGCACAGCCTCCTAGCTTCCATAACTCGAAGCACCAAAATTTTGTTCTGGTCAGAATTCAGGCCAAACGTGTACAACCCTGATTCATTGAATGTAAAAAGGAAAAGGATTCTCTGCTCCCCTGCTTGCATTTCGTTGTCGAGGCTCCTGAGAACAGGATAATCGAAATTTTACTTTGTGCAGTCACGATGCCCCTACATTCTTATGAGAGCGCACAGCTGGGTTTGGCAGCATTATCTCACCTGAATGCTCCATAATCGAATTCTTTGTTCGTGTTCAGCAAACTGTTCCGGAGGTACACAGGATAAATAGGGTTGGGGCTCGGGCGAATGTACCAAGCTACAGTGGTACCCAGTGGCAAGCATTGCACTGGATCTGACACACCAAAATAGCCAAAGTCCGAACCCCCTGCAGACGAATGTATATTTATTTCTTCTGCACTCAGCCTGCTTTGGTCCTTCGATACTTGTTGAATTCGCTCATCGATATCATCCACGAGGCTTTGTGGTACGCCGACGAGCCCGTTCATGTTCGCTGCATAATTGGAGCACAACATCATTGTGACAACTGCACAGACAATACCTAGAGGGCAGTAGGCTCATATGTCTTAGTCGACGAAATGACAGCTGCTTCTATTGGATCGCCGAAAACTGCATTGTTGATGGCTTCTTTTTTACAGAAACCGAGCATCCAGGTGAATCGGTACATCAGATATCTTGAAAAGGCTAACCTAGAGTGGTGTCGAAAATCCGGACAGTGCATCCTGTGCGCTCATTGCAGTTGAATGCGCCGCTAGCCAGGCCCCATTGGGATGTTAGTTCATCCAAAGCAAACTCTCTATCGCCGGTGAGGCTTTCAGGATCGTCGAGTACTATCGTCGAATTATTCAGGATCATTTGAGGACGTGCTGCTCTACATGTTTCGTCACACACCTCATCCAGCGATTTTCTGCCGGCGCACATGCACAGGCCTGAAATGCTGCTGAAGCTGCCTCCGCCAGGTCCGCACTGACTGGTGCAAACCTCATCCGGGGTCTTGCACGCCCCTGTAGCGTCACGTGAAGTGTCGTCCCCACATTCGTCGTACAGCTGCATACACAAATAGCCTTATAACTAGCACTTTTGATCAATGGTAGTTGTCTGTGAATCGAATAGAATCAGAACGAGGCAAACTCAGTCTGTGGGACTGTCCATAGCACGTTCCTTGGATGATTATTGCCATACCGTTTGTTGACAAGGCTCAACTCCATCTTGATCACTGAGGTCTTGCTGCCCCTGAATATAATGGAATCCTGATAGGCATACGCATGACCTGTCAGCTGATTGAAACGATCTATTCGTCCCTTTGCAGGAGCAAGACGTTGCTTGTGAATTTGATGTTGCAGTGGCCCCGCAAAGTATGCAGCCTGTCTGGCCCTCCATATTGTTGTAAGTTCCTGACTGCAGCACCGCACATAACCTGTGAGAGTGCAAGACGCTTAATACTCCTCATCACGCAGCTACTCAAATGCCGTACCTCACAGCCTACTAGCAACCAAAAGTTGCGAGCCTTACAGGGCAAGGGAAACAAGAGTCAATACTTGAGGAACCCGCTTGCAGACCATATGTCCCTGAAGGGCATAATACTTCTTTACTAGATCCTGAGGGGCAATATGTCCCAGGTGGACACCTGTAGCCTTTGTCTCTCTCTATGCTTGTTGGCATGCTGCACACATTTGCGCTGGCGGCGATCTTATGGATAGCTGCAGCTTTCCCTCATGCCTAGAAAATGTTTTCCCTTTTTTGATACTTGCCCCAACTCCCCAACAGCGGGCTCTATTTCTTTCACCGGTTCTTATATAGTGACTGGTCATTTGCACTCCTGGTTTGCGTCTTACCTGGCGCTGCAGCCTTCAAGACAAACGTAGCCAGGGGGACATGGCAGGCATTCACTCATCCCTGTTTCATCCGAGTAAGTACCCTTCAAAAATATGGCAAAACAAACGCACTCCTTGTAGCTAATAGTGCGCTTTGTCTTCTGTTCAACTGGCTCTTGCAACGTACAGTACGCTGTCTCAAGGTTGTCACTCTTCTAGTTGTGCAGCCAACGTTGCATTTGTTACCCTCGGGCATATAGTGCATCCCGTATCCAATGAGCTGGTATCGGACCGGTCGACAGAGCCTATATAGCCTGCTGGGCACGGGATAGGAACTGATTTGTCGAGAGGGCAGTAGGAACCAAGGGGGCATGACTGTGGTGCTCCTGAACCTATTGCGCACACTGCTCCAGCAGGACACTTTTGCGCCTCGCCACTTCCAGCAGGACACCAGGTCCCCTGCAAGCACTTTCGTGGGATCGCAGTGCCTGAAGGACAGACATGCCCTGCGGGGCACTGGTACCCAGGCCCTGATGAGCCGTCCGAAGGGCAATAGGTTCCAGCTGCGCATTAAAACATCCACATGTTGATCAGTTAACTGTTTCGTTCGTCACGCATCCGTACAATAAAGAGCACCTCTTCACTAACTCAGCCCTGTATTTGCAAGACTTTTCAGGGATGTTTCTCTGTACTGTAGCATATAAAGACATCTCGATTATCCTATAAGGGTTGACCATATCTGTGATGAACATGTGGTGGGATGCTTTGTGGGCAGACAGCTTGAGTTACAGCGGTGCATCGCAACATTAGACCTTCAAGCTCTTCATCAATTAGCTCCTACTACCAGAAAAAAATTATTTGGACAGTAAGCCCCATAATACGGGAGAGGGCTACTCACCTGAGCATGGCTTACAGCCGCTTTCACTTTTCAAGCCTTGCTCATCTGCGTAAGTTCCTGGTGGACAAGGGATAGGTTGCTGGCTCCCCTCCAAGCAATAATGTCCTGTAGGGCATTGATTTTCTGGTCCAAGCTCACCATTCCCCTCACCAGGACACAGATATCCAGCCAAGCACAGTAAGCATGAAGATGTCCCACTACCTTCCTGGTGAGGGTTATAGGTGCCTCCAAAGCAAGGTCGTGGCTTCGTAGAGCCCAAAGGGCAAAAGTGACCAGCTGGACAGGGCTCAGGAACGAGCGAAAGCAATGGGCAAAAGAACCTGAAAGGTTGTAGTCAGTCAACTAATAAACACCGCGCTTAAGGGGCTGAGTCACCGCTACTCACCATGCCACGCATTCCAATGCACTGCAAAACACAACTACGCACGATATGCCGAGATCATCTACCCAAATAAACAACTTAATGCATGTTCCGAGCTACCACGCATCCTACTTTTAACAGGCTTGGTAACGCCCGCGGAATCCACAGAAAGCCAAATCATCAATGGCGCCCCATTACAACTCACCCTTTGGGGCAGATCGAACAATCAGTCTCCCACCGGCCCATTAAACCTTGCCGCACGCTCCCAACAGGGCACGCAATTGGTTTTGTGGTTCCAGCAGGACAGTAATGCCCTGCTGGGCACGGTATGCCACCATATCCTTCCTCTCCAGTTTCCTGCCAGTTTTCCATTGTCAGCATCGTCATGCTGCCTTGCGAAGCAATTCTGGGCGGCACGTACGGTTCATTGTTCACCTGTTCCATCCACGGGTTAGGCACCCAGTTTCCCAAACCGCAGAAGAACCTGTGTTAGCACAAGTGGTTCGCAGCGAAGCTGCTTCACAAAGCGAATCTGCCTTCCTTGTGAAATGCGTGCAGTGGGTTCGATACTCTAAATGCAAACAGATTGAATGGGACTTTGATAGCTATATCCATGCTGAATACCGTACCCTGCAAGGCATTCCCCAGCAATGATCGCCCCCCTACAATATTTTCCAGCCGGGCATGGAACACAGGTATCGTCAGCGTCAGGCTCTTCACTGGGTATTGAGCCGAGCGGGCACAACATAGGCTGTGCACTGCCCTCCGGGCATATCTGAAGCTCGCACCAACGCCAGAAAGCCACTAACATCGTACTTTCTGGAGACAATTGCTTAGTTCCCACCAAAACATGGCATCAGGAAGTATTAGTAAGGGTAGGTTGGCAGGGTGCATCTCACAGACCTTTCCGGATGGGCATATTTTTGGTTCCTCCCCAGCTGTGTTGCAATAGAATCCTTCTGTGCATACATCACAGGTCTGCTGACCGGCTTTGTCAGTATGTGTGCCTGGAGGGCACGCAGTGGGGTGGGTTGTGCCAGCTTCACAGAACCATCCTTTTGGACAAAGTTCTCCTGTGCTTCCATCGTCCGGTTGTCCAGTTGAGGAGCCTCGATAGCAAACATAACCCGGAAAACACGGCCCAGTAGGAGCTGTGTTTCCCTTCCCAGAGCAATATTTGCCTGCTGGACAGTCCATGCAAGCCTTAGCTCCGGGTTTATCCTGCAGACGAAACCAAGCATATCAGCGTTGAGTCACGAACATTATATACCTACTCAGTAATGCGTGTCTAGTGTAGCTTAGCCACTTTTCAAGAAGCAGCTCATGATCACACGCACGCGACACAAGCGCTTTATGCACACATTCTTGAAGTTAGGGTCTGGTATCAAACCTGGAACTGTCCTTCAGGGCATGGCTCTGGCTCTAGTGCCCCTTCGTTGCAGTAGTGGCCGGGGGGGCAAAGCCCATTTTTCTTGTCCTCAAGCCTGTACACATCTTCGATAAAAAGCGGATGGGTTGCGCCTTCAACGCAGATTACTCCGGCAAAACAGCTTCCAGTGGGCGCTGTTGCCCTATATCCTGAGCAGTATTTGCCCGGCGGGCACGGTTTGCAAGAGGTTTTGCCAATCTCGTCCTGGAGTGTCCCAGGAGTACATGGGTTTGGTATGGATGTTTGTTTGCCACAAAAGTGACCCTTGGGACAAGGTAGGCCGTCCGTTGTAGCTCCTGGACTAGGGCAGTAAGTGCCGCTGCTGCATGGAGTGCAGGACGCTTGGCCTGCAGCGCTAAATGTGCCAGCAGGGCAGAGCTGAGGAGCGCAAAGTTACATTAGTGCCGCATAATCTGTGTACTAAGATTTCAGCTGCATTCATTTCCGGCATGAAGAATGGCACAACCTCGTTTCACGACTTATTTCATGCACTGCTCATATCCAAACGCTATCTTTTGTGAATGTGACACCTTGCCTTTTCGGCAAATGAACCTTCCGGACAGTAAGAGCCCGCTGGGCACTTGTTGCCCATACGCAGTTCTGTAGGTGTACTTGTGGTTGCCCCCTCCAAGCAAACATATCCAGCTGCACACGGGATCTGTACACCTTCACTAACACAAGCGAATCCTGCTGAGCACTGAAAGCACTCGTCAGCAGAAGTGGCTCCTCCGATTTGATAGAACGTTCCTCTGCAAGTACGCCAGTCAAGCAAGCATCTTGTGGCACAATGTCCGGAGGGCGCCAGTGCTGAAAATTATTTTGCAGCCGGAAAAGGCTTTTGACTGCCCATTTTGCTAATGACTGACCCTACTAGGCAGAGAAGAGTTACACCAGAACCACTGTTGGCGACCCTGATACCGATGCCCCTAATATTTTTGCACACCCCCTTAGCGATGCTCAAGTTTAGTCCGCATAGAATTCTTTTATGAGCAGGTGTCCGAACGGCTCAGATAGACTAGAGGTTTTTGATTTCATTGAGAGCCAAACGGTTCGGTATTCTCACCTTGGACATGCAGTAGGTTTCGATGCTCCCTGAGGGCAGTAGTGGTTTGGTGGACACACATCACCAACACTTGACTCCTCTCCTGTGTCTGGATGTATCATGCCAGCCAATGGCGTGGCAGTCCAAGATCCTTCTGTGCAGTAGTAGCCCTGAAGATTGGGAAAAGCATCTTGATCAGGAGAGGGCGGTTTCGAGCACTATGCGCCTACCTTTAACTGTTCTTATGCAAAGCCTAACAGAGTGCCGTAGAAGACAAAGAATGTACTACACACGTAGCTCGAGCCACCGCCCCTGCAAGGGGCATTGACTGGTCTTGTCATACGGAGTACATACAGCTGAACAGTCACCAGTGGATGCGCTCGCTCCTCTTTCAGCGCAGAATTTCCCTTGCTCGCACGGTGCGCAAGAGCTTGTATTTGTTGATGCCTTTACTGTAGATATCCATCCAAGTTTGCAATAATGCGATGTGGCTCGCGTCGAGCCCCTAGGGCATATGTAGCCCACTGGGCACTCTTTAGGTGTAGTAAGACCGAATTCGTCGCAGTAGTAGCCATCGGGACATACCACGCAGCTCGCTGCTCCGGTATCTGGCTGATATGTTCCTGGTTGGCACTGCTGCTGTGCTACGGGGCCTTTGGAAGCAGAAACACTCGCAAAGATTATCAAACTTCTCAGCTCTTTGAGGCGCCATCGACAATTGCGCAAGGGCTGAAAAGCAATTGATCCATGCCGTTATTCCAAAAGTGCTCCGGGGCTGAGGTGTACTACTGCTTGCTAGCTATAAGGATAACTTCAAAACTGTATCTCAAGTCAAACTGAGTTAATTATGCTATCTAATAGGCTGACCTCTGGTATCCCGAGTTGTAAGCTCAACACGCACAAGGCCAGATGAATTTCTGTGATGAAAGCGCAGAACGATTGATTGTACATGTGTCATCGCCTCAGCGCTGCTTTCTACATTGATGGCGTAGTGGCTTGCATTTGGTAGAGATAGGCTTCCTTTCCCCTTTTGATGCATATTGGTCACGGGCCATGTGGATTCCTTGGATTCGACATTTCTCCCGCAGAAACTGGAGCAACTGCCCTTTTGCCTTAATTCAGCTCCAATAAAGGACTGCATTGAGTAGAAATAGTATTATAAAATGCCCTCTACTGCTTATCACAGGTGAAGAGACCCAGATGGATCACGTCAAGAAAGGGCCTGTTGCAGTTTTCAAAAAGGATATCTGCTAAACGAAGTCAGCACCATCCCCTAAAAAGGGTTTGCACTTTGGTATAATACTAAAGCAAGATAAAAGGTCTGCGTAAGAGGGTGAGTAGAGGCCCTATCCCACCGTATTCGTTTGATCCCCCTGCGCTTCAATGCGAATGTTGACGAGGTCCATAGGATTTTCGAGCTCTATCACGAGTAAATCCTCTTCCTTCGTGTCTCCATCCAATTTATTGAGGCACGCTTCAGCTCTACAGCACGTAGTAGTGGTACCACTTCTAAACCACCCAGATGTGAGTGTTCTTGCTCTCGCAGACACCTCCAAATCCGTTTTAGCCTCCAGGAAGCGTAATAGCGTTCCAGTAGTGGGCAACGGAGCAGAAATGCTAACAGCACCTGTAGGAGGCACCATACATCAGAGCTGTAGAGGCCTAAAAGCATATCCAACACCTTGAGCAGCCAGCACCCCAAGCAAAGTCCTTGGGGTCTTACCAAGTGGGCATAGACTGCCTTATGCAAAATTACATTGGGGTGCTTGCTGTACCAGCATGTGCTTTGCAGAAGTGGCCAGCAGTGCACTCCTCCTGCGTGGGTGAATTCGATCCTCGAGGACAGTAATATCCCTCATAGCAAGCTCCTTGTGGTTCGCTGAGTCCTTCTTCGGCGCAGTACATTCCATAAGGACACTTTATGCATTCAGACTCCGAAGCCGCTCCAGTGTATGGTAGATATGTTCCTGCAGGAAAAAAGCCTTTGTGCCACATAAATGACTACGTGACGTCATCGGCCCAAAAAATCGAAGCGTTTTTCACGCTGTGTAAGCCTGATTCAGTACTATTCTGTTTGAGCCCGGGGACCTGCTGGCACAACGGAGGCTACCACTGTTAGCCGCATCTTGGTCCTACCAGCAGGACATGGGATATCAACGGTCGGATCTAGCGAGTAAAGATCTGTCTCTATCTCGATTCGGCGAACTCGGTGCATATAACTATCAGCGAAGAGAACTCCTGTTTGCTTCTGTTCTGCCTATCACAACGCATAGCAGCAACTGTCGAAAATGAACAACACAGTAGATCAAGATCTGTGCTTTACTACACACTGATACATATTTAGCCATTTGTCACGCTTTTTTATCCTTACCCCGTAGAAAGTACTGACGCCGTGGAATGCCATGTGCAGTCCTGTAGCTGCAATACTCTTTGCTGCTTTCTCAACTACAGCAGATTCCCAAGAAGAGTAATCCACTAACGTAGACATGGTTTCTGCGTCAAGATCAACCTCTCGAAGGCTGCACGACAAAAGAAGTTTGTAACTTTTAAACAAGCCGGCAATTTATCAAGAAGGATGCGGATACGTGCAATAATAAGGAGGCTAGGCCCAGCTCGTTAGACTGCAAGAAGACGCATGTCTTGTATCAGTGTTACTTACGCTCTAGCCCCAGCATCAGAGACCACCAGCACTTGTTTGTCCTGCACACAGCATAGGGGATGCTATTACGCATCCAGCTTTGCCTTGTGTTTTACTGTGACATCGGCTATAGATCGAAATACATTACTTGTGCCCTTCACCTGGCCGCCTTACCTTCCGGAGAGCAAGTGCTGCAGATACTGGCAGCTCGAAGTATGCGTATGAAGCTCGGACGCTAGTGCCAGTACTGCTACTGAGCATAGAAGCATGGGTGTTCGGCAATGCGGCAGTCAAATCAGCATCTGATACCGTTCCAACAGCATCAGATGACTGTTTGAGGAGGCTCCTCCCAATCGACTTAAGCAGCTGATTACTCGTCATGTCCATCCGCAGCACCTGAAAGCAGTAATATGGGGCAGAAGCAGGGACGTTTCCCTTGCTAAAGGTGCTGCCCGCTAAGGGAATATAACTACACTGTATGCAGTGCGAAAAGCCTACATAGGACTAGTCACTCGTCCCAAGCAAAGAAGCACAGTAAGGCTATCTCAGCTTACTCGCTTGTTGCCTGAATCCACAACATAAAGCTGCTGTTTGTCTACGACCACCCCAGATGGTAAATTAAGCTGGATAGTGTCGGGAGGCGTCTCAACTCCGTTCTCCCCTAAGGCCTCACAGCGCACCGTTGCATGGTGTAACTGCCATGTCACAAAGCCATGCACCGATGAAAAAGGCTTGTGGTCATTTTTTATGCTACCAAATATACTGACCTGCTGTGCCTGTCCCGATGATGCGTGTGATGCCATCAGTGCCGAACGTATGTCTCACAACACTGTGATTTCCACTGTCGGCAATATATAAGTTAGTGCAGTCCTCATCAAGCGCCAAGCCTAGTGGATTCGCAAGGCTTGCACCAATATTCTCCAGTGGCTTTAGCGCTTTGGATGCCACATCGTACTCCACAATAGCGTTTCGACCTGACAAAAGGAAGTCAGGAGCATAATTTATTGCAGATGGAATAGTTCAATTGGCGCACAGTGCCTCTCGCCCTATACAGGCAAACACAGCGATTCAGGTCGAGCGAAATTTTTGAATACGAACCGGGGTAGGAAATGTACAATTTTCTCGTATTTGTGCAGAAAGCAAGACCGACAGGTCCAGCTGTCCGAATCCAGCTCAGGGATCCCGTTGCAGTGGCTGCCGACACCACGGTATCCATTGTACCTGGGAAGGCATATCTGGAAATTAGTAGATACCTGTACCCTACGGCAATAAGCTTTGCAAAAATCGTTCGGGCTACAACTGTGAAGGGTCTCTCCATCCACATGCCTTTAACGCGGGCTCTCATTGCATTGCACTTGACCCCATACCTGTATCGCCGTAAACCACCCTCACAGCGAAATTGCTGTAATCCGAAATATATACGTCGTGACTAGCCAAGTCCACAACAGCGTATGCAGGCAGCATCAGGGTCGCTTGCGGACCAGGGAGTCCGTCACCACCAGTGCCAGGGAATCCTGTCCCTGCCACCAAGGGAGACGCCGCTGTGATGAGTCCACAACAGTTGCCGCAGTATGCACAGTGTTTTAGATAGGAAGCACTGAGCATGACGCCTGCATGTATTGTCAGGCAGACAGCTACTTATGCGTAAAGACTTCGGCATATGGGTAACAGCCTACACCCAGTGCGGAGGATAGGAGCTTTTATCTTACGTCGAGGGCAGTAGTGGCCTTTCCGGCAAGGCCGTCCAGCCATTTGTTCTTCGCATGCACTCCCATTTTGCGCCTCAGTCGGCCTGGGAGTAGTGGATCGTGAAATGCAAATAAATCCACCACTGCACGGACCCGATGGTTCCGCAAGCTTTACGGTGTTGCAATAGTGATTTGGAGGGCAATCTTGTGGTTCCGCCGATCCAGGTGGGCATATTTCTCCATGCTTACAAAAGGTAATAGGCTCCTTCCATGAGGTACCGGGAGGACAATAATAACCTGAACACGCACAAAGAGTGAACCTGGAGGGATAAATACAATAGTATAGAGGCACAGCTGCATGTAGGGTGCCCTGGAAAGTCTGTCCGCCTCCACCTTTGTTCACAAGGCTCACCACCCGTGCATTTTGCTGTAGGTGTGGTGAGTCCTGGAGAGTCGCAGTAAAAGCCTTCCTCGCAGGGAATGCAAATCGAGGAACTCTCGCCGGACGCCTGGGAATAGGTGCCCACAGGGCATGGGAATGAAGTGGAGACGATGGTCCCGGCTGGGCATGTAAATCCTGCGGGGCACCTAGTTCCATTTACAGTTCCCCCGCTACATATCTCTCCTGATGAACCGCATGCAAAAGCCCCGTTAAAACCTTCGACAGGGATACGAGCAAGCATAAATACTCTTTAGAACCCCTCGTGTTTTGAAACTGCCTTCAAGGAGGAAGTTGAGCGGTAGACTCTGTGGTCTCCTGGCTGTGCGTACAAGTTTTTCCAGTGTTCTGTATTGTCATAAGGATTGACAGCATGCTTTTCTAAGCTGGAAGGAGCTCTACTTGAGCCTTACCAGCAACGCATTCCATGCATGTTGCTTGCCCCAAAGACGGCTGCTTCGTGCCGGGAGGGCATGGTATAGCAGTGGGGCTTCCTTCTGGGCACATGTGGCCTGCTTTGCATTCCTCAGCATCGTGTGCGCTCTGTGTTCCTGCTTGGCAAAACCTTCCTGTTCTCAGAGATTCCGATACGCATGAGTCTGGCTATTTTAGTTAAAAGTTTTGCGAAAGTGTTGCCGCAGAAAGGCTCTCCAACTGCAGACCAACTTTCAAACGTATCTGGATGTGGTCCGTCTACCTACGCAGTTTTTCAACAGCTTTACTTTCACAAAGGGAAAACGGCATCAACCTTTCTAATAGTATGCATACCTGCTGGACAAAGGCCACTTGGCTTAGAGAGCCCTTGCATGTCACAGTAAAAGCCTGGTGGGCAAGGCAAGCAATCGGCTTCTGCTGATCCCCCACTGGACACAACAGTTTCCCCACATAGCACTCGTGTTACTTTGCACATGCGCTCATATGCATGCCCCCTGTTTTTAGGTTGTGTCAGTTCACTACTCACAGGCCACTGATTATTGTTCCCACTGGGCAAGGGTTGGGCGCGCTCGTTTCAACCAGGCAATAGTGACCTGATGGACACAAACCCGAGGCGGGATGCGGGCTTCTTGCACCTGCAGCGCATATGTTCAACAAAAGTACAATTATTCACTGGTGTCCATCCATGTTCCACATTCCCTTGATGTGCCCATGCCTCCCCTATTGGATCAGGCTTTTAAGGCACTCTACGTACCCTCTGGACATAGGTATCCTGCGGTGCATTGCCCAGAAGGCACTTCGAGGGCGTAAGCAGCGCAAAATTTCCCGCTAGGGCATGGCTGTGGTTGTGCTGATCCTGGTGGACAGTACGTCCCCGGCTGGCACACCCCTCCGATAGTGCAGTGTTTTGGGTAAAACAAGTTGAACTTTTGGTCCCCTTCCTTGCTATAGGTTCCACACCTGCAAAAAGATTTCTGTCTCCAAACACTCTCTTTCATCAGCCAGACAATGGAGCTGCTGCTAGTAAATATACTGGAAAGCAGTCGCTCGCAGTACAGGATCATTTCTGTCACGTGCAAAGGCGCAACGTTCTGTCGTACTGACTTTCTAGCCACTGTGTAATGGTCGCCCATACATACGGTGCCTAAACTTTCCGCGATTTTTGTAGCTAAACTATATAGCAATTAAGTCTACCTAATCAAAAGCGTCGCAGGTTCTGGTGCGGATCCAGATGTTATTCCTGTCTAACCTGAGGAAAAAGGCCCCATCCGGAGTCTCGACTATTCCTTGGCACTGGTCATTATTAAGGCATTGTAACTGGGCCTCGACAAATGTTTCTATCGAGCCTTCGAATCCTGTGCATGGTGTCGATTGCCCCCCAAAAACTGCTGCGAGCAATCTGCAGCCTGATTACAAACAGATTCATGACTACTTCCCCCATTTTCTGTGGAGGTTACAAGGCACTTAAATAAGGGCTCTCAGTAAGATTCTGCACAAATTTTCAGCTATTTATTATAGCATCTTGCTACCGGGAACTGGTTTGGAAGATATCGCGCCACTAGAGCTATAGTATCCGCCGTCGATCTGTCCACTTTTGGTAGCAGCGCCTGGCCCTGTGCAGTATCCGCCTGCTGGGCACGGCTGGCAGGCGTCTAGTGAGTGAGCACCGCTTTCTTGATTCATCATCCCTGAAGATTCAAACAGCATTTTAAGTGCGACTAGAATACAGTAAGCTGTCCGGGTACAACTAAAAATGTAGGAGTGAATCGTGACTCAAAGTTTCTGCTCTTGGCGGGGAGGGACCTAAGTAGACCAAGGCAGCACTCCTTCTTTAGGACCAAGACTGGCGGGACTCCCACGAGGTATCAGACATCAACATTTCAGGAGCTGCCACTCGCAACGTCACGGCAAAAAGACGAACCTTGTGGACAGGGATTTTCCTTCTCATACCCAGTACCTGCTGGACAGAAAAAGCCACTAGGGCACTTTTTACTCTCCTCTGGGACTACAGTGACATCGGAGCAGTAATATCCGGCAGGGCATTCCTGGCATTGAGCGCTTCCTTCAGAAGCTGCATATGTCCCCTACATAGCGCAGACATTATCGCATGGTTTGGTAGTTTAGGTTCTATAGATTTTTAATCGTCACTAGCCGTTGCCGAAGTTTGCTGAGTTCACTTACGGGTCTGCAAGGAGAGGGTTCTGCAGATTTTTCAGGGCATTCGTGGCCTATTTTGCACGGAATTGCTTGTTGGCCTGTTCCTCACATAATTTAATAGAGAGTCATCCACACTTCAAGCAAAGGCAACTAGTCTACAGAGTTTCAATCTGGTGGTAAGTAGTCCAATAAATCAACAGCTCCGCGGAGCCTTGCCAAGAATTGCGTGCTTATCAGGCAGAGCTCCTTACCTGCTGGACAGTAGTGTCCAGGAGGGCACGGTCCCTGCGGAGCAGCTAGACCTTCAATAAAACACTTCCTGAACCGCAGCAGGAGAGAAAACCAGAGTGTAGTTGTCATGGCTGCCTGAAGAGTGTTGTAGGTTGGTGGACCCTGCGCCATGGATCGTGAGAGCGGGCAGCAATTCTCACATTCCTGGATTGCAAGGAAGGCATGCAGCTTCACTTTGTGCCTGCTGTGAACCAAGATAGGTCCCTTTTGGGCATGGAGAAGGTTCTCGGCTACCAGCTGGACAGTAGTGTCCTGCTGGGCACACCTGGTTACCCCCATTTTGGGCCTGAAAAAAAACACTTACGAAGCTTGTGTTAAACAAAGCGCAAAGCCCACACACTACTACTATATTGCCTGCTTTTGTCTGGCCCCTTTCCGCGGTAGAGCTACAAGCACAAAACTTTGGCGGCATATACAAAGTTACTTGTGGAGCAGATGAGGCGCTTCCTCCGCCGCAGTAAAATCCAGCTTGGCAGGCTCCAGATGGAGCCATAAGGCCTTTCGCTCCACAATATTTTCCTTCAGAGCAAGGAGAGCAATCCGAACTGACTTGCGAGCCCTCTTTGCTGGAATAGGTTCCTGCAGGGCAAAGTTCAGGGGCTACAGACCCCTCTGGACAATATGATGATTTTGGGCACACCGTCCCATCAGTCATTCCCTGAGTAGAAATGCACGTGCGCCTACAAGACACGCAGTATACGCTTGTACGTGCAACGCTATTGTCAACCTTCAATCACTACATATACAGCCTTTTTTGGACTATTCGCATGATTGCCAGCATTCTAGGCTAAGCTCTTTCACGTGCTTCTGCCCAGTTTAGCTACACGACATGCATAATAGTAATGCAGCTACCCTGGTGTCACATGTACGATATGTCGGGTAGACATCTACTTCGAAGCAGCGCCATACTTGCGGCCGCCGTATTCATGGCTGATGCTACATGCAATCATTCACTGCTCTTGAGAAATACGGAGATTCTACATGGCAGCATGGTGTTTGTATGTGTTCCTCAATGACCTACAATCCTCTGACAGTACTTTCCAGCAGGACATGCACGACAGCTGGCCTGGCCCTGAGCGCTTTGAAATGTCCCTGGGTAGCAGAGGATCGGACTGCTACTGCGCATTGGAGCAAACGAGCCCTGTGGTGCGGGATAGGCTTGGTCGTTCGCTGACCCTTCTTTACAGTAGTAACCTTCTCTGCATGGTCCCGTAATACCTCCATCAGTCACTGCACTGCCGCTACAATATGAGCCGAAAGGGCAATGCAAGCAAGCAGCGGCAGATGTAGCACCATATCTAGGATTGTAAAACCCAGGTGAGCATGGAGTGACTTCTGTTGCGCCAGCCAGGCAGTAGCCTCCGGGAGGGCACATATCTCCTGCGAAGCACACATGTAATGGTTCTCTAACGCCACTGGCTGGCAATATGAGGCATAAACCTTGCGAGCACGATTTATTTGACAATCTTGAAGCCGGTGGCATTGCATTCCAAATGTCGGGAATGCAACTCATCAGAGCACATATTTTGTTACACAAAGTGCAGGCGTAATTTCTACAAATGAGCACTAATATTCTCACCTGTCTTGCCGTCTGTAGGTGTAGGTGTTTCTGCCATGCCGTAGCATATAAAACCGGGTTCGCAATTGCCGGACGGAGTTGCCAAGCTGGCAATACTGCAGAATTTCCCCGCTGGGCACGGGGTGCACTGGTCCTTTGAAACGAGTCCGACTTCATTGCTGAAAGTAGGCATGAACAGTGATGTCGAGAAATCTTATAGCAACACCTTGTGCGCAATAATGGAATTCTCTCATTCAACCACAGTTGCTTCCAGGTCAATATAGCAGCATAATTCTATAGTCTACCTAAACGTCCCAACAGGGCAAGCAAAAACTTTTGACGAGCCCGAAGGGCAGTAGTACGAGGCTGGGCAGGGCAGGGGCTCTGCGGTTCCACTGCTACTGCAGTCTTTTCCTCCAGGACACTCGAGGCAGTCTTCAATCGATGCTCCTCCATCATTGGGATTGTATGTTCTGTAGCGATGGGCCACGCACACTCGCAGAAACAGTTGAGTTGAAGTTGAGTATTACGTTCAGGCACTTGGGGTTGTTCGCCATCGGATGAAGCAACTGTGTGAACTGCGACACCATTGCAACAATGCCACCTTCCAGCAAGCCAAGTGCACAGCGCACTTGTCGCAGTTCATGTAAATTGTTTATGTATATAGCTGCTTCAAAGCACTACAGCAACACCACACTTACCCCGGGGGGCATGCTACGGCCATGGAAGTCGTCGACCTCTCAGGACAATAGTACCCCTGTGCAGACGGTAAGAAAACACTTCAGTGCAAACCCATTAGTACCACATACCCAGGAGTAGCGGCAAGCCCTGAACTAAATCATTGACCTGAAGTAGGTCAGTAAAAGCTCCTTCTGGCAAAAACCTTAATATATGCCTTTATCATGGGAGAGCGAACCTTGGAACATCGCCCGCTTCCCTCCTCCTTCGTCTCTCCTTCGTACGAAAAAGACCCCGCTTGAACGGGCATGCATTCTGACATGGAAGCGAGTCCTGTTTTATTGCTCCACGTCCCCGGTGGACAAGGTATACCTAGGCGGGAGGCTGTCCCCAATGGGCAATAGGTTCCTGCTGGGCACTTTGTCAACGGCCTCTCTGCGAGCGCATTCATAATCCCTTTTATCACACATTCATGCCATCTCCTGATAGGTAAGCTTTCTTTGCAGCTTCAGCTTATCATACAAGGCGATAGGAATGGCCACTGCCGCAGAACATTTAGGAAAGAGCAAATTTTCATGTTGTTTGTAGCTTTGTGTAAGGAGTCCATGCAACAGATCTGTCTAGCATCTGAAGACATGCTTCATAGAGAGCAGTGCTTTCAATACAATGCACACGACATTTCAAGAGCGTACCAAGTCCGGTAGTATGGCAAGTAAACCCAGCGGTACAAGGCTTTAGTGACGATGCCGTCATTCCTACACTATCGCAGTAGTAGCCCTGCAGCGCTCCGAAGTGAATGGCAATGCAGTACCCGTGGCTGTACCCTGGTTTTTCAGAAGCTTTTGTTTTTGTTAGTGCTATGCAAATGAAGCGGCACGGGCGTTTGTCGAAGATCCCATGATTTTAGCTGTCAACCTCTACAACAGGCCATGACAATAGCCCCTCTGTGAATAATTTGAGGATAGAAACTAAATTAGCATATTTGGCTCTTGCCTCTGCTACGTGCTAGTGTATTTCAATGAGACATTTGAGGCCAGCTTTACCTGTGGGCAAGCAACACATCCCCGTGACTCTTTTTCCGGCATATACGCTCCGTAGTAGCCAGTGGGGCAGAGAGTAGGTGTACCGTTTGAGCAAGTGTATCCCAAGGGGCAAATTACGCATTCTCCATTGCCGGCATCACTGTAGTACCAGCCTGTTGGCATTGGCCGTAGTGGCACATTCAACTTACGTGCAAGGATATAGTGAGAACATAAGCAAGTAAGGTTTAGATGCCACCCGGTGTCCGGCTCCCTAACACGATTACCACCTCCAGCTGTAATTTTTCACAGTATGAGTACGTTGTGGCGTATTCTATCACAAAACTTCTGCTTCAAGCTAACGATGTGGAAACATGCCCCATACAATTCCCTACTTACGGAATTTCGACACACCGTCCAATTTTGTGACAGAGGATTGTACTGGCATACCTTTTGGGCATGTATATGTCTTTGTTGATCCTTCCGGGCAAATTCTATTTCCGGGGCACGATACGCAGTCATTTAAAATCTGATGGGCGCAATTGTTTCACGGCAAAGGATAGAGCGTCCGCATCTTGTTGTAATGCACCAAGCAACAATGACCAATGCATATATTTTCCTTCGCATGTGTTCTCAGATGTTATAACACATTTGCTGCTAGAGTGCACGGGATGTACGAGCTTGACCAATGTTTTGTACTGACTCCACTAATAAGGGTCGAATAGGTCTTCCTTGGGCATGGTATAGGCTCCGTACTCCCAGGGGGACAGTAGTTTCCAAAGCCGCATAGGTTGGCAATGAGCGTTCCAGGAGAAGACCAATACCCCGGAAGAACACTCACACATACTGATTTTGAGGTTGCGTTTAGAATGGCTGAAAAGGTGCCCGCTGGGCAAGGATGGAGATATGCATTCCACGACCCTGGAGGACACAGCCAGTGTGAAGAGTGAGCCTCTCAGACACCGAAAAGAATTGGGCTACCAGTACAAGGGCGCTCTCAACAACGAGTACTGCTAATATTTCTTCCATCAATTGATGCAGGTCAGAGGCAAGCATCCTTCGGCGGGTGTTCGGCTACACTTTAAAATTCATTACCTTCAGGGCAATAGTATCCTGCCGGGCATCCAACTTTCGAAGTTACTGTGCATGCCTGGCATGAAAAGCATAATTCCAGTTTTTCTATCTACCAACCACTATATACAATGTGGCCGCACACATGTAGCTTAGCAACAAAGTGATTTGCTATGGTGAAGAATGTTATTCCAACAGTTTGACGCACAAACCCCGCTGTGCACAAGCTGCACTCTGAGTAACTCTCCAGCGTATCGCCATGGCCTTCAGTTGCAGGGGGGCAGCTAAATTTTGATTTGGTCGAGGTCCCTCGAGGACAGAAGAATCCGTGCCCGCACCTGCGGACTCGGAACAATTTTAACGGCAGAACTGGTTAACGGAAAGCAATCACACCTATTCGAGTGGCCTGTGATATTCTTTGTTAGCGATTCGCTCCTTCAGAATCATCACTCCTACCCTACCCAGCCCTCAATTATAATGTGACTGGATTCCCCATCACATACTTCTCACGCACTTCTCTGCTTTTGTGGGGACCGGTCCACCAGGGCAGGCATATCCGGCAGGGCAGCTCAAACAGCTGGCGTAGGACTCCATGCTAAACAAGCCAGTGCCATCATTAAGATTATCAGGGTGCGTACTTCCGTCGGGGCAAGTGTCCGTGTTTGTGAACATCCTTTCCTTTTTTTGCACGACGAACTCCCCAGGTTGCCGGGAACACATATCGAGCCTCTCAACTGTATATCGCAGCGTAGAGAAGGCATACGTCTCAAGAAGTGGTGTTATTGCACATATTGGTATTCGAAATCCAACCAAAAATAGCACCATTGTAATTTCGTGTGGTTGTCCAACTTACTTGGGAATGAGCCAGGTGTAGTAGAATAACGACAAGGTAAAGGGCCCACCCCTGTAATGCAATAATAGCCGGTTGGGCAAGCGATGCAGTTGACTTGCCCAGAACCCCGGGTATAAGTACCAGACATGCAGACATCGCATTCTGTTGCTGTTGACCCCAGGTTAGGCTGGACAGTATCTGGTCAAAATGAAGAAACAAACACAATGCGCTCCGTGGAATATTCGTCCATTTGTTATGTCTACATTAAAGCTTTCACATTGGTAAAACGCTGTATCCAAGCAGAACTTACGGGACAAAGCCCAAAATTTACATCTGCTAAAGCAGCTAGTGCTGCCTCTCAAGGCAAAAAGCAGCATTTCTGTATTTATGTGGCATATGCGTGCAGTTGTAATGCGTATCCTTTCAGTAAAACATGCTTACTAACGGGACACGGGACAGCATCTGGAATGCAAACGTGGCCTTTAGGGCAGCTCCTTGCCACCGTTCTTGTATACTCCCCTCCGTTATCCGTCCGCTCGCAAGTATACCCAGCAGGACAAGGGGAACAGCTCTGTACGCTAGTTGCTCCAGCCACTAATCCCAGAGTGCCATTTGGGCAGGGATGTGCACTTGTATCATGGTCAGACCGGTAGTATCTGAGCACGCAGGGGAATTGGATTCCAAGCAAAGCATTACCCAAGAATGTGCTTCTTGTACTCCGAACACAAGGAGCAGGCACGGGATTAAGGTCACACTGTAGGAATTTCAAACGTTGAAAATAACAAAGCACAATGCTCCCATTTACTTACCCGACCGGAACTAGCTCGCCCTCATCCGGAGCGTCTGCACCGCCTTTGCACAAATAACCGCCTTTGCATAGTCGGCAGAGTCCGTCCCCTAATCTGGCATAGTGGAAGTCCGGGCATCTCTCCACTGCACCTTTACTGCAGGAGTGGCCTGCAGAAAAATTGCATTATGGGGTAGTAAGCATGTGCACTCGTAACCGGCCTTATTTGTGCGCATTCACATGGCAATGTTTAAGTCATAGTCGTGTAACTGTAACCTTAGAATCGCTATGCATGTGACCACTGGTGGTAGTGCCCTGCAATATGCATGAGCGGTGGGAGACCTCGGTGCTTAAAATATTGAGTTTATGCCGAGATCAAATGCGAATTGCGCAATGCAATTTATTGAGCTATTAGCCCGCCCTGCAGAGTGCAAACATCTAGTTAGATGCTGTACCTGCGGGGCACGGGACGCATTCCGTTGGGTTATCAGGTAGAGCTACAGTAAAGGGGACGAAACAATGCTCCCTGGTGGAAGATGTAGGACATGCGACTGGTCCACCACACGGCACACAGTCTGCCTCACCCTGAGTACCACATGCATTTCACTCATACAAGAAGACTGACGACGAGTCGAGGCTTGCAAGAATACGGTTACTGGAGTAGGGTACGAAGAACTAGCTGGCGCCGGCGCTCTCCTGCGGGCTTCTCCTTACTTCACTTGAGTGATACCCCACACTGCAGGGGAGCAGTAGTTCCACATCCATTTGCTCAATGAAGGAATGAGAGTCCAAGTTTTCTTCTCTTCTGTTCAACGTAAAGCTATCTCCGCTACCCTCACCTTCCATGTATGCGACTTCAAGCAAATCATCAGGTGTACGCCATTGTGGGCTTGCGCATGCAAATCCAGCAGGACAGGGCCGGCATGTTTCTTCCCCTTTCAAACTGTAAGATCCTTTCGGGCAAGGCTGTTACCGCGCAAGGCACATCGCTCTGACTGCAATTGTATGCACGCAGCTAACCCCTGTGTGAGACGGTAGTAAATATACATGGATGTGCTCCCTAAAGTATCAGGATACAATCACGAAGTGACAGCTGTGCATGGCGCGGATTGGTTGCATACCACATCCCATTGGTTTTATCGATCCTCTGAACAGGTTCAGGACATTGCGCTCGCTAAAGGATACTGCGTGGCTAATACTAGTGCACACTAGAAATTTCGGAACCGCTTTATCTGACCTCTATGTCCACAGCTCGAGTAGTCTTGCACATAAAGCCCGCGGGGCAGGCTGAACATTCACTAGCTTCTATTCCACTAATATAGCCCGGCAAGCAAGGTTCCGGTGGCCTTGCCCCTCCAACGCAGTAAAATCCCTCGGGGCAGGGCAGAGCGACAGTAGAGCTGTCAGCCACATCTTCCCCGGCTTGCGTTATACCGTGGTAGAAGCCTGATTTCAGCTGTCTTGGGACCGCCGTTCCCTCAGGGCATATGAATCCTAGAGAAAATGAGCAGCGATACCCAAGCCGTCACTTCCCTCCACTGACACCATGCCAAATACGCCAAGCAGGTGTCACGTATTATTGAGAAGCTGTATTGTCTACGTGTCGCTTACCTCTTGGACATGGAAAACATGCCACAAGTCCGCCAAGGGACATATAGTCCGTAGGGCATCGTTTAGGAGGCTCTCTTGGATCTGGGCATTCATGGCCAGGCGGGCAGGATAAGCACTCAGCAGTTTGATTGCCAGCACTGCAACATCAGAGCAAGGACCACGGTCAGCAGTGTGCTTCTTCATATTTACTCAGCTCAATAAGGTCTCACGCGCATTCAGAGCCTCCAAGAGTTTTGTTGCAATGCCATGCAGGCTTGCTTACCGGAAGTACTGCCCCCCCACACAAGGAACAATCGATATTCGTGCTGGATGTTCATGCACAGTCCACGCTTCATGTTGTATGGGAAGCCGGCTGACTGCCAGGGGTATTACAAAACCGCGGCTAGCCAAACCACGCCTGTGGTCTACACTGTCGCCCTCTGAGCAAAAACCAGCAAAGCATAAACCTCCCCAGAAATGGCCTGTACTAAGAGACTACTTTGTAGTAGTTCCCATCTTTCCAACGATAATTGTTGTACTCCTGGCTAAGCATACTAGTTGATAGCATGCATTTCAAGCAGCGCAGCTTTTTGTGTTGTGTAGTATGCATTAGCTCTACCTGTGTTGTAGTTTTTATCTTTTGAAAAGGCTTTTAAAATGCACACAGTCTGGAATATTGCACTATCTGCCTCTGAGCAAGATATCACAAAATGCATGTGCCACTCTGTCCAGTCGTCCACATTTGATAATCCCGGGGCTTTTACGGTCCGTCTGGGCAAATTTAACGGGGGAGGTCATTTAGTGCTAAAACATCTTTGAGGGCGCCGTGCAACTGCATGCGTACGGTGGTCACCCAAGACGCCAATAGACTCATCTATGCCGTTCTGGAGCTGGAGAGTAAAGCTGCGTTGCGTCCGCCATTCAGTTGGTGCCACCGTGACCCTCCTCAGTTCGTTGCTGACACTGGAATCCACGTGTGTCGATGTATTGTCACGAGTAAGCGATTTTTGATCCTGTGACGTAACTTCCATGCCCTCGCACAGCAGCTCTAGGCGGACGTCAGCAAGTGGCCGGGATCTTAATCGAAATGCCAGTTTGAGCTCATCTTTTTCAATGAGTTCATGTGTACTGGTATGCCACTCCACCTGTAAAACAGTCCACTTGGCCACGCACTGTACCTTCTTCCTTTGCTCGTGGATGCAATATATTTATTCTCCCGAAGAGCTTCCTGTAATTTGCACAAATTTAAGGTTGCTGCTGATTGTGTATGTAGAGACAATGAAGACGTACCCCTGCAATGTCATCATCCCATACCGAAAAGGTCACTTCAGCTCCACCCCTCATACGCCAGTAATTGAGGGCTTCAGTGCTGAAGAGCTCATGCCGTAGCAGCACCGTTCGAAGGGCACTGCCAGTTACACTCCCCTTCAGTAAAAATTCGTTCTGCATAGAGAGTGGCAAGAAGGACAGCTAAGCAACACTTCTAGAACAGGTGAAACCTTGCCATATATGCAAGTGATTTACGATCACTGGTGAAAAGGACAGTAACCAATGCATATTTTTGATCAATTCTGCTCTAGTGAGACGGAATGAAGGAAGTGAAGGGGCTGATGCCAATTTTTATATGCAGTAAAGTGCTGGGATGCCTACCTCAGCCGGAGCAAAGTCGTCCTGGTCAACCTTTAAAACGACTGTTTGCTCTTCTTGCCAGTTGCCCGCACTAAAGTGCAATGTCTCTGGTTGCACAGAATATTGTGCACCTTGATCGCCAATAATGCGGACAGTCACCACTTCGCTTTGTAGGGGAGGCACAGAAAGGCGAAGTGTGTATGTGATCTGCAGCAAACTTGCATTTGGTATCTGGTTGATGGAGCGAGAGGCGCGACCCGCGGACCTATGTCTCGGAATCTTGTCCAGCAAATTGAAAGTAATGGCTTTAAGATGCTACGGTCGCAAGCCTTGCTTACCTCTTCTCCCTCCCGAACAAGTTGCTGCTTGGGGAAGGATGCCAAAACCTCATACATGTCGCTATCCTTAGTATACACTGTAACATTCTTAGGCCCAGAATTGTGTATTAAGCCGGTTCCACGTAAAAGCGCCGGAGAGGGGATATCAAATACCACAGCTTCTGAGTTCCAAGATGGGTCATCAGAAAATACATCGAATGTGATGGAGAAGGCAGCAATAAATATACCAGCTAGGGGCTGAGAAAGGCCTTCACTGCCTACAACCACTCCAGGACTCCAAGGCTGCAAAGGCAGTGTGACCAAAGGCTACAAAACAGTACATATTGCTAATCCAGCACTACAGCGCTTTATGAAAATTCCCTATTAAGAAACTGATTGTGAAAGGGCACCAATACGAGCACACGGAACAAGCACACCGCTTTCAGCTCACCTGGACGTAAAATGTCTGGACAGCTGTTGCGGCATCTACAGAAAACAACAAACGCGTTGGCTCAACCCTTAGGTATTTTGCTCCGTCCTCCGGGGTCAAGCCACTTAGAGGGGCGAATAGACTAATATCCCGCACTGCCACCCATACTGGCTTCTGAGGTGCACCCAACATCCAATCTTCTGCCTTAAGGGATATCCGCAGTTGTCCCCAGCCTTCCTTAGGCAGGGAACCTCCAGAATTATCTTCGGTGCGAGGCTCGACCAACAAGGGTAGTGGGTATATGTGCACCCGCGAGACTGAAACGACATCTACCGTAGCTGACGAGTCGGCATTGCCTTCCTTGCACAGTGTGCAGGTCGCCTGAAAATGTCACAGAGAGAACTGGTATTATTTACAGCAAGGCATCACAGTGAATGAGTCAAGAGGTTTTACATGGCGCATGAAAAGGAAACTACCCGATTCAAGAGTTTTTGTAATGAGGGTGATTAAGTGATCTGGATTCTGCTTTGAGTAGATTGTTCCATCTATTTTCTATCAGTTAAGCCCTACCTTCAGCAGAACTACGCCTGGCTGTGTCAGCCAAAGTCCTTCAAAAGATACTTGGCCTCCTCCCCAAAGCCGCTTTACCTGGCCATTCAGCATGACTTTCTTGCCAGCTTCGTCGAAAGCATGTAAGTGAACCTCTAACGGTGTGCCTCCCCTATAAAGTTCAGGAGGATTTGTTGTTTCATTGCCTTGGGAATCCACGATACTCAACACAACACTAAAGGGCTCACGGACAAGAACACGGGAAGGCGGCTTCAACGAGAATGCAGATGCGACCGCTGGGCCAGGAACTATTTCAAACGGCGCCGACGACGCGTGGAGGACAGTGTCACCCCATAACGTAGCCGTAAAGTGAATTACATGTTCTCCCGCCCGATTAACGCTGATACCGTCAGCACGCGCGTATCCATTTTTGTTTGTTTTTAAAGTCCAATAAGGCATTGAAGCTGCACAAAGCAACAACTGACATACCATGTGGATGCATTCTTTGCTCTTCGCAGCGACGTGAAGGAATTGAGTCCAGCAAAAAGGGCAAGGTGAGAGCATCTTATGCATGTGGCGATGGCATTATCGTACTCTTAGCTGTCTGTAGTGCACTCCCCTACATATTTCGTGGTCTTCCCCATTATGAGGGACAACTGTAGCCTTGACGATGATGGATTCGTGTATTGGCAGTCCATTTCTGTCCTGGATCTGCACAGCAGGCTGCTGTTCAAGGACAGTGCCGCTTTTTGCCCCCGACGGCTGGGTTACGATTCGCAATGCTGCATGGGTTCCCGCCACGAAGTAATGTTTTTCTGTGTTGATCTTGTCCTTGCACCCTCCGCACGTAATACTAAAACTGTAGTTTCCATCGAATGGGGGGCTGAAATGAAGAATAGCCACGCCTATAAAGCATTTATGCACACAGATACCAACCCATCTTTGCAGATTTAAACATACTACAGTGGGAAATGTCACATGTATGGCGTACCTAGAACATTGTATAAGATATCCTCAGCTGGTTGGAGCAAGGCGTCCTGTGGAAGTGCAACGTACCGTCGACAGCTACCTTTGATGCTATTCTAACAGCTCTTTCTCTGGAACGTTTTACTACATCATGCGAAATCGCTTTTTTGTTGCTACGCTGCGGATCCGCCTCATCGGCAAAGACAAGGGATGCAACCACACCGCCGTTGTACCCCTTGTTCGGTTTCCCATCGCTTCCGAGCACCTCCACCCTTAGTTCAACCCAATAGGTTCCCTTGTGCTTAAGTTGAATTTGGCGAACGCTCGCTGATAGCTCTGTCCCTGTTTTACTATCTGGCGATTGTTTTTTCTTTTGGGCATGTTCCTGCTTCTCGGTGTCTGGGTGGAGAAGGCTTAGATCGTCGTCTGGAGATCCGTGGCCTCTCTTCGAGGAGACTGTGTGCAGAGAAATTCTGGCTTTACTCTCATCCCAATTTAGGTTGGTCTCATTGGGAAGCGCTTTCTCGCGCTCTAAAAACTTTTTCGCTACGCCGCTTCCTGGGCTGGCTTCCTCAGACATTGTACAACACAAGAGCATGGTCATCAGCAGGAGTACCTCAGCCTTGAACGGTCGATAGCTGGAAAGTGGTGGCGCGGGAAGATCTGGGGGCGGTCTGCCACGGCCGCCCGAGGAATGATCTCTACTTTGCATGATGAGCGAGCAAAATGCCTGCATTAGCTAGCAGTGAATAGTTCCGTATTTGGAATTCTACCTTACAAGAAGATGAAATCAGACCAAAACAGATTATATGAATTCTACGGGCTACATGTAGCACTTCGTCGTTCCTGCCATTAACTCCTTCCAATGCCCTCACACTCTAGAGCAACTTTGGTGCGCACCATGTCGTACCGACATCGTTATTCGCAGACAGAAACATAAAGAATAATTGAGCATCTTCAAAATCACTGCTGATGTCCGGGGGAATTCTCCAGGTGTAATGCTTTTGTCTCATGCGTCACTCAACGCTGGTGTTTTCCTGTAAATCTCTGAGTAGTCCCACGAGGAATACGCTGAGGCAACCCCTGCTGGCCACTTGATTTATCCAGTGTTGTATGCTTGGGCGAAGCCGAAATGCAGTCTCGAGTGATATTAGTGTCAATTACCATGAAGGCCACTACCAAACGTTCAATGTTCCTAGATCCACGGCTACCCTCTGGGGATACGGCAGTTACCGAAACAAAGCCGTCTAAAGGCCATGGTAGTCAGCAAAAAGCCTGGTAGACTTATCAACAACACCTTTTTCTGTTGCGTTATGGCCTCTCACCCTGTCAGGACTGGCCCAAGGCAATGTGTAGTAACTGCAGTCGATGCCTCCAGTGGACAGCAGCAGGCAGCACTCGTGGCACGCATTCAAAAACTATTAATGAAGTGCAGAACCCACCCCCCTTAGCATATTTTGATCAATAAATAGAGTTTTTCTGCCAGATTCAGTGCCCAATGCGGAAAATTTTACAATTGGACTTGCCATTAAGCCCCATTGAGCATCAATATCCATCGCGCAGTGGCACGAAAGCACTCCTAACTTCTACCTCGTAACCAGGTATCGACCATTGTTTTTCCAGTTTATTCAAGTGGCATTTGTAAAAGGCCGATCTTGTAGAAGCATGTACACCGCACCTTCTAGTGCTGGGGAATGTGAAACCATTTTAGCCCTGTCCCAGAAACACTGTGAAAGCCGAGGCGTTTTATCATTCCTATTCCTATGTGCTTGTAACTTCTGATGCTTTGAAGGCTACTAGCGGGACGCAACAGTTGTGTCGTAACCTTAAAAGTTTGTATGGAACGCTTTTGTCCGCTGTATATGCACTTTTTTTGTGACATTACCCTTTCGTATGGCCACGGGGGCACGACAGGGCGACAGCGACCAGAAGGCACAAATCTACCATCCTTCAGGCGCAGTTTGTATGCCACTGGAGTCTTTAGATGTCTGATTGCACGTTGCGAGCCCTCAAGTTAGTTGACACGCTAAAAGGAGTTGCGGTTGGGACATTGTCTTGTACAAACTTGCAAGTAAGTGCTGCTTATTCCATCAGCAGTGTACCAACAGGATGCCCACAAGTGTTCGGAAAGCGTATGGCAGGACCTGAAACGTTCAACATAGTCAAATATGGTTTTTGTTGGGGGTTGTCCTGTGCTTGCGCTGCGGCACTTCATGTCTCCGTAAAGACACTGCGTTCCAGACAGAATGCAAAACTTCATTAAAAGTTTGAACATATTCTCTCAAAAACCGCTTCACTCTTCCTCTGCTCTGGTTCCTTAGAATTTCGGCGTAAAAGTAGAGAAACAGCTATGCTGTTTGTGGGAACCCTGCCTAGTAATCACTATTAACAGGCAGAACTGAGGGACCAAGGGACCTCGAAAACACCCTACAAAGTCTGACACTGTGTAGAGTAGGCGTCAAGCCTCTGAGCTATTTCTTCTGCCACTCATATGATGCTTCATCGAATGTCTTAATAGGGATACACTTAACTTTGGGCTCAATGCAGCCAAATTTAAGTTGTGAAGTGTGGCGAATATACCTTCATCATTCCCTTGTCCGCGTCTCTCAAGTTTCGATATTAGGACAGAGGGACAGCTAACATGCGAGGTAATGCAGCGTATGACCACGTAGATGAGCCTTCTTAAGTAGTTGCCCAGAGCATCTAGCGCAAACGCGTACAGCATTGAATCTGTTTGTGGAGCCAGCGCCTTTCTACAATAGAAAACACCATGCACGAAAAGACAAATCAGTTAGTCAACTGTTTACTAATCTTTAACTGGGTATAACTACTAAGTTTAGACTGCCGAAATGCGATTCAGCACGCCAATCCCATCTCAAACAGACGCCCTTATTTTCCAATCTGTCCCTCGAGACCAACTCTGTGCAGGAGGTGAGAAGAATTTGCGTCTTATTGACACTTCTAAGTCACGCAGAAAAAAAGACACCATGAGTGAGAAAAGCAAATTGAGGATCGATCAAAAAGAGGAATTGAAGTGAAGCAAGACGCAAACTGTAGCCAGCAACCAATTGGGGTCCATACCAGCAAAACGGTGGCGACAATGGCTCATTCACGTCGGATTGCTGACTTCTGTGAGCCTCGTACTACGAGACAACAGAAACAAGCAAAAGCTTTGAAGGGAATCAAACCACACAGATCCTTCAGCTGTGCCTCCATGCCTCATGGAGCAGTTTCTGCATGCCACTACAGCCAGTTCATGTGACAGTCGATCTCAAAGCCCAGAAGGAGGCATTTGTTAGATGAAGAAGCAGAATATCTACGATTACCTGAGCATGCAGAGTGTCAAAGACGTCGTACCGACGATAACATGGAATGCTTTAAGCGATGACTACAGCTGAAGGTAAGTATTTGGGGTAGAGCATGAGAGAGAAGAAACAAACTATCAAGGACCGAGTGGAGTAGCGCCCATGGCGACTAGCATTGTCACAGAGCCATAAAGGCGTCTGCCGGCAATGAAATCCTCATCTGCTACTTCACCAACCATCAATGTTGAAGTTCCCTATCCCATTGAACCTAAAATTCCCTTTACATGTGTTCTCAGAGGTCAAAATCACTGGATTCCAGATCCTCAGTGACCCCGTATAAACCCTGCGCTTCCACAGAGGCCAAGTGCTTGAGTGATGAAAAGCGCGAGTGATGCTCGAAGCTTTAAAACCTCCTCAGGAAGGAAATCTTGAGCGTCTTCCGGCATTCAACATTATTCAATGCCTTTTGACAATTGCAAATTATCGTAGCCACCTGGCCGTAAAGTTCTTTATCTGGTCACCTACTGGTGCAACTCGTAGAGCCTGCCGTGGAATCGCAGATCTGACAGCCTTCAGCTTTGCGCATCAATTCAGGTGCACTGGCTACCTTATTCCCAAGTCTTTGAGCTACTACGGGTGGTCGCTGAACCCGGACTACCGAATTTAGGTTTGTTTCGGAGAAGTGCTTCTCAGTGCAAGCAGGGACGGCGAGGAACAGGGGGTACAACAGTGTCCTGTGGTGGCATACACCCACTCAGCACAAGGAAGGAAATCAGGCCAAGCACTTCTTTCTTTGTGAGGCTGTCAACGCAGCGCTGCAAAAGAATAAAATTGGTTGACGCTATCCATCGGCCGCAAGGTCGCTTGCAGTGGTTACTTATGGTCATGCGTACGCGGGTCATAAAGAAAAGGCAGAACACAACAAAGTGCGAATCCCTATCCATATTGATGCTCTGGGAGAATCCATGAGCCCTTTAGACAGACGATACAAAAATTTGGGCGACTTTCCGAGCCGTGGCAGAGTTGCAGCAAGGGATAAACAAGGCATATTCTCTGAGTCTGTTGACAACCAGGTGAATGGTATCCTGATGCTTGACCTCCGGCACCCCAGCAACAAAGTCCAGAGTCAAACCAGCGCAAATCCTTTCAGAAATTAGACCGCTTTGCGAAATACCGGGCTTTTGGTGGGAGAAATTAATTGCTTCAGCTCTTCACAATCTGGGCATGACAGAGCATACTCCTCTGTCGCATGACACATCCCAGGTCACCAGAAAAATCATCAGAGCCTTCCTAATGTAGTGTGGATCCAACAATGACATTGAGGGTCACAATTTTCTGGTTCGAGCAGAGTGGCACTACGGAAATAAGTCGAAAGGAACAAATGACAAAATACCCGCTTTGAATTAGACCGCAGTGGGCCATCATCAACGTAACAGTACCTTACCGTTTAGCTATTATGGACATAGGCAATAGTAGCGAATGCGGAGGTGTCAAAAAGCACAAGGCTTACGCACCATTGATACAACCGCAAATCATCATAGGCAAGAGCGCTTGCGCTGGACAATAGCGAGGCACTGAAAGCTCGTAGTGCAGGTGCCCCAGCACGCGAACCACTCCAGTGTTACCAAAGTCCTATTGACACTTCGTAATGTAAAGTTAAGGCCTAGGGTCGGTATGGAAAGGGCAATAACGATCATATAAAGAATGCCCGCTTTTAAAACCCCATCACACCACAAAAGTTTTCTTTTCCCCCATCGAATACCGCTGCTCGGTGCCGGTGGAGATGAGGGAGGAAAGCAACAATTTGATGCTCCGGGGAACCCGCAGCCTTTCGGGAGAGAATAGTACCAACGATACTTCACTCTTATTGGTTGTCAAGAAATTGACCCATAATGCGCTAGCGCAAGTACCGTAGCAGTTGCAAGGCAGCTGTTAAGCGTTGTTGCTGCGCCATCAGCCAGCTTTATCAGGATCACAGACTGATGTGCTCTTTCTGCAGGCCGGCCAGAGCAGCAGCACGTTGAGCAGCGCCAGTAACGGGATCGCGGTAATAAGTTGCAAGCCTTTAGAAATTCTTAAACTCTTTGCGCGTGCGCCAAGGTAGAGGCCACGCCACCTTCGAGTTTGCTGATAGCGGCTCAATTCCTGCAGCCAGAACGTTGAATCGCAGGAGCAATTTTTATAGGACACCAAAAGCTGGGAAGCACTATTCTTGTTTAGGGGCTCAAGGCTAACAACCATGCAGCGCCTAACGTCGTTTCCGTAGCCAACACCA